AAAGGTTATAAAGATTATTTATTAGAAAAATTATCTTCTAAATTAAATATAAGTAAAAGTTAAGCTAAAGAATTATATAAAACTAGTAGAATTATTACTAAATTAAATAAAGTATTATATAGTCTAAAATAAAACCCTAGACTATAGTATAATTTTCTATTAAATAATTTAAATAAACTAGGATTTTATACTAGTCCTTATAATTAAAGAGTATTTATAAATAATATATATAATATAGCCTTAATTTTATATATTAATAATATCCTATTTATAGGGGCTAATATAAATATAATAAAAACTACTATCTCTAACCTAAATAAATATATAAAAGTCTAAGATTTAGGTAAAATAAGAGATTTTCTAGGAGTTAATATAACTATTAATAGAAAAAATAAGTATATATATCTTTCTTAGTATAAATATCTTATTAATAAAATAAAAGAATATAATAAAGAAAATATAAGAACTTCTAATACCCCTATATTAGAAGGTCTAAAGCTAGTTAAATTTACTATAAAAGCTAGCTTAATAGATATATTATAATTTTAAAAAGAAATAGGCTCTTTATTATACCTAGCCTTAAAAACTAGGCCTAATATAGCCTTTATAGTTATAACTTATTCTAGCTTTACTTTTAAACTAGACTATACTTACTTTTCTACTTTAAATACTATATAGAAATATTTAAATAAATTTCTTAATAGAGTTTTATTTTATAATTATAATTTTCCTATTAATTATAATTTTATAAAAGGTTTTTTTAATACTTCTTAGGCTAATAACTTAGAAGAAAGAAAATCTATAACTAGTTATAGCTTTTATATATATAATAACCTTATAAGCTAGTCTTATACTAAGTAAAAATATATAGCTTTAAGTACTTATAAAGCTAAATATATAGCTTTAAGAGACTATACTAAAGAAGCTATATTTTTAAATAATTTATTTAAATTTTTAACTAATAATTTAAATTTAAATAGAAAAAGCTCTATACCTCCTATTTTAATAAATAACTAAGCTACTATTAAATTAGTAGGAAATCCTAAATTTTATAAGAAAACTAAGTATATAGATATAGCTTATTACTATACTAGAATATATATTTTAAATAAAAATATAATAGTTTTCTATATTAAAATAGCTAATAATTTAGCTAATATTTTTACTAAGCCTCTAGGCTTAATTAAATTTAATAGTTTCCTTAATAAATTATCTCTAAGTAATATACCTAATTAATAAGATTTAATAAGATATTAAATAATAAGGTTTTTATAAATTATATAAATAAATAGTTTTTTCTTTATATATATATATATATAAATAAGTTTTTTACCTAAATAATAAAGGTTTTTCTTATTATAATATTAATAGACTTTAATAACTATAATATAGGTTAAATTTCTTATATACTATAATAAGTTAAAATTCCTATATACTATAAAATATTTTCTATATAATAGGTTTAAATCCCTATATATACTATAATACTATATAATAATAGGTTTAAATTCCTATATATAACTAGGTTTTTATATATTTTATATATATAATTTTTCCTATTTTATAATACTTTTACTTAAAAAGATATAAATTTAAGATATACTCTTTATAAGGGGATATAAAGGATAATAGTATAATTATATATACTATAAAAATACCCTAATTTTTCCTATTATAATAAACCTACTTTTATATAATTTAAATAACTATTATATAAAATATAAAGGAGTTATATAACTTTTAGATACTTTAGAATGCTTTTAATACCTCTTCTTAAATACTCTAGAATACTTATATTAGCTTTATATTAAAGTATTTAGTAGTTATTTAGAAGTAAAAGAAAGGTCTCTATAATCTCTAGCTATAAAGTATAGTAATCCCTTTATATAATTTATATATAATCTTTATAGCTATTAATATTATAATTCTTCTTCCTTTTTCTTTTACCTATTTAATCTACTTTTCCTACTTATAACTTATATTTAATAAACCTTCTACTTTTTCTACTTAAATATCTTATATACCTTAATAGAATATAAGTAATATAAGCTATAATATTATAAAAGCTATAATTATTATTATAACTAATAAGAGGGAAAAGTAGCTATACTATAATACTCTTTCCTTAACCTTAAATAACTATTATTAAGCTAAGAAATACCTACTTTAGAACTATTAGTTTATAACTATAAATAATAAATTAATAGAAATTATAGTATAAAGTATAGTTTAAAAAGTATATATTTAAAAGACTATAAAAAGTAAAAAACTTCTTAACTTATATTAAGTATATACCTATAAATTTAATTTTAATAGTTTATTAATTAAATATAAAGCTTATCTATATATATAAGGTAATTAATAGCTAGCTAGCCTCTTAATAAAGGCTATAATAATATTAGCTATTTAAATATTTTATTTAATAATAGCCTTTATAGTATATTTTAGCTTAGAATTAGCCTAAGTAGATTTTATTAATATATTCTATAATTTAGACTTTAATAAAGAAGTATATATAATACTCTTACTAGGTTTTAAGAAGTTAGAATATTAGTAGCTTCTTAAGAAGGCCTTTTATAGCCTCTAAAAATTATTTTTTCTTTAGTATTAAACTATAACTAACTTCTTTATTAAAAAGGGATTTATATTTTACTTAGAAGACCTATATATAATAACCTATAAAGGAATTATTATCTTTTTCTATATAAATAACCTAGTTTTTTTATATTTAAAAAAGTAGAAAAAGGACTTTAAAAAAGTATATTAAGCCTTTTTTAATAAATATAAAGTTAAATTATTAAATAAACTTTATTAATTTTTAAGAATTAAGATTCTTTATAACTAAAAAGTATAAAAAGTATAACTTTTTTAAAAGTTATATATTTAAAAAATTATAATTAGGTTTAATTATAATAATTTAAAACTAATTAATATACTATTATTAATAAAACTATTAATTAAAAGGCTTAATATAGCTAGTAATACTAAAATTAAGAAGTTCTAATTAATTATTAGTTTAATTAGATATTTATTAATTATAACTTAAATAAATTATACCTTAACCTTCTTAAAACTAGCCTAATTCCTCTTTAACCCCTTACCTAACTATATTATATAAAAGCTTAATATAATAAAGTATCTTAAGTATACCTAGAATCTCTATATAGTCTTTAATAAAAATATTAAGGTCTTTAAGATATTTAATAATATTAGTTTTATTAATAATACTTATAATTAAAAGAGTATATAAGAATATATATTAAAGCTATTTAATAGCTTAATTTACTATTAATTAGGTAAATAGAATATAGTTATTATATTATTTATAAAAGCTAAGTTATTAGCTTTCTTATAAGTTATTAAAAAGGTTATAACTTTTAAGTAGTTAGTATTAAATATTAAATTTAAATTTAATAAAAAAATTAATCTTTTTTATAATAACTAATAAATAATTTAATTAGTTATTAAAGACCTTATTAAGCTAATTATAAAGCTTTATTATATTAATATATATAACTATTAGATTTATTAAAAGTTAAAAGTAAAAAGCTTTAACCTTTAATAAATCTTAATTAAAAAGATAACTATAAATAGCCTTATAAAGCCTCTTAAAAAGTAATAATTTAACCTATTTATAGCCTAATTAAGCCTTTAAAAGCTACTTAATTAATTTAACTATAAATAAGCTATTAAAAGTAGAATAAATATATAGCCTAAAGATAGTAATTTTTTACTTAAGGTATTATATATACTTTTTTTTATTTTAACTAATAAAGAAAAGACTCTTTATAGCCTATTTAAAAGTATTAAAGCTAAAGGTAATATTTTATTAACCTTTTATAATCTTTTAAAATTTTAGTTAACTATAAATACCTTTTTAGCTACCTTTAATATAGTTTAATCCCTTATTAAAAAGAATAAATACCTTTTTTTATAAATTCTTTAAATATACCTTTATAATATAATAAGTTAAATTATTATTATTATAAAAATTAGGTAATATATAAGTATTTTAAGTATTTTAATTAAAAAATATTAAAATAATAAAAAATAATAATATATAAAGGTATTAGTTATTAATAAACTTATTTAATTTCTTAATAAACTATTTATTATATAAATTTTTACTTTTTTATTATTTAATAGTAATAAAAGGTTTTTTATAAATAATTATAAATAAAAGTTTAATTTTTATAATAATATTATTTTTTTATCTTTTTTAATAAACTTTAAAGCCTTAAAAAATACTATAAATTCTATTTTTAATTATTATAATATATTTTTATTACTTTATTTATTTAAAAAGAAATTATAAAGGTATATTAAGTAAGGTAATTATATTAGACTTATTATAAGGCTTAATCCTACTTTTAAGTATTTTTTATATATATTTAGCCCCTTTTTCTAGGAGACCCCTTATAAGGGTGTTTCTAGTAGTCTTTAGCTATATAGCCTCTTTTCTAGTTAATTAACATCGTCTGAATGATTATTAAGCCTCTTAGCGTGACATAGTATACCCCCACTAAACCAGTTCGAGTCTCCCCCTCCCTTCTATATCTCGCCTCTCTCATATCCATCCACCCACTTACACGATACAAAAACAGGAAAAACAAAATGGCAGCCAACCACTCGTACTACCCGCCAAACGTCGCCATTGACGGCTACGTCGCCAACACGCTGTCGACGGTGCAGATTCTCGCCATCTTCACCACGACGCTCGCATCGATCCTGGTGCCCTGCTTCTGCCTGATTCGCCGCGCACGCCCATCCATTCCCACGGCGGACATGGCCACAGCGTTGTGGTTTGTTCTCTGCGGTGTCATTCATCTCGGCCTAGAAGGTGCATCGTCCCATATTTCGACAAAGACTCGGAACAGAAAGAGCAAAGTTCACAAACTCATCTCTTTATAGGCCATTATGCCCGCCATGAGCACCACATTAGCGCCTCCACGCATGTCCTCTCCCAGCTCTGGAAGGAATACTCCCTCTCCGACTCGCGCTACCTCACCCGCGACAGCTTCCTGGTGTGCATGGAGAGCATCACCGCCTTTCTCTGGGGCCCTCTCGCCTTCCTCTGCGCGTACGGCGTCGTCCGCGACAGCCCGTGGCGGCACCCGGCCCAGTCCGCCCTCTCGCTCGGCCAGCTCTACGGCGACGTCCTCTACTACGGCACCTGCACCTACGAGTTCCTCGTCTACGGGCTCGAGTTTTCGCGCCCGGAACCGTACTATTTCGTCGGGTACTATGTATTCCTCAACGCCTTTTGGATTGTCATCCCGTCCATCCTGCTGTTCTCGAGCGCGCGGGAGACGACCGGCGCATTCGCGGCGCTCAAGAGGATCAAGTCTGCCGCTAAGAATCAATAGGCCACGCGAGGGATGGCAAGAAAAGGGTGATATGAAGGATAATGAGATGAAGCGATGTTCCAAGTATCAACGGAATTTGTCCGCCTTTCCCTGTCAGTTGTAAGCTAAGAGTCCAGGGCTGTCGAGTAGATCTTGCCGATAGATGGCTCGTGAGAGCGCCATTCCCCAGCCAGCTTTGACCCGTTCCCAACATGGGCTACTAACTGAGGAGACTTCTTCGAGTTGGAGAGAATCATGCTAGCTCATAGCCCGCTGTGGCGTTAGGCCATCTGAAGCCTCGTCGTGTTGGCCCGACGCTCCCCGAGCTTCTAATAGCATCAATTTTTGCAGCGGCCGCAACCGACACTAAAATATTAAAACCTCGTTCGACAAAGGCAAACCACTAGACCAGAGACTGTGCTCTCAGTCGCTTATCAACTGCGCAAGTGATTACATCATCGTCGTAAAATGGAGGCCAATTCCTTTTCCAGAGTCGTTCTCCATTGTATCAAATCAGAATCCTCATCTTCCCAATATCCGAGCATCCCAGCCACGTTATAAACAGACTGCTGCCAGTTGGCGGGCATGCATATTCCAGATTTTGCGGCAGCGACGAGAACCAACGCGCTTCTGGTGCAGGCTCGAATCATAAATAGTGACCCGTGGTGTCGGTGGAAGAATCCTGGCTCATTGACATGCACTTGGTGAACATGCATCTCCAAGCCGGTACGTGAAAAATGAGAAACTGAGTCGCTCACGGAAACACCAGAAGCCGCGGCGTTTAATCTGGCCATGACAAAAGGCCAATAAAACATTTCGTATAAATTGATTAGTCGTCCCCGGAGGACCGACCGGGAGATACCGTCCTCTGCCACAGGTGTTTGTATAGAGAGCTCCGTCGGGAGATTGTCAGACCATGCGCGTGCCTGGCCCTCGTACTCGGTAATCATTTCGCCTAGTACCTCCAGAAATCTCGCGTTGGTGGGTATTTTTTGACGAAGTTTGGTGACTTCACTACAAAGGCGGCTAGTCAGCCTTCGTAACGATATCTCTGCCAGGTAAAATAACCAAGCGCCTTTAGCCCGTTGTGTCTCCGGATCGGGGCCCTCAGGGGATTCCGCGGGTGGGATTGGCGGCGCTGGGAAGAATGGTGGATAGAGCGTGCTTCCTGAGTGAACAATGTCAAAGTCTGGTAGGTCAAGTTCATTTCGGAGCTCCCGCTCCGATTCCATGCTGACCAGTATACCGCCTGCTCCTGGGTGTCTTGACGATCCATCTCCATCGAATCGAGAGAAGATTCCGAGCCTCCGGACATGTACTGCGCCCTAGTAAGGAATGGAAAGTGTTGACAGGCGGCCAATGCTTGCGAGAAATACCTCCATGCGTAAATTGGCTGAAATACCATCATCATATAGACGCCGGACAGGAAAAGGCATTGCGCACCGACGAGATCGGAGCTCATCAGCATGATGCCAATTCGTTTTTGCGCCGCATGAAAAAAGACTTGCGAGTCTTGGTACGCCTGTGATCCGGGCTTAACCTCATGACTGTTACCAAATGGCGTAGCAACGCTCCCGAGCGCGCAAATGACCATGGCCAAGCACGACGCTGGGGACCAATCAATACCGTTGAGAAACGCATTGCCAACAAGGCGCCTTGTCGATGTTTCATCAAGGATGGGGTTCTTGCAGTGAATATATAGGAAGAATCTGTCCAAGAGTTGATAAATATTGTAAGACTCCATGTCTACTAGCCCTGCCAGCGCGGATGGTGCTGCAGATGGGGTAGAAATGGCGGCTGGAGGAAGGCGATAGAGTGGCTCATGCTGTCCCTGCTCGTTGAACAGAGGCCACTGAAGAACGTGATCCACGCGAAGTGGTAGAATGCTGCCCAGTCCTGGCCCATCTCCTTTAGTGAATGGTTCAATCTCTTTTGGGCGGCCGTGGCTGTTGGAGCTCATGCGTCTCGTAATATCAGGGGGATGCCACGCATTCGAAGCTGGGTCCACACTGTTGAGGTTGCTGGCTGTTGTAGAAGTTGCACTTTCGCGGAAAAGTCTTTCTAGATCATCTAATCGATCTAAAATCTTGAGGCTAGCCGGATCAAAGCTCGACAGGTCCGCAGGTGACTGAATGCATGTGGCGCCAACACTCAGACAATATGAGCAACTGGGTTTTGAGTTGTCGCATTTTGTTTTGCGCGCACGGCAGACTTGGCAAGCTGTATTTGCCCGTTTTCGGGGATAGAAGGAGGTGCCACGGGCAGCAGGTCGCTTGCCTGGTCTCGGGCCCAGCGCAGCAGCATCAGTTGGCGACAAGGAGGAGGTGTCTGCACCAGCCGCAAGAGCACCAGGCTGTGGGGGGGCAATGGCAGCTCTCGGATCGTGGGCATGGTGTAGGGCGTGTAGGGCTTGGGCAAATGAGGCTGCAGCAGGCAGGACGGCGGACATTGTTGTATGGAAAGGCATGACTGGACCGGGATAAGCACTGCCGGAACCTTTGTTAGTCCTCAGACAGGCAGTGACTTGCTATAGCCAAGTAACATGAGAGGCTGACCTCGGGTCGGGGAGTGTCGCTGTTGAAATAATAGCCATCAGAGCCTGGGGCTGACCAAAATTAGCCTGTGGCGCCGGGACCTGGGGATTTGGAGAAGCCGATCATCAAGTCTACCAGCCTACCTAGGTAGGTAGGTATGAAGGCAGGACGCTGCAGGCATAGGATGCACCGCTGTCCTCTAATAGTCCCATGCATCCCGTGACACCGCAAAAGCCACGACAGGGTAGTTTGAGAACTGCGAGCTAGTATTGGAGGACCAGCTTGAGCGATGGTGAAAGAGCGGGCGGCCTGGGGCTTGAGATCGCGGTGTGGAATGTCGTGGTATTCGGGCAGGCAAGCTAAAGCGATTGACAGGGGGGTTTTCAAAAGGAATGGCAATTACTGATGGTGATTCCAATGACGACTGTGAGGACAGCAAATGGACCAGTTCTGCTTAATAAACAGTAGAGTTGCTGAGTGAGGTCTGCCAACCTCATCCGCTACCAGGTTAGTAGCAGCTAGCAGCTGGCAAACGGCTGCCGTTTGCACCACCAGCCGTCACCAAACGACCGGCAGGAGTATTTACGGATTGCATCCAGCTTCCCCAATACATCCAGTGCTTTGCTTCTTCTAGTATTTACCTGTCCATTCCATTATACATGCGCCGCCATCGCCCCCAGCTTTCATCGATGTGGAACATTTTGTCTCAACTCCGCAATCATCGTGTCTCTCCCTCTCCACCAAACAAAGCAATCCACACAGGCCCTGGACGCCGGCCGTTGGGGAGTCTCGCCCTTCACATTCTGACGGTTGTGGCACCCTCCGCAATATGCAATTGCTTGCTCCCGACACCCAGCTTCCGTCCATTGGATCGACAAGTTGATACTTTGCCCCGTGGCTTCCGCAGGTCTCTGCTGCCATCCCGGCCCGCCGATAGTCGGTCCGAATTGCATTCTTCTTAACGAGACCCAGCCGCATTCTTTCAACAGCTCGTATCATGGTGTGGTGGGCGGGCGCTCTCCGCAATTGGATTCGAGCCCCCTCACCCAACGATCGGAGCAACAGGCTCATTTACATGGGAATCATATAAGCAATCGATATCCATATCCTCGCTTGACAAGCAAACATGACGCTCTAGCTCGCCAAGTCAACGTCTTCAAGCCATAGCCTTCTCCCTTGCGGCAGCGTCCTGCAACTGCCCCCGCGTACTCACAGCATCCCACTGGCAGGCTCAGCCTTCTGCGCAGACATGGATGACAAGTTTGATGTCACACTCGAGAGTCACGCCACAGGCGTTGAAGATGTGCTGCAGACCAAAGATGCCCTTCGTCATGACAACAAGGCCGAGCATGAACTGACTGTAAAGCAAGTTTTGAAAAGTCACCCCATACTCGTATGGTGGATCTTCTACTGGGCCATGGCTGGCGTAAGCTGGTAGGTTATTATTCATTATCCCCAAGTACTCTAATGCTCTTCGTGCAATATTTAAGTATTGACCATGATTCTTACATGTCGCAGGGGTTTTGACGCTCAGGCCAACGGGGCCATGATTGGAGTCGAGTCGTTTCGCCGCGACTTTGGCTATTACAGATCCAGCGACCAGAAATACATCCTCCCCGCCGATTGGCAGAGCGCTTTCAACACAATCGGCAGCGTTGGCCAATTCTTTGGCGGCTTCATTTGCGCCTGGACAGCCGACCGCATCGGTCGTCGGCCCTCCTTACTCATAGGCCTGATCATTGCTGCTGCTGGCGTTACCGGCCAGGTTCTTTGTACCGCCAAGGTTGCTTTTCTAGTATCCAAGCTCATTCTTGGAATTGGTCTCGGGTTTTACTTGACTCTCGCGCCTCTGGTGTCTTCGGAGCTCAGTCCTGTCGTCTTTCGCGGCATTGCCTCGGCGGGCGTCCAATTTGGCATCGGGTCTGGCCAGCTCATTGCCAACGGAGCCGTGGCTGGCTTTGGAGAGTGGACTTCGCGCTGGGCGTATCGCGCGCCATTTGCTTTTCAGCTGTTTTTCCCGGCATTCTTCCTCATATTTTTGCCGTTTGCCCCCGAGTCGCCTTGGTATCTCGCTCGCCGGGGTAAGCGTGAAGAGGCCAAAAAGTCGCTATGTCGCCTATTTGGATCGGGCATTGATGCAGACGCCAAGCTGCTAGCATTGGAGGCGACAATCGCCGAGGAGGAGGCGGCCAAGTCTAACTCCAGCACACTTGTCAACTGCTTCAAGGGAACAAACTCTATTCGTTCCATCATCAGCATGTATATTTTTTGCTGTCAGCATTTTGTTGGTATTATCTTCGTTCTCGGATTCTCCAGCTATTTCTTCCAGCTTGCCGGTCTGCCCACGGGTTCCAGCTTCAACATGGGGGTCGGCGTGACTGCTTGCGGTCTAGCAGGCAACATTGTTAGCTGGTTTACAGTCAACAGCCTTGGCCGTCGCAAGCTCTTCTTGGGCGGCATGGGCATCCTTACCACGATTCTACTGCTCATCGGAATCCTGGATCTGGTTCATACAGGAGGGGCCAAGTGGGCACAGGCTGCTCTCACCGTCATTTACGCCTTTTTCTACTTCCTGTCTCTAGGTGCCATGGCTTTTACTATTCTCTCAGAGACGAGTAGTACTACACTTCGGGCCCAATCGATTGCTCTCGCAACGGCGACCCAAGCTGTGATGGGCACTGCGTTCAATTTTGCGATTCCTTACATGATCAACCCGGATGAGGGCAATCTCAAGGGCAAGGTCGGGTTTGTTTTCGGAGGACTTGGTCTTCTTGCGTCTATTGGGAGCTACTTTCTCATTCCTGAACTGAAAGATCGCACCTTTGACGAGATTGACGCCATGTTCCAGAGACGTATTCAACCTCGCAAAATGGGTTCTTACAAGTTTGAGTAGCGTTAGCCGTACTGTTTTTGTTGTTTTAATTCCAGAAACATTTTGGGATTTTCCACAGTCCACCACTGTCGCATGGCAAAAATACATCACCACCACTAACCTGCCTGCCGCGTGCCCCTGCTCCCCTCCACTTGGCACAGCCTCGTGGACCTGGAGAGGGCGGAATGACTCCGAATGCGCGGGCTGCTTGACGCCAAGACTGTGTTCGGTATGCGAAACCATATAATATGATGAATAGGATTGCATTAGTCCGGCTGGATTGTATATATACCTACGCGCGTGAGGCCTGTTTTCTAACAGGGCACTGGACACGTTTTCCGCTTAACATGTAATTTTCCCCTGTTACAACGCTGTTGACGTCTCTAACACGGCTTATAAAAAATATAAATGTTTTTTAACACGTAGTGGCAACCTAACAGCGTTGTGACAGGGGAAAATTATCTATCAAAAAAGCGACCTGTCTAATACCCTGTCCAAAAACAGGCCTCACTCGCGTATGTAGTTATTATTCCCCTCATAATATAGGTATCAACCAAGATGCAAACGCTAATGTTCGCCGTACCCGTCACGCCCGTCATCAGTACTCCGGATGCCTTCATGTTTTCGTAATCTCCCTCCAAAACTCCAGGTTTTCCCACCATGCTTAAAAACAAAGAAAAAAATATGTATAGGTGAGGTCTGTCGCACCATGGCGGATTTCCGCCATGTTCATGTGGGGTTTGCCGTATATAATTTAGATTGATCGCCGCCACAAAACGTCTCCATGTTCAGCCGCGGACCGCTGAGCAGGGGCTGTCGTCTGGAAACACATGCTGATCAGGCTGCGTGGGCTTTCGGAGAGGTACAATATACTCCCTTGTACGGGTCTATACCTTCCAAATGTTGTAATGGTGTGCCTTCTGCCCGAGCATGCAGTGTCACTTCGACGGTGAAACAGCTGCACGGCATAAAACTCAAATCTTCAAGTGCAGACCTCTCGTCGAAGCTGGTCCAATGAATTTATTCCCGTCCGCCAGCGGGCAACTTCCGTGTTGATGCACGACGGGATGAGGTTGTGCGTCCACGGTTTCGGATGTTGGCCGAGCTAGCGTCCCCGCCTGCCTTGTTTTCGGCCTATTCTCGAGCCCACCTTTATCCGCAGACAAGGGCATCCGCTCAGCTCGTTCCGTTATAAACAGGACCTCCCTCGCTTTATTAACGATAGAGTCCCAGAGGAATTCCTGTCTTGGCAACCTCTTATTTTTTTTTTTTTGCGGACATGCCTGAAGTGCTTGTGCATTGCGAAAAGATGCAAAGCCGGGCTCCAAGACGCGGTTAAGGCTACGCGTTGGCAGGGTTATTGGACTACCCAACTACCCAACGAATGTTGTTGATGACCATTTCATCATAGTACCAGATCGGATCCTGCTCAGTCGTCAAGCGTACAGAAGCGAACTGTCACAGGCTCGAGACCTATCATCGCGTGGTATACGTCAGGATGCACAGCCCCGGTTCCGAAATCGTCCCCGATCGTCGAGTAAAATAAAGCGTGTGTCGAAGATTGCGCAGCTAGCTCCGTCGTCGACTCGAGTGGACGTTGATAAAGCTGTCTGTTTTGGGGCGCGAGCGGACGGCGCGATGCGGTCTCTACGAGGCACCCGCCCGCCACATCAAACGAGATGCCAATGGCAACGAGCTCTTTCAAAATGAAATTCGTCGAACGACCGATGACTACACAAATTTGTTAGCATGCTGCTATTGCCGCCACAACCTGCCGCGACTTACTTGGATTGAACACCATCACTCTGTGCAGCATGTGGAGGCAATAGTCCAGACGCCTGATGGCCTGGAAGTCGTTGGGCATGGCCTGAACCTGAAGCAAGAAGACAGACGCGGCGATATACATGCTGTACGATATCGACAAGGCGCAGTATTTAATACTGTATGTTCTGGCAAACAGATCAAAAATGGCAATGGTGGCAGTCGCCGACGTCACGCAGTTGATAAGATACGTGCTCCACGGCAGTTGGCCGTCAATCCCCGTGTCGTAATGGCGCGTGAGCATCGGCCTGTACAAGAGGATCTTGTATGTGAAATATATGCAGCTTTGCCGAGGTCAGCACAAATCTTGCCAGAATGCGTCGTGTCAATCAATATACGACTTACTTTGAGGTGAATAGGTGCGTCGGCGGTCCAATGGCCGGGAGATTGGCGGCGTCCATCTTGAGATATGGAGGAAAGTCGTCCCACCACTTGTCCATTGCCAGGCCTTGGGACGCCACGCATTCGAGCATCTCGATCTCAGTATTGGGGATAACGGGGTCGTACATGTGGAGCAAGATCTCGTTAAAAATGAGCGAAAGCCGGATCATGGCGATGAAGCAAGTGGCCGAGTGCGCCGTGGAGGCCGGGTAATTCCATGTTCTTCCATCGGGCGGCATGCCAAAGGGCTCCCAGAGCTCGTTCTCGGCCGAATCGTCGTCTACGCCTCGGAGTTAGTGCTTGCTAGTTGGTCAAGAGATGGACATTGATTGCGACAGGACGTACACATGACGAGTGGTGGCGAGGCAGGGGTGAGATGCAAGGTGGGCATTCGGCCCATGTACAGACTCAGCATCTTGTCCCAGAAGAAGCTGCTCCAGAATATTCGACGGCGAATTTCGATGTCTTCCTCGTTGATGGGGACAGAGCCGGGATATCGCTGGCCATCAAAGCACACGCCTATTTGGTCCATCAGGCGAAAGGCAAGACCACTGTAAGTCCAGGCCTGGATCGTGTTGCCAAAAGCGCATTCCTCAGCACTGAGGAGCAGCAAGGTTTGGACCATTGGGATGGTGCACGCGCCGCGCTTCATGTCTTCAAATAGCATGCTGCGAGCATGTTTGCCGAAGATTTCTCCGCCACTGTAGTGTTCGTCAAGTAGCTGCCGCGTAGCCGGATCATTCCTACCCCAGTTTACGGAATGCGACATGAGCGCATTGAGAAGCATATGCGAGTAGTATTGGCCCATGTTCTGCATGTCTCCTGCAAGGTGTTAGCATGCAAGTCGGGCGGCTGCATCATGATGTAGCGCATGGTGGTGGACTGACGAGTAAAGGCCGGTCTATAAATGAACATGAAGAGCGGCTGTATCCAGCACCAATGAACGTTGAGTAAATATTGAAAAGGTTCCTGGCGATGATGTCATTAGTAACACTTTGACAGGCAAGCAGAGCTGGGACGGGATACGCTACGCACGGGGGTTCCTGAAAAGGTCTCGAGGGCGCGCTGCTGCATGGCGTTGGCAACTAGCCTTTCTCGTATTGACTGGTCGAGTTCGGCAGATGCGTAGACGCCATTGGAATTTGGGTTTGCAGGTCGCTCATTGGCGCTGGCGCCGTTGCCGAATGTAATGCGGCCTTTGTCGTCGACTTTGAGGCCACTAAAGCTACGGGTAAAGGACTGTTCGTCGGCGTGGGATTTGGGAGGCGAGCGGCCGTCGTTGAGACCGGTGCTGGCGGTGGAGGGACTGGAATGGGCGGAAACAGTGATGGAAGGGGGCGACCGAGATGATGAGGCAAGCTGGTCTTCAAGTTCTTTGATTCGTTTCTCGAGGCGCTGGGTATACGAGAGCGTGGGGTTGCTAGCGGGGTGGTTTTTGGTGTCAGCGGTCGCCGGTCGGGCGGTCTGGTGGATGGGCGGCGGCGTCACTGGCGCACAAGGATGAGACAGGGGCACTTACAGCTTGTAAACGCATTCATCGTTGCGTGAGGCGCATCGTTGGCACAGAGGTTGCTCACCACCACATTTTACCTGTTGAGCGAAAGACAGAAAAGGCGTTGGTCAGCTAGGCGGCGACTTTGGGTGCCGGCGCGGCGGACGGCGGGCGGGCTCGGAGGTCGAGCCGGCGTCATGGCAGTTGGCGGGAGAGGGACAAAAAGAGGTAAGCGAAAAAAAAGACTGACCTTGCGACGGCGACAGGGCTCGCAGGAAAATGCGCTCTTCTTGGTGGCTTTGGCGCTTGACATGTTGTACAGCGACGGGCTCAACAGCCAAAGCCAGGTTGTCGCGTTGCTGGCCCGCCGGGGAGGAAGAGTGCGAAGGCGACACGACGGGGGGTTTTTTGGTGTGTCTTTTGGTGTGTCGTGCGGGTGCGGGTGAGGGAGAGCGGAAGCGGGAGTGGTGTTTGGGGAGAAGTCGACGAGCAATGAGCGATGATGGCGTAGGGGATTTTGAATTCGGAGGATCAGAGAGGGCGGGCCGGCGCCAAGGAGAGAATGATGAGGAGCCCCGCAAGACGATGGAGGAGGACGAGGACGATTGTGGATGGATGGAGTGATGGACGGTTGGATGATTGCTGAGAGTGAGGGCGAAGAAAAAAAAAAAGGTTCAACGAGGTTTTGGCTGGCGTCTGGATCGGCCAGGCTAATAAGACAGCTAGGACGATGATAGGCGGCCCGAGAGGCGTCGACAACGGAGGGGGGCTGTTTGTCTCAATCTGTTGCGGCTTCTCTGGTGGTTTCCCATTTCGGTTTCTTTTTTCGTGTGGGTGAAGTGAATTCTTTGTCGCTTCTGCTTGTTTCTCTTTGTGACAATTGCAATGGAGCAGATAACTAGGTAGGTGAGCAAGGGGAGAGGCAGCAAGGTGGGCGGCGGGGAGGTGGTGACTTGTGATGCGCGACAGGAAGAAAATGGTGAACGAGAGACAAGAGCTCGAAACGAGGGTCTCAGTAGTGGGGCTACATGCCTACTGTCTAATGTGCCTAGGTGGCGGCAATACTGAATTGGTGCCTTATTGGACGGCAGTGGTGATGGGGAGGATGGGTTAGTTACTAGGTACCTAGCCTGGATGAGTAGGTAGTAGGTAAGAGAATGTCAAAGGCAACTCGTGCATCTCGGTACCTACCTAGTTGGCTGGTTCATTCGATGACAGAGATGGCACAACGGAAGAGCAGCGCCTCGCAGCATGCTGGGCAAGGCGAGATTGATGGCGCGGCGGCGGCGATGGGCGACGCACAGGGCGGGCGGCGGCGGCGTTGTGCAGCCAGCAGCCAGCAGCCAGCCAGGACAGACATAGCATGGCCAACGATTTGTGGTTTGTGGTTTGTGGTGTGGTCGCCCGCTACCGATCGCCCAAGCCGCCGGCACCGGCAGCACCCATGGGCCATCTCACCCACGTCAGCCACCCTTGCTTGGCTGCAACAATCAATCTTGTGAAGCTCGAGAGGAAGATTTGGGGAAGAAGAAAAAAAAAGAAAAAAAGCACGGACGAATAACTATCGATACGGATAAACCCTTCTTTTTGCGTGCCTTGTAGTACGAGCTCAACAAGAGCCCTCTCTCTCGACTGACTCCTCGAGTCCCTTCCCTCCCTGCCCAACATCCTGGGGCAGCCTGGCGACATCCGCCTCGCCTTCCCCCTTGTCTGACGCTCGGTACGTACCGACCACTGCCGACCACGTATTGTTCTGTACTCCGTAGTTACTCTGTAAATGCCTCTAGAATTCTGTGCTACAACTTTATTTCCAGCCTTGCCCGGATCAGGTTTCCCAAATCATGCATGCTGGCCTCGTCACCCCTGTTGGCGATTTTTCTTGTTGTGAAGAAGAGGAACACAACATGGTGCCATCTCACATCTCACCACCATCCGCCGCCATCCTCCATCCTCCACACAGACACACCTCGCCTCACATATTACCTATTCACTATAATAATAGGAATACACTACCTACCCTACCTACGCATGCATACTCTGCCAAGCCTCCGTGCAGATGGACGTCCCATTTTTCTCATCTATTTTGCAAAATTTACCTTTTAAGCTCTCCCCCTCCCTCCCTTCCCCCCTGCCCGGCTGATCATGTGCCGGTCAACCATCGTTCGTCCCACTGTCCGGCACTGCAGGCTGCAGGGCGCGCCTGCTGCTGTAGCCCCTCCCCCTGTCAGCCTCGAAACAGCCTCTGGACACGCCGCATGTCAGATCCCCCCAGCCCAGTGGTCCCTGAATCCCTGAATCCCTGATACCTACCTCCTAGGTATGATTCTGTCCTCGTCATGAACTGACTGGGAATCCCCGACTTGAGCTTCAACTAGTGTACGTACCTGCAGCGCAAGCCAACAGTAGCATATGTTAACTTTCTTCTTGCATCGACTTGTGTCTCGCTATCGCGACCTGCGCCACATTCACGTTCAACGGTGACCCACTGTGGCGACAGGGCCAAGATGCAACTTGCTCACGAGTCAATCGGCATCGTCAACATGTCTGCCTAACAACAAACGGTAGCAACAAACCGTCAACCTTTGCAGGAACACACACACACACAAGAAACAAGAACCATGCAGTCCCACACTTACAAGGTGACTTGACATGCACATTGCATTTACAGGCGTCAAAAGCGCAAAACGCGCTCATGTTCGCGCCTCGCGTCCCCAGGTCGCCGACTCTCACCGCCTCAACCATGCGCGCCAGCTCACTCCGTCGCGCGCGTCTCCCCGCCCGTTGGGCAGGTTCGCAGGCGCCTCCAGCGTGTCATGTCACCGCTCTACATCCGTCATGTGGCCCCGTGCGTTCGCCGTCGACCACCCCAGGTAGGACATGACACCTATCTAGTTACCGACCGTCTGGCACCTGCAAAATCGGCCGCATACATACTGCCAGATTGACTTGTCGGATAGTCGTCTTCCGCCTTGGCGAGGATTTGTGGGATTTGTGCTACCAGTGGCGAGTTGGTTGGTCCTGCCAAGCCTTTTACATCCCGCTCATTGCTTGGCTTGATGCGCTTATGCGTATTGGCCAACACACGTCCAGCGACAACCTATGCAATGACAGGCGCTGTTGGTCGTGGTACGAGGCACTTACGTCCAACCTACAGTCGCCCCAGTGGATTGGGCTGAGATGGTGGGCGTTGCTGCTAACAACATGTTCTGACTGGCTTGCAGCCAAGATTTCAGTCCGTCAGTGACAGCATCACCACGCAGTAGCAACTCAGCCTCATCGCAGTACGGCCAAGGTCAATCACAGTTGTCGTCGTCGTCGTAATCACAACTTTCTCATACTATAATTTATGGTTTTGCTTGATGGGTTCACCAATAGCAAAATATTTGTGGTATATACCCTTCACGCCACGAAATCATTCCCACGTTTTGAAAACTCAAGCCGAGCAGAGGCTGTCGTGAACAAGAGCCGGGTTGGAGCTGGCATCGCCCCAATCCATGCCTCTCATCAGGCGGCCAATCTCGGTGCCTCCGTCGGCGCGAATGTAGTCACCTACGATAGAAAAATTGTTAGGAAGGGGGTTGGGACGCGTTGAGTTGACCATGACAGTACAGCATACCTCTCTGCGGTAGATACCACCAGTCTTGGGAGCGGAAGGCATTGTTAGTGAGCTGCGATAGAGCATCGTTGAAGCCCTATCATTGGGGGTCAGCAAGACGCAGTTTAGATACAGGTTCTCGCTGGATAGCGCGAATCTCTTCTGGAGCGTACCGTGTTGCGGTCATTGTGGTGATCGTGCTTGGACCAGGCGACATAGACCTTGGCGTGGTTGAGGTTCTTCTGTCCGTTGGGTCCGCCCAGCTTCTCACCAGCAGTGTCATCGCTGAAGGTGTTTTGAATCTGATCCCACTCCAGAGTCTGGTAACCGCTGTGCTGCGATAGCTTGATCTCTGCCGGGCGCCACAGGCCGTCGTCGGACTTTTTCCAGATGACTAGAACACGCTCCCAGTCACTATGAAGATAGATTAGCTCGGTGCCGTTTGACGAACTGGAGTGATTGCCGAGACTCACTAGTGGTGACCAAAGACTTTGGTGGGATTGAATCTAAGAAGTTGCGGCGCGCCTCGTTAGCTCATCGCGACTGCGGTGCGGTAGGCTCAATGCCCGTCTCCTCTCTTACCCGTCCTTTTGGTAAAACAGAGAGTACTGGATGCGGACGCTGGTATCCGTGCACTTTTGGTACGAGTAATAGACTGGAAAAGACGGCGAAGGGTTACCGATGGGCACGCCAGGAGTGCGACAGTTGCAGCCCGTGTCGGGCCAGTCGCACAGGTCTGCCGGCGGAGTCTGTCTGTTGCTCTTGTCGGTGGCAAACGTAGGAATGCACGGCGGATGATTCAAAGCTTGCCCGAAGAAGAACATGGGCGCCGCCTTCATCGCCAGCGAAACACCGCCCTCGTTGAGCAGGTCGTTCATATCCTTGTCGGAGACGGGCGTGGTGTTGGCATTGGCCAGCGACCAAAGGCCGGCCACAGCGGCCATGGTGGAAGAGAAGGAGACGCGCATCTTGTCTATGCTGGATCGATTGACAAGAAATTGAAGATGAGACCCGACAAGAAGACTCGGACCAAGTCGGCTGTGGGCGGCGCCGGTTCTCTTTTATTCATGGCAAGTTTTGTACTACAAGCGACAACTACCGATGGCCTACTCTGTCGTGAATCCGTTGCCCGATGTGGAGGTAAGACCGAGATGATGTCGGCCAAATCTTGAACGCAGATTAATTTTCCACCTCTCGAGGGAACGGCTGGTGCCATCTCCATCCGCTATTAACCTAGTTGCTTACAGGTTGCATCCGAGTGCTCCAGCTCCGTCAACACTAGTACGGCATGGGCTGCCGACTGTCGCATCCTGGAGCATGATTAGTTAAATCCGACTTTTATGGCCATGTAAGTTGGCAGTCTGCCCACGTTTGTGACCGGCCATTCCGAACACGATCAAGTCGGAGTAGCATCCAGCCCAGACACCGTCGGTGTAGAATCGGTACGATACATGCATATTCTCTACTGTTTGTTCATAAACATCAGGATTTTTTTTTAAATTTGTCAAGTTTTAGTCATAAAACCAATGCATCGTGCCGTGCTCCAATAAACCATGTAGGATCGCAGTAAATGCGCCAGCTTCGCACTTTTCATCTTCTTCATAACTTTCTAGTCGCCCAGCGACTAGCAATCATCACCTGTCGTTATCACATTAAAAAGTTTCCCGGAAAAAAAAACACCAGCTTATTTTTATGCCAATTACGCAAATGCGCCGATGATGGACATGGCAGCAGCTATGACGATGCATGTTAGCCTGGGATTCATTTCATACTGCTTTCTCATGAATTGGGCGTCTTACCTCCTATCAGGACAAATGCAAATGCTGCACCCTTCTTCTTGGCGCCCATGAGTCTGTCAGCCTCCTCAGAGAGGAAATCTTGGGCCAGCAGATCGACCAGGGCAGCGTAGATGAGGAGGCCGGAAGAAATGGCGTTGAAGATACCGACGATGATGAGACCGAACGCACTGTTGGGATCGTACGTGTTGCGGGCACCGAGACCGATGGCCTGGCCGAGGGGCGCCGTGACACCAAAGGCGACAACCAGGAGCCAGGGACGGATGCTGCCTTGCGGGTACGGCACGGCGGCGATACGCGAGCCGAGACCGAGGCCTTCAAAGGCTTGGTGGAAAACAAAGGCAATCAGGAGGATGACAAAGCCATCGACAGTAATGGAGAGGGTCATGCCAACGAAAACGGAATGGAAGAGAATACCACCCTCGAGCAAGGTGATGTTGGCAGACATCTTGCGGTATACCTGAGGGTCAACCTCCATGCCCGCCTCATCGAAATAGCGCACCTCGGTCGCAGCGTTCTTCTTGCTCTGGCCCAGAGGCAGGCGGGAAGGGGCCATGTTGAGGGTCGAGGATGAGTCGCCTCGGTATTCCGTCGGGCTGCTGCAGCCACTTTCGTGCTCGGTGATTCCGCCGATAATCACAGTCGTCTCCGTCTTCTTCTCAGCGTCGGCGCTCGAGTCGGGGCGTTCAAGATGGTGCTGGAGGTGGCTGGGGTGCGTGAGCTCTTCCCCGGTGGGACCGCCGTGGGAGTGGCCGCCCGTCTTTGCATTGAGGTACATCTCAATGACGAAGAGGACGAACATGGAAGCCATCATGATGACACCGGGCATGGGCGGGTACTTTTCCGTGAAGAGGTCGGGAAGGCATGGGTTCATCAGGTTGCCAAAGGCAGTCGGCAGCAGCTATTTTGCGTGTAAGTTGACTTGTGTGTTTGGTTCTAGGCAGAGCGGGAGATGCTTACGTGAACAAAAGCAGTGGCAATGAGGACGCCGGTTCCGAAATGTTTGCAGGCGAAGAAGATGGAGGGTGGGATTTTCAAAGCCTTGAAGCGCTTGGCGACAACGGGAAATCCAGCTCCTGCAAGAAGGGTTGGTCAGCATGGACTAACATCTTTGGGCATCATTTGCAGAGCATCATACCTAGCAGTGAGGATGCCAGGATTAGGACTAATCAGATGGTTAGTTTGGACGATGTGCTGTAAGCCGGGACATTCAAAGCATACACAAGCCCACCACATGAAGTGGCAGGTCGTACTCGGCCTCGGTATTGACATCACTGCCACACTGAGGCTTCTCGCTGGCCATTTTGAGGATTGTTCTTCAAGAATGACTATGAGGCAAGGAGGTCTGAGCCAAGAATCGAATGCAGAGCCGAGTCAAGAGAGAGCAGAGAGAGCTTCAGCGTCGAGGTGACGGAAAAGGTTCGAGGTGAATTCCGAAGCAGGGGTTTCGAAGGAATTGATCCGTAACCAGACTAGATCATGTAGCACTCGGATTCTTTTGGAGCCGTGACTGTAGAAGTGTAGTTTGTATTGTCTAGGGCATGGGTTTTCATGGTCTTTTGTATACATTAGGGCGGCCGCCAACCACTCGTCGTGGGTTGAGCCCTCAGGTCCAACGTTTGCCCCAATACACTTTCCTCTCTACGCAATTTTTATTTTATTTTCCGATATTTGGACGTGGCCAAGCTAGGAGGTCAGGCTAGGGGGGGTCCGTTTGATGGTGTCGCATAAGCAAACACAGGCCTTGTTCGGGTGTGGAGGACTACGGAAATGGTGGTTTCCGGTGAGAGTGTCATGCGTCTCCCGCACGGTTGTGGACCATTCGGGGGCCGTTTTGCCGGCGATGTCGTCTCACAACATCTGGTTTTTTCCCAATCTCATAAGTGAGCAAGATATGGATCTAGGAATAGAAATGATGGGCATGTGCGACGAAGAAAAGGCGCCGATAATCTGTGACACGGACTGTAGCGGGGTTTAGCTTCCTCCATTGACCCAGGTCTAAGCGGACGGTGAGTGGTGACAGGTACCCCGAAAACTTGGCAGGATCTCAGACCCACGGCCAACTTGTAGGGGTCGAAATGGCGCAAAACGGTCTTGTGGATATCGACGGCTCGATCTATTAGTTATCGTGGGGGCCGATGGCTAGATAGATGGACAGCTGGCACTTGGACGGAGAGGGCTGAGCGAAGAAGCCTCCACGTCGATGCAGAGTAGAGTTGGTTGCTGAGCCGTCTTGGTCTTCTTTTCCTATCCATTGCTCTTCTCTTCAGATCCTACTATAGTAGTCCATCTTCAGAAGGAAAGGAGAGCCTGGTTGGTCAGGGCGCGGCACTGCTTTGTTTTGTCACAACCATGTGTGATGGACGCTTGGCCTTGTGGCGAGGGTGGACTGCACGGCGAGTCATACCCAAATAATGGATTTCAAATCCAACCCTGCGGTTCCATAGTGACAACGCATACAGCCATGTCATGTGCCCCAAAGTCTCGTGTTTTTTATCAATTCGTCGCGGGAGCCGCCCATACGCCGACGGCTTGCAGCAACGTGGCGTGTCTGGCTGCGGCCATCGCTCTCGACTACTGTACCTGGTAGTGGTGGCGCCGTGCGGCAGTGGCTTCAAGTCCCGTACCAACCTTATCTCAGCCGGGCCAAAGTTGAGATGGGCTCGAGTCAAGTTCTACTAGAGTCTTCTGGGCCACATGCGCTCTACGTAGTCCGCAGCCAGACGGCCAAGCAAGCCAAGCCCAGGAGAAAACCATGACCACATAAACCACTTCGTGACGATGAACTAATCACTCTTCACTTTTCCTTTAATGATCCGTCATCATCCTTGACATATGAGCGATACGTAGTCATGAGCAGCCAAGCATGTCTCTGCATCATCGCCCACATACATGGGTCGCCACAATTTTTGCTTTACATATAACCAACTAGAATAAAATGAAAACTTTATTCCGCACAAAACATACTTCATTGTGCATCTCTGCCTCGTATGGTGGGCATTGTCAAGATCGGTCATGTCAGGCCTGTGTCGCATCTTTCCTAGCTCGTGTTTTAGAAGTCTGCTGGTCGGCCAAGGGATCCGACTCCAGTCGCGTTTCACATCTTCATCCTAATTCACCTTGGATCCCCATGTTTGTGATCTTCTGTGACAATGTTTGAGGGGGAATAAAGGGGCCATATCTTGTGGCGGTCTCAGTAAGAAAGAAGCAGGTAGTCACCCCATTGGCCTGTCTTGTCATGCAAATCTAGGGTCCGATGTAAGTCAGCGAAACCAGCGATCAGCAGCCAAGGGAGCACGCGACTAGTTGCGTGCTTCGGGAGGTTATTCCGCTCATGTATTCACCTTGACATTACACAGCCGCAGCGCAAAGGAAACCATGCCAAGCTTGAGGGGAATAGTTGCTTCCACAAAATGCAGTCTTCCAAGAGCTATCAAACTAACCAATGTAACAAGGCACCTCTAGAGAAACACTGCCTCTCACACGAGGCGCTTGCCCAGCTCTTGACCATTCTTCCAGCGCACAACCTCTTCCGCTTGCTGCTTGTACCAGCCGTGAATCGTGGCGTGATCTACGAATCCCGTGTGCGGCGTCAAGAGCACCTGGCTGCGCCCATCCTTACCCCAGGCCGTTGTCCTCCACTCGCTCTCCGCGGGCAAGGGCTCGATGGCGAACACGTCGAGGGCGGCGCCGCGAATTCTTCCCTGTTGGAGCGTGTCGAGCAGGTCCCTCTCCACGACGAGCGGGCCGCGCGAGGTGTTGACGAAGAAGGACTCGGGCTTCATCTTGTGCAGATCGGCGGCCGTGATGAGGCCCCGGGAGCGGTCTGACAAGACCAGATGCAGGCTGACTACATCCGACTTGCTGAACAGGTCCTCGCGCGAGACGCTCGCAAATGTCGGACGCCCGTCAGGCTGCGTGGCCGCGAGCCCGGCCGCTCGGGCCTGCTCATCTGCCTTGTCCTGAGTCAGATTGGGGCTCCACGCAATGACCTGCATGCCTAGAGCGGCATGAAGCATCTTGGCTGTGACCACTCCCAGACGGCCAAGGCCGACCAATCCCAGCGTCTTGCCAGAGAGGCTTGTGCTGCACCCCGTCTGCCAGCCGCCGGTTTTCACCGACGCGTCGTCTGCGGCGATGTTCTTGGACAGCGCCATGATCAGGGTCAGAATGTGCTCCGGCGTCGAGTCGACGACGGGCGTGTAGCCGACGGGCGGCAGGCCCAGCACCGTGGCCACGACGACGCCCCTCTCCTGCAAGGCATCAAGGTCCAACGCTAGATTGCGCGCGCTGTTTGTGAGGAGAAGCTTCAGCTTCGGCAGGCGCCTGACTAGTTCCGCGGGGAATGGGGTCCGTTCTCGAGTAGTGACTATGTAGGTAGTTTGAGATAAGTCAGAATCTACCGTGTTATCCCCGAGTTGATCCTGGCCAATAACACCACTTGGGGCATGTATATCTGAAACCGATAGATCCAAAAGTCCCCGGATTGTTCACGTACCGATGATTTGAAATGGCTCCAGCCGCTGCACTAACTCGTCTTGAACGCTTCACGGCGTCTCTGGATGGTTGTATGGCAGCAGGGTATCCTTGAAATACCTGATTTCAAATTCGCCGCCCAGCGCTCCAAAGTATTCCTCTGCTATACCCTGGTAGTCATCGAGAACTGCTATTTTGAGACTCATTGTGAACCGGCTTGTAGAGAGTTATTTTCGGAGTCAAGTTCCACCCCCGCAGCCTGCTGATAGGAGACTTGCTGATAAACGGACCATTCGTCATTTAGTCATTCACATTCATCACGCTAGTCGCTGCCATGTGACTGTAACGTGTCAATGCATTGCCCAGCTCATTATCTCGGTCTATTGATTCATTCATCAAATTTAGCTTATCCATTTTCATCAAACTTCATCTATTCCCCCAACTTACCATTCGTCATCCCTTCATCTCAATACTTCATTAAAGACCCATTCCTATTCTCTTACGTACTTGATTATCTTCTTAATTCCCTCACCCCTCTTCACTTCCTTCGTCTTCATTCTTCTACTACCGACTGGCAATCATCAGATTGTAATACTCTTGATTGTGCAGTAAAGAAATATCATTTTTGCTATAGTACGTTCGGACCGCTTTCAGTAAGTAGCATCCGCTTGCTGCCTGTCTCACTATTTTGTTCTGCCCTCAGATCTTCGGCATACGCGAAGCACCGTCTAAGCGAATAACCTCGCCATTGAGCATTTCATTCTCAATAATCTGGCGAACGAGAGATGCGAACTCAGGGGCGCGACCTGATCTCGTAGGAAACACAAATGTATTCTCCAGGTTCTTGCGGACCTTGTCAGGCATAGCGCTTGTCATTCCAGTCTCAAAGAGACTGGGGGCAATGGTCATGGCACGAATTCCATAACGACCAAGATCTCGCGCCATGGGCAGAGTGAGCGATCGGATGGCGCCCTTGGAGGCCGAGTACGAGACCTGGCCGTTTTGACCATCAAAGGCCGCGGAAGATGCGACCATGATGATGACACCATGATCGCTGTCAGCAGACTCGCGCTTGGTCTTCACCATGGCTTCGCAAGTCTGGCGGGCGAGATCAATAGTGCCACGCAAGTTGACGCCAACGACGAAATCAAAATCGTCGATGCTGAAAGGGGTGCCGTGGCGGTTGACAATCTCCTCAAGAGTTAGCTTTTTCTTTTCTTCATCACAGTCACACAGCCATCAAGCAAAAGGTACGAGACGTACGGGAGCAGGAAGGGCGACACCAGCAGCAGTGATGGCGCCGCCAATCGTCTTGCCGGATTGGTTGGCCCATTCCACGGTGCCCTGAACGGCCTTTGCGATGCTCTCACTTTCCAACACGTCGCAGACAAAAAATTGGGCAGCGCTTCCCACTGTCTTGACAAATTCCTGGCCATTTTCCTCGTTTTGATCGAGGACAGCGACATGGCCACCTTGGGCGACAATGTCCTCGCAACAGGCCCGGCCTAATCCCGAGGCACTGTGGTGATAATTAGCATGTGGTAGGGAGAGGGGGAGGGACGTAGAGTCGTTCGTGTAGTCTTACCCGCCGGAAACAAGGAATGTGTGTTTGGAAATTTTCATTGTTGTAGATGCGCAAGTAATACGGCGGCTACAGATGCCAAATTGTAATAGATGCCGAAGTAATACGGTGGTTGTAGATGCAAGATTGTAGAGTTAAATGGAGCTGGTAGCTACAGCGCCGAAGCAGTTTGCCGACCGTGCATCCGCTCCTACGTTTCTACTCAAGCACAGTACCTCATAAGATCAAATAACTCCGTTGTTCTTCAACAAAGCATCCACCGGGCAAGTTCCTTCCGAACTTTAACCGGCCTGGTTAGCTCAATCGGTAGAGCGTGAGACTCTTACGAGACCAGAACCATCTCAAGGCTACGGGTTCGACCCCCGTATCGGGCTTTTCCTATAAATGAATCCGGTTGAACACCCGGTGGTGTTAGTTTTTTTGCTTTCCATAGCACTTTGAATTTTTATTCATCTAGTACTTTCCCCGTTTTTAAAAGGGTGCATGAGACCTCTCGAGAGCCCAAAGAACCTCCACAATACATCATCATCCCACACAGCATAATGGCATAACAAGCCTTGGGCACAAGCCTTAAGCCCGACTCCTACACACCACACATCAGAGCAGCTCTGTGATTACGGAAGATAGAAGCCACTGCACTAAATTAAATTGGTCAATTTAAGCAGAGACAAGAGAGGCAAAAGCCCAGGAAAGTCAGATACCAAGTGAACTCAGGCATCACCGCGCAAGACTGCACATGTTTAACGCAGCCCCCTTCGTATTTTCGGTGGCTCTCAGGCCCTATCTATCAATGTACGGTTCTGGCTGTTTGGCTACCTAGGTACGGTACCAGGTACGGAGTTCCTATCTAGGTACTGCATGGTAAGTACCTATGTAGCGTGGCATCGATTGCACGAAGCTCATGAACAGGCTGGGTATGCGCAGTACAACCAAGGTTGTCGATGGACGAAGTTTTGTCCCCGGAATGGCTCTGTTTAGAGACAGCAACCTCGTCAATCCTGCAGCACGGGAAAGGGGGTACCCGTCGATCTTGGACTGGGAATATCCGCTTTTTGATGCGCAGGGCAATACGGTCCAGAGGTTACACCCTAAGCCATCGATGCTACTTGACGGCCGGGAAGAGTCCTCTACGTCCCCGCGAACATAACACGAATCAAACAAAATTTGAGGAAAGCGGTGCAGGCGTTTTTGACTGGCGGACCTCACTAGAAGTATGCGGCGTATTTGCCCGAGAAGTGCGACATTCTGGCAATCCGCTTTGCCAACCCTCTCGGCCGCTTACTGCCGACTATTTCGAATGCACTGGCGGTCCTTGGAAGGGTTGATCTTAAAACCATTCTGGGCAGTCCGCCTGCTGGTCCATTGCCTTTCTATGATGCCACGCTCGAGAGCGATACGATGCTGCTGCTTCCGATTCCACCAATGAATAGCGCAAGGCCGCTTTTTTTTTTTTTTTTCTCGCTCTATTATATCAACACCAATGCTTGGAAATTCGATACCATTTTAGCTTTGCAAAAAGAAAGAGAGCTAGAACCGTCTCGGGACGCAAGTTTATTATAGCCTAGATTCTATTCACCTCTAAGAAAGATAAATACGACTAGAAAGATAAATATGATAAGAAAGATAAATACGACTAGAAAGATAAATACAATTAGATATATATATCAAAGTTTATGACTTGAAACGACAAAAAATGTTGATGCATCGTAGTGAGTGTTGAGCTCGTTGGAACGTCATGTCAGCATGATTCCGATAATTGGTCTAAAAAAGACAGGCTCGTATCGACTCTCAAGCGAAGGGCAAAATCTTTCCGCTATTTGTAAGCTCCTAATTTTCGCGAATTTAGTACCACGCGAGAGTGACCACCCGACAGCAAAATCCGAAGACAGCGTCAACTACCACCGCCATCATATACTCCAGTCTGCTCAGGGTTTCTTTCACCAGGTAGAGCCCCAGGCTCTCTATTACCTCTATTACCAACCCCGGGCTCTCTGGTTCCAACACCAGGCTCTCTATTTCCCACACCAGGCTCTCTATTTCCCACACCAGGCTCTCTATTTCCCACACCAGGTTGTCGATTGCGCGATGTACCGGGTTGTTTTCCTCCCGTACCCTGGTGTCGTTTGTCGACGGCGAGTCTCGCGCCCTCCACAGCATAGCCCAGATCGATAGGAACAGACAATAGAAAGCGGGCATGGCGACAAAAAAATAGATCCATGTAGGTCTAAATCACAAGGTCAGTTTTGGAAGGCAACTTTTGGCGACAGGGAAACTTGACGTACTCGATGTTGCCGTTGACTAGTCCGTACTGTATGGCCGCCCTCTCACACAGACGCAAGTACAGCATGCAGATGAAAACACCGGTGATGGGACATTGCGCGTACACTCGGTGTGGCAGGAGCTGTGGCAGGATGCTTAGGAGCATCGCGGCCCCCAACGAAGGAAGGAACTCGGCGAAGCGGAGGCTGATGCGTGCGTAGAGTACCAAGACGCTGAGCAGAAACCAGGCAATGCCGCGAGAGACACTTTGCTGGTGCGTCTCCCGCGTCAGCGAGGAGGTCACTTCCCACAGGCCGTTTGAGATGCGAGACGACGGTGGCACCCAAAGGATGCCCTCTCTCAGAGCGGTGGCTCGCGATGCCGAGATGTACAGCATGGCTCCGAGAAAAGCCAGCTCATAAAATTCGCCACGGTGGTCGAACTCATTGCTGGCCTCTATGTACCGCGAAAGAAATAGCAAATAGGCTATGGAATGCATTGTTGTGGTTGGTGGCTTGTGATTCGGGTTGCCCAGTTGTCTAGGTTGCCTTGTTCTGAGGAGAAAAGGTCTCAAGGTTATTTGTGCGTAAAGAACTTGTAGGGATATGGGACACGAGTGTCCTTTAAGTAATAGAATACCTTTACAGAAATTTTCCAGTCAGTATCTAAGTTTGCATATGGTTGGATGGTGGGAAAGTAAATTTGATGCAAAGGTTGATTTGGAGCCAGAAACCATGATTTTGTTTCTAAGACAACCCAGAATCGAACCTCTTGGGAAAAAATGAATCGGCTAAAAGCGAGAAAATTTCAAGGATGATTTCAAATTGAATAAAGAAAATGGGGGAACATATTTCACCGCGTTTAGTAAACGCGTACAGATGACCCAGTAGGAAGAACATAATAAACCGTAGACCAAACCCTTCTTCTTATCAGCTCGGAGCTTATTCATCTCAGCGCCTTCTCCATGAAGACTGAGAAATTTCCCAATAAGCTCGCAGCAGGGCTAAGCCACCAGCCTGGGTCTCGACTGTACGACCGCGGCCGCGACTGTTGGGGTCACCAGAGCCCGCCGAGTACAACTGCGCACCACTATTCGCCGTCGCATTACCGCCACCAGGTACAAAGACATCCTGTACGCCCCATAGAGCGTTACGCGGAGTGCCTTCATTGCGGTAATCTGTCTTGTTGGCGGCAAAGTGATCAATGCCGTCCGCGCAACGCACCGCGTTGACGTTGAACACGATGGCTCCCCACCACATGCCAAAGTGTCCGTTGCTGTCTCGTGTCTTAAGTGCCGCATCGGCATTGTGCTTGATCCAGCTAATGTAGGTGCGGCATGACGCGGCGTGCGACTGTCGCACTTGCATAAAGGCTTGTTCGTTGATCTTGGTGTCACCATGGGTCACCTCAAGGGGTCTGCAAAAGGCCGTCAGATGGTGAAAGTAGATGCCCTTGAACGTCTGCGAATCTTGGGAGCATGTAGCAGAGGCATCGCACTGGTCCTCCAGAAATCCGTACCGGCCAAGTCCACGCCATGGGGGAAGTTGCCCAGCACTCAGGCTGTCAACGGGCTTTCCGCGCTGAAGGTCCCAGCCTGTCGCAGCAATGACAGACTTGACCAAGTTGTGACCGTCCTCGACGTACGACGGGTCGCCGGTTACACTGAAAAGACCCCGGTTTCCTGTCAAGATGACGCCTTGGTTATACGTATAGACCATTTCATCGCGCTGGTCGCACTTTGTGTTACCAGGGATGTTGTGGTTGATGTGGAAGCCGTCAACGAATAGACCCTGACTATTCGTCATATTGACATTCGTCAACCATTTGTAACCGTCTTTCGCTGCCCGAAGATGGCGGAGATCACGCGAGCCAGTGCCATTAAGGCGATCGCCTGGAAAGTGCTGGTACATGGCAATGGAGCCAGCAATGTACAGCTCATTGGTAATAGCATTTTTGTATGTTTCCAGGCGCGGATTCCAGGTCATGCCACCGTTACAAAGCGCAGTGTCCCAGCCCTGGGTTGAAAAGGCCCAAAAGTCATTGGCGCGACTTGCAAAACTATCGACCCAGAACTGGCCGTGCCAGGTCATAGTTTGTACAGCTTGGGTAATGTCCTCTGGGATAGACTTGTCGTTGAATCCCCCGTCAGGATAGTGCAAGTCTTGGTGGAGACGGCGGAACTTGATGGCCTCGATCCAGCCAAGGACAACCCAGAGTACATCATCGTATGCCTGTCAGGCATATTTAGTGGCTTTTCAACGTGACAACAAAACACAAACGTGAAGAGCAGCACACACCTCGGTGAGAATCCGGTCTGCCTCTTGGCCAAAATAGGAGCTGACGATCTGCTCATGCAGGAAGGAAAGAAGATTTTCCTTTTGCTTCCAGTTTTGCCCTGGTACGGCAGCATCTAGAGACTGGGTTAGAGTCGACATGGTGCCCGAAACAATGGTCTGGATGACGGCAGCAGTCCAGTCAATGGCGTCGGGCCAAGTATTTCTACTCTGCTTGAAGTAGTCATTTTGCAAGTCGGCGAGGGCCTTGAAGGTGTTTTGCAAAATGGTTATGTCCGGTGTTGAGCCCGAAGATGCAGACGCCGTGGCGGAAGCAGAAGCAGCAGCGTCTCGTACTTGAAGGAAATTATTTGGCAGTGAGCGACACTTGACGGTAGAACTGGCTCTCTCAAACACGGAGCAGTAGCGTATGTTAGCAGCGGCTGAGACACTGGACAAGGCTGCGAGGCCGTAGAGACTAATTGCAAGTAACGAGGCCGTCATGGTGTTTATCTGAGCTAAAAGACGAAATCCAAATGCGATTCCAGGGCCGCCAAGAGTCTGAAAAGTAGTCTCATTCGAAGCAAGGAAAGGGCCGGCGAAGGCATGGTTCATATGGCTGAGCATCATGTCTCTGTATGCCGTGTCACCCTGGCAGGGTAACGTGCTGAAGGCTGGCTACCAATGCAAGAACCCCCCAGCAGAACCAAGACACCTGAACGAATTAAGCGTACCGCTACGCGTGCAACATGGTTTTCAATAATGCCGCGGCCGATGTGTCGATGGAGGCCGTGTCAGAAGACCGGAAGGGCTCGCAGGAGCAGCCTTGGTTCCCGGCGGTGGTGGTGGAGGGACGGAACGCGGGCAACTATATGGGTCGTATAATGTCAGTCTATGAGGTTGCAGAACGGCTCAATACGACACACATTATACGACACCACAGAGGGGGAAGCTTGAAGAAGGTGTGAAGGAGTGCTACTGGGGGACCGTTGAAATTGGAGGTCGAGCTTCACGACTAGAAGAGGCTAGTTTTGCCCATGACATCTCTAGCTGGCGGGTAGAATCTTGAGTTTGGTTGCAGCGCATCGATTCGCGGCGAATAACTCGGGCCTATTTCCCATTTTCGCATGTTTCTTGCCCACACTACGGCAACTTCATGGTACTGATCGGTGTCAGGGATGGGTCGGAAGGGGTATCGTGATGAGGGGTAATGTGTCGGAGCGTAGTGGTGCATGGGAAGCGGTGGTCGTATTGAAGGATGACCTACTAGTCTAGTTAGCTGATCGAGGCCTCCAGGTTTGGCTGCAGAGATATCCGCGCCAAGCATCTTACTGAGGCGGTGGGCAAGTCAGCTGGACTTGGTTGCTGCAGTTGGAAGACTGGTTGACCTAATAAGAAAGTATCGGCGATGTCTAACTAATTTGGCCTTAGTAATGCCAATTGGACAATCGGGATAAAGGGCGCTGGCTGAGGTAAACGGCCGCCCGAGAGGCCGATGAAGGAAACAAAAATGCCACGATATTGGCCAAATTATGTAGAGTTTCTCGGATATTTTTTTTCAATGATTTATTTTGGCCGTGTTTGACGCAGCTGGAGGTGAAGCGGCGATTTTGACTGTGCACTATACTGTTAGGACGGTGCAGACACAGATGTCGTGGTAGTAGAAATATCAGAGAAATTTCTGAAAAAACCGCCAGTACTGATATACTACTACCTACATTAAATATTGTTTAGCAGCTCCATCAATCACTGCACGGCACATCAATCACTGCACCAGATCCATCACCGCACCAGATCAAACACTGCCCACAAAAAAAACAACAGGTTTGTTTACATTGCGCCCAAAACAGAAGCGCCGGCCCCACCCGGTCTACCTCCCGTATCGACACAACCCAGCTTCTCCCCATCTCCAATCTGCATCTTCTTAGCTCATACGCGTTTCTTGTCTGCAATTCGCCTCTTCTTCAACCCATTTACCAGTATCTTGTCTGCACTGACCAGCTTCATGCAATAGCTTCCATCGCACTCTCACCAACACCACCAACACCGACTGTCCCCACTCGCCCGCGGTACACAACGGCATCGCGCCGTACGCGTCGCAGAAGCCATGGAGACGGACGTTGCTCAGCGATTCCGCTCTCGCATCCTTCGCGAGATGCACGCAAACCGCGAGAACCCCTTCAACTCGCCCCCCTCGTCCACCGGCTCCCACGGCACCGTAAGCCCGACCATGACTTCAGTCTTTTCCGACCCCGATGGCGAGTCGACTCGCAGGTTGAACGAAGACATTGCCCGCGTCACTGGCGGCGGCAGGAAGCTCCCTGTCAACTGGGACGCTGCCCATCGCAAGTGGCCCGAGTACTTCTCCAAACCCAAGAAGTCACCTGCCGGCAACGACACGAAGTCTCTCAAGGAAAACTACAACCCTCCCCCTTTCAAGTTTCTTCAAGAAGACTCGACGCGAGACATTTGGGATGGCTCCAAGCGCAAGCGCGCTGATATGCAGCCCCGTGCCGACGACGAATCCGACCTCTCGATTCTGCTCTCAAAATCTCCTGCGGCAGCTCTCTCGCTCAACAACAATCGCCATCTCAGCCCCATCTCGCGTTCCCACGCCCGCGCCCCTTCAGAGCCTGCGCCGCTCCTTCAAAGGCGGCCTTCCATATCCGAAGCTCTTGAACGCCTGCGCAAAGCCTCCAGCAGCCCCAAGCAGCCCGACCAAAAGCTCATGTCAGGGGCCAACGGCTCGTCACCAAACGGCTCTTCTGCCAAATCTAGCTTCACTGCAGTGCCCCCTTCGCCCAATTCCATCGCTAGTCCCGATCCTGGTGCCAATGCCCGCTCATTCTTTATGCCCGATGTCTCCCACCTTGGTGACTTTGTTACTGGCACCCTTCGCTTCAGTGGCTCTATGAAAAATGGCGTTCCTATATTTGTCAAGCAGGGCAGAGTTCATGACAAGCAAGAAAGCCCCGCCGCTGCTGCACACGTTGCTGTCGACTCAGTCAAGGTCCCTCAGGATGAAGAAAGAATCTTTGTATCCATGGATATGATCCGTGACGAAATTATTTCTCTTCAAGAGCACCATGAAAAGGTGCAAGAATATGCCTTGAACATGCAACAGCAAGTCGAGAGACTCGAGGCACAATTAAAGGAAAAGGGTCAGAACTCGGACAAAAGCCGCGACCGCGAACATGCTTCTGAGTCTAATTCTCGTACGTGGCTGAGAGCCAACTAATAAACTCTCGTACTAACATGCTGCAGGGCTTCGATCCGAAATTGCCACTCTTCAGGTCCGTCTCGACCAAGCCACGCGCAAGATTAGCACCAGCGAAATCGCCAACGACTCCATCACACATGAGAAGGAGCGTGTGCTCACTAGGCTGCAGGAGGCATGCGACGACATCAACAAGCTAACCCGCAAGCTTACGGTCAAGGAAAAAGCACTAGAGACTTCTCAGAAGCAGCTGGACTCATCTGAGCAAGTTCGACAGGAAAACGACACTCTGCGCCGCGATCTCGTCGCCATCACACACAGTCGCGACGCACTTGAACTAGAGAATTCGTCTCTGCGCGGCGACAATGACAAGCTTGAGAGTGGGCTGCGGTCGCTGCAGTCAGAAATGCATAGGTTGCGCTCTGAAAATGACCGCCTACGCCAGCAACAACAATCTTTACTCGCCGAGAACAAGTCTCTGCGCTCCAGCAGGGCGCAGTTGGAGCAACACGATGTTCTCAATGAGGACCTTGATGAGGTGCAGCACGAGCTGGATGCAGCTCGTGAGGAGCTTGAAGCACTTCGCAAGCGCAATGAGGAGCTTGCTTCTCTGCGAGAGGACAACCAGAGCCTAGTACGACACAACGAAAAATATTTCAACGACAACAAGATGCTCAGACGCGAGAACTCTGGCTTTGAGCGCAGTATTCATGACCTACATGAGGAGAACATCAAGCTCAAGGAGGAAGTTGTCTTCCTCAAGGAGCAGATTGATCATTACCGCCCGGCTCCCAAGGCAAATATTGAGACTGAAAATACTACCGCCGGGATCCCTGTGCCCGATATCACGATCGATACAAACGTCTCTGGTCCTGATGGGCCTACTGAGACCAGGGATCTGCCAGATCCCCTAGAAATGACTGGTCAAAGTCAAAACGTCATGGATGCTGAATACACGGACTCTGTTATGAACACAAACCAGAACGTAGACACATTTCAAAAGAGGGGCCAAACCGTCAACGAGCAGGCGCAAAAGGTGGCCTTCTCTATCCCTGCCAAGCCTGGGGTGCTGAAGACTACTGCCAACCAAGGAAGCAAACGACGATCTACGTCGCGCCAGGCACCAAAAGCCCATTTCGAGAACTATAGCGACTACGACGAGACTTCAGGCGCCCTGTCTTTGGATATGGGGGCCACTCAAGACCAGGTAGTCGAGCTGAGCGTTCCTGTGCAGGGAATATTCAAGCCTACTGGCAACCGCGAACAGACGCCTCATCCTCGCAGAACAAAAAGTGTTCAGCACACCATGGAGACGGACATTACGACCGGAACAAACAAGAGCATTCACCAAAGCACCGGCTGTGCTCTATCCCGCGACGCGAAGCGTGTGCTGAATGACCTCTGTGTACACAGCTGCAGCAGCTGCATTGTTTGCGCCCGCATTACCTCACACCGCAGCACGTCTGCCGAGCTCGTCGTGGGGAAGAAGCGCGTCACTGTGCCTCGCCCTGTTCCTGTGACGGACCGCGATCTCTCCGTGGAAGACCCAACCATGCGTCCGGCGCAGTCTCCCGGCCACGCTCTGGCTCTCGTTATAAAGGGCCTGGAGGATGAGTCGCGCCATCTGCAGTTTGAGCTCTCGCAGCTGCAGACAAAGTACAGCAACCAGGATAAGGCAATTGGCAAGAGGGACCGTGTGGCGCTCGCCGAGGACATTCGAAGTCTCCTCAAGCGCCTCGAGGTCAAGAATGACCAAATCTACAGCCTGTACGACGTCCTCGAGGGCCAGAAAGCGGCGGGTCAGGCCATGTCGGAGGAGGAGCTCGAGATGACTGTCCTTAACATTACTGGCATGTCCATTCGCGACGTCACCGACCAGTTCACCTGGGAAGGCATCCATTGATGGCCACCGAGTGTGTCGAGAAGAAGAGGACTATCATTTTGTCCTAAGTCTGGCATCATGAATAGCGAACATTTCAGGCGTTTTATTTTACGATTGCATGTGTGGTCAGTCTGGGGGGGGTGGGATTGGAAGGAGATGTGTGTTTTTTTCTTCAATGGGGGTTTTGGAGTACAGGAAGGGAACTACTTCGGCGTTTTTGTGATTTTCCTTGTGGAAGGATTTCTTTTGGTTGCTTCGTTGGAACTGCTTCCTGCTGGCATACAATACGGGAAGCTGGCGTTTTTTTTTTCCTCTTGTTCTCGTTTTGGTCTTTTTGGAAACCAGGACGCTCTTGGACTGATTGGTACCAGAAGAACTGCGCGTAGCATGCATTGTATATATTACTCGTCATTTGATGCTCTGCAGCTGCCTGACTACAAATAAACCCACTGTGCCGTGAATGCGAGTGTACGGACCTTGGTTAGATTTCTGTTTCAGATGTCCGTTACTCTTTTTGTTTGCACCGTCACCTCTGCGAATGGCCCCGAGTTTGGCAATGAAAGAAAAAAATCGAGGTATCCTTTTCATGTATGTACAGCCTAACTCCGGTTTACATGTGTCATTTCTATTGTTGCGCCACACTACGCATCATCCTCTTCCTCTTCCTCCTCTTCCTCCTCTTCGTCGTCTTCCATGTCAACCTCATCCTCTTCCTCATCCGAGTCCACCTCCATCTCCTCATCCGAGTCCATCATGTCATTCCCTTGCAGCGCGGCCCTTTCTTCCTCGCGACGCGTCTTGTCGTCCTCCTTGCGAGCCTCTTCCAGTACCTTGGCCCTCTCGGCACGTCCCTTGCGCTGGCCGATGACGTACGCGCCAATCGGCGTCTTGGTGGCGTCAAAGTCGCGCAAAAAGGCGTCGACCTGCGTGCGGTCCTTGGGGGCAAAGTCGACCTTGGCGCGGTGGCCCTCGATAAACTTGGCGTTGGCCTCAATCTTTTGCACGAGCAAGACGAGCTGCGTGGAGAGCTTGGCGTTCTTGTTGCCTTGGGCGGTGCGGGAGCCACGCGCCTGCTTGAGCCAGCGCTTGAGCTGGATGACAACGGGCAGAGCGAGCTCGGGAAAAGCGATCGAGGTGCCCCAGAGGTGCATGAACTCGCCGAGGAGCTCGACGACCTGATCGCCGACGCCGTCCTGGAAGACGCGCGTGCGTAGGTAGGCCTTGGGGGCCTTGTAGGCGACGGCAAAGTCGAAGGCCTTGAGGGTGGCGCTCTTGGGCGGGCGTTTCATTTCCGCCGAGGCGAGGACCTCGAGCAGCGGCGAGGCGAGCGGAATGTACGTGTCGGTGGCGCGCGAGGTGCGTAGGAGCGCGCGGACGAGGTGGAAGCGCAGCGGAAAGTAGACCGCCGTGGGGATGAGGCGCATGGCACCGAGCGTGACCTGGACGAGCGGGTAGACGAGCAGCTTGAGCTGGCTCTCCTTGCCCGCCTCGGCCTCCTTGGCGGGCGTGCAGTGGTAGGCGAGCACGCAGGACCAAAAGTCGAGCGAATGTGTAAACTGCCAGTTGTACACCATGCGGAACGAGTCATTTTTGTTGTGGACGATGCTATTGCGCAGGTGAATGGCTAGCTGGCGGATGAAACTGAACGCGGTGGAGTAGCCGACGGCTGGGTCGATGCCCCAGAGCTCGGCAGCCGAGTTCTTCATGAGGTTGATGCCCTGGAGGGTGTTGTGGTTGGTGATACGGCAGCCCTGGACGAGGCCCTGGTAGACGGCCTTGAGGACCGTCTCACGGATGCCCTTGTCGCCGATGGAGACGAGTCGGCGCAGTACCAAAAATGCCGTGATGCGCGTCGACTCGGAGCTGGCGGGCTGCGCCCAAAAGGTGACGACGGCCTTGGCCAGCGCCTTGACGAGCTTCTTGAACGACAGCAGGTACGGCAGGATGGGTGTCATGGCCGACAGCGTCAGCTTGAGCGTGCGGTCGTCAGACAGCGTGCCCAGAAGGTGCATCATGGCCGACGTGTACGTCTTGAGCAGCAGCGAAAGCGCCTGGAACTTTTTGCTCTCCGTCTGCACGTAGACGCGGCCTGAGGCCGACTCCTTAACGGGGAGGTGGTGGTTGATGACAACGGGGATCTCACGCAGGGCGAGCACAAGAATGTCGTTGAACACATCGGGGCTGTTGATGGTCCATTTCTGCTGTGAATCCTCGTCAATGTCGTCTTCATTGAGGTGCGCGGCGCAGCGGAATGCGAGAACGACTTGTCTCGTCGCACGCAGCGACTGGCTCTCCTTCATTGATTTGCGCCAGCCCGCCACAATGGCCGTGGTGAGTTCCTTGCTATCGCCCTCGGCCTCCGCTTCCTTGGCCTTGGCGTTCTTGGTCTTCTTTTGCTTCTTCTTAGGCTGCTCCTCCTCCTCCTCGGAGTCCTCGCCGGCGCTCAGCTCATCCACTTCTGCCAGGTCGGCCTTGTCGTCAAAGTCGAGCGCATCGGGGTCGTTTTCCTTTAGAAATTTGTAGAATTCGGGGTCCTTGTCGGCGAGCGCATCCATGGCCTCTTGGTTCATACCCGCCTCTTCGTCATCTTGATCGCCATCCTCGCTGTCGCTGGCAAAGGGCTGTGCATCCATGGCTTCCGAGGCGGCGGCGTCTTCCTCTGCATTCATCTCGGAGCGGTCGCGCATTCTTTCGCCGGGCGTGGCCTTGTCCGACTTGTCGTCGATGATGTCCTCGAAGCCGCCTTGGAAGAAATCGTCGACGCTCATGTCATTGACTTGTCTGTCTTTGGGGCCTCGCGGCCGCGGCTTGCCATCCTTGGTGAAGAACTCAGCATCCTTGGCCTTGCGCTGCTTTGACTTCTCTTTGATCTGCTGCTTTTGCTTGATCTTGGCCGTGACCTTTCTCCGGTCTAGAACACCCTGTAAATGGTTCTTTTCAAACTTTTTGGTGGCCTTGAGGTTCTTCTTGGTGGGTGCCATGGTGGGCAGTTATATTGCAATTCGCGAGTGGGCGAATTGAACGGACCCTCGTGGCTGGGGAGATGATTGTACTGAAGATGCAACACGCCGCCCTGCAGCTTCCTGGGCGAAATGGTCGGCTTCAAAAAAAATTCGAGCCGTCGAGTTATCGATAAGGTAGCAGCTGCACTTGGGTCCGGGCGGTGAAACCATTCTGCCGAACATTTCCAATTCAGTTCCCCGCCAAAGTGTCGCCCGCCAAGGCCTACTAACCTGGCGCTGAGGAACTGCTATTTACAGGCGTCACCGCGCTGGAGCTTCACTCTGCGAAATGCCTTGAAACACTCACTTCATCACAATGCTTCCCCGGCAAGGCTACGCGCCTACGCCGCACAGCTATATCCCCAATACGGCGCTCTCGGCATCAATAAACCTAGACGAGGTATGCTTATAGTCCATGTCGCTACGCGATCATCGCCAACCCCTCTGCTAACCAGATCCGTCATTGCGTACCTAGGAGGTCACCTTGACGAGCACACGAGCAGAGCGCGACCTGCAAGATTCCCTCGCCGAACTGTTCAGTATTATTGTAACTCTCGACGAGCTAGAAAAAGCCTTCATCAAGGATGCCGTATCCGAAGCGGAATACACAGAGATATGCGAGCGGTCGCTACGGCAGTACAATGCGCTGCTCGCCGACGAGACCATTGCTAGAGAGTTTGGCGGCCTGGAGGAGTTCCAAGCAAAGTGGGATGTAAGCAATCCATGCCTTTTCGGTAAGCCAACCATACTTGCGCTAACTTGCTATTCAGATTGAAGCGCCGCGTGCGACGAAGCGACTCCAAGCCGGCATGCCCTCCACCATGACAACACCCGCCTCGTCAGCCGCCGCTGGGCCATCCGATCGGAATAACACCAGCGGTGTCTTGATTCTCGAAGCAACGCAAGACTTTATCACATTTCTTGACGCTGTGAAGCTCGGTCTGCTGTCCAAGGACCAGCTCCACCCTCTCTTGTCCGATGTGATTCAGTCGGTCAACAAGGTCACGGACAAGGACTTTGAGAACAGAGGAAAGATTGTGCAGTGGCTCATCACGCTCAACCAAATGAAGGCAAGCGAGGAACTCAGCGAGCAGCAGGCCAGAGAGCTGGACATGGATATCCAGCAGGCATACCAAGGATTTAGACGGACATTGACATAATGGGCCGTTGAAAGCTGGCTCCTTTGCATCTGTGAATGTAGCAGACATCCCGTATGGCGCGTATATAATACAAATAAGAAATTACATTTGTCCTATCTCGGCTTACTTATTATACACCTCGCTGTCACCTCTATCATTAAACCAAGAATGTCCAGAAGCTCGGATATACAAACTCCTCCTCAAAGATCCGGCGCACCTGCTCCAGGACAAATTTTTCCACCTTGCCCACGTTTTTGAGACTCTGCTTGCCACCCTCTCGCCCACCAATCTCGCTCTCCACCTTGATCTCCTGCAGCAGGCCGCCGAAGCGCGCCGTCTTGCCGCCTCCGCTCTCCGCCTCCCCCGCGCCGGCGGTCCCCTTGGATCCCGGCCTGGTACCGCTGCCACCACTGCCATCCTCGGGCCCGACGGCGGTCAGCGCGTCGTCGGGGCTCAGGAAGCAGAAATGCACGCGCTTCCGGATGTGCGCCAGCACGCCGACGCCGTCAAACGACAGGCCGGTGATGTTGAGCTTGAGCGGGATGCCCACAAAGCTCGGCATCGGGTAGTCGAGCAGGATCTCGGCCGTCAGGTTCAGGCGAATGTCGCCCGCATACTGGATGCGGAAGACGGCCTGCACGTCCTCCGCGCGGGGCTCCCGTCGCCGCGGCGGCGGGTCGATGCCGTCGGGCAGCGGCGCCGTCAGGTCGGCGTCTCCGTCGCCGGCGTCCCCGTCGCCGTTGTCGTCGTAGTCGGAGTCGATAATGGCCGAGTCGGCGTGGGCATCCCGCGTTGGGGGCCGCGAGGTGCCAATCGACGTCGGCGCCAGCGTCGAGACGCTCGACTTTTCACGCAGCCCGCGCTGCAAGGGCGATGTGCCGGCAGCCGGCGGACGTGGTGGCATGAAGCCTGACGGAAAGTTGTCCACCGAGATGCTGCTCTGTGAGGGGTTGCGGGTGTGGCTCGGCTCCATGCGCACGGCGGTGGCGGCAGCCGCTGCGGCCGCGGCAGTCTCGGCTGCCCACGCGCTGTCGTAGCCGTGGCCCAGCCAGCTGTTGCCGAGGTGCGCGCCCGCGACGGCGGCCAGCGGCGTCTGTGAGCCCGTGCCGAGGTGGCCGTGGAGGTGGTAGCTCAGCCCCGGGCCGCCCAGCAGACCCGGCGTGGAGGTGCCCATAAACGGGCTCGCCAGGTCGTTGTGGTAATGTGAAAATTCCTTGCGGATCGCCGTCTTGAGCTCCGAGGGCCGACGTCTGCCGGCCGTCGCCTGGCGCGGCTGGTGGTAGTTCTGCTGATGGTGGTGGCCAGGCTCGTCGTCCTCGTCGGCGTCCTCATCGCTCTCGTCATCCTCGAGCTCCTGCTCGTAAAAGTCGGGTAGCGGGTCCGCAATGTCCTTGAGCTCCAGAGACGGGGGGATGCTGCCAAAGTCGAAGCCGTGCACCGTCACCGACTTGATGAAGCGCGGCAGGGGCACGCTCTGGAACTTGTCGTGGATGAAGCCGCGGATGCGCTCCGCCAGCGCCTCGCCATCCGGACCACTCGTAAGCGTCTCCCAGTTGAGATCTATGGACATGGGAGGCAGCCGTCGTTGTTGCGAAGAATCATGGCAAGCTCACTGAGGCAATGTCAAAGGTTCGTAAGTTCATCTAGACCCGCTTTATGCGCAAACGGCTCTCATGGCCTTACTTGGTAGTTGATGGCGTCGAAAACAGCCGCGCGACGGATGCTGGAAAACAAATTATTTTTTCTTTTTGCAACTACCTCTTTAAGACTATACTATACTACTGGCTCAATTTAGGCTCTAATGCCGTCAGCCTTGGTCGAAATTTCAAATCTGCATTAACTCGCTCTATGCTTGCTTAATGGATACCCATTTCCGGATGCCGTGTCATAAATAGATCCCAAATCTTTCAACGCCGTACATTCTCCCAAACAAAGTAGAAATAGAACCTTCTAAAAAACAAATTCATCTCATCGTTTACTTTTGTAGTTCAGGCTGGTCCTCGAACCTAGCACGTCCATAGTACACTGGGTACTGAGTGTTATTGAACAGATGCCAGCAATTTGGAGCCTGCAGAATATATCTGGCAAGTCATGTTAGTGACTCTGTATGCGCCATGGGAGTATTGCTGTTCATACCTTGCCATCGCCTCTCGGAAGCGAGATTTATACTCTTTCGGGCTGGTGACAGTTGGGCGATTGCGACCACCACCAGCGAACCCACGATCCTTGATCCAACTTTCAAGCTTCTTATCCCAAGTGTAGGTTCTGATGCAGTCGATGATGCCCACCACAAGCTCTTTTCTAGCCTCATCGACCGCAATCATGAGAGAGTAGTCCATGACATCCTGCCGGGCAAGGAACAGAGTGTCATTCCAGACAGATGCCCGCAGCAGTTTCTTCGAATGCTCGCGGGCAAACAGCGGAGATTCGTAGATATACTCAACCATGTTCTCGTCTAACAGAACTTCGTTTTGTTCGCCGGTAGAGTGGATCTTGCGATTTCTCATAGAGCCCTTCAAGTCGAAAATTCTGGTAGGCGATCTGTCGTAAAACAAATTTTCCATCAAAACGAGATCAAGCTTCACATCGGTGCCAGTTACTGGGTTCTTGATGATGACCTGGAAGAACCCCAACATCTTGGCAATAACAGACGGTAGGTCGTGGAACAATGCTTCTGCCATAATTGTAAAATAGCCCGGGGCAAAGTTCAAAAAAGCCGATGTCTCAATGGGAGACAGGGACTACTTAACGTTAGCATTTCTTTCAATTGCGCTTCTTTTCCCCCATTTCTCACGTTACTCACCTTCAATACCAATCTGTCATCTAGCGTCTTCAAAAAAACAGACCTGGTTTTTCCACCCCGTGAATCCCATTTCATGCAACGCGAAAGAGACTCAACAATGCGCCCAGAAACGCCACATTTCCTTCTCAAAGCATCAAACTGCTCCGCATAGAAAATCTTACACGTCATGACAGCCGCGCCTTCCTTGAACTGGTACTTCAAATGTGTTCCAGTGATGCGCAACAAACTCTTTTCCAGATCACTGGCATCCGAATGGCGTCCAAGGTGCTCCGACGCAGCCGTTGATTTTGGCTGTGCGGTGCCATCGGATATCTCATCCTGAGACATCTCCTGTGCCTCGCGACGGATGACTTCGAGCTTAGTTTTATAGTCTTCGCTATTAAGGGCCAATGCAATAACAGAGCTCGGTTCGTCCTCGCGCACAATAACATTGGAGTCAACGAAAATGTGATCGGTTGGATTGATGGGGTAGTCCAATGCGGACCAACCACTTGCAGATCGTTCGGCCCAGAACTTGGTGAGGTATTTCATCAGCGTATTCTTTTGATGTTTGGGAAGCTCCAGTGGGATCTCTTGGGTAGAATCAGCAATCTCTTTGATATCTGGAAGAAATTCATCGGACACGCTAGGTTCTGTGTCACTTGCACGCTCCTCATCATCCGAGTCTTGTTGGTTGTCTTTGCCTGTTGCAGTGTCATCCGTCTCCGCAACAGAAATTTGATCTGGTGCCGTTGGTGCGGGATCTGTCGGGGGGGTTGACTCTGTTACTTGGTCATCCTGAACAATGTCTGCATGTCCAGTTGGCGGGACCGGACGAGTGCTTTGTTCGGGTTTCCGCTCGCCAGCTGCTTCGGGTATCGGAGCAGGTTCCTCGACCGCTGCATTGAAATCGTCGTAGACCTGGATTGTGAGCTTCGTGGAGGTTCTTGGGAGCAGCGCACGGGGGTAGCGGAGACTAGCAGCTCGTTTCTTTTTGTCCCGTATGCGCTCCTTCTCGAACTCTCGGCTGATTTGCTCAAAGTGTCTCGTCAATGTTGAAACTTTAGACTCCTTATCCTTCTTCTTCGTAATCAGACGAGGAATACCAGATGTAGCAGATTTTCCACGCTGTTTCAGAGCCGACAAGCCGAGTCTTTCCGATAAGCGCTTATCAACTTTGATTGATGCTTCGCCTTGCGGCTCTGCGGCAGTCTCGACGTGATCCGCAGTGTTTGAGGGGTTTCCAAGCGCCGTCGTGGCTTTAGGAATGCGCTGTGGGTGCGATATAGCCCTTACGATAGGAGGTGAGGAGCGTGGTACACCACTTTCGTCTTGTTTGCTGCTGAATGCGTCTTCGCCAGCCTTCTGTGCCTGTTCCCGTCGCATACGGTCCACCTTTTCTGTGAGCGATTGGCCATCGCCCACAGCGGCCGGTGTAGTATCCTTCGTGGCAGGTGGCAGCACCGTGCTGGACGAGTCAACCGACTCAGCGCTTTCCGCTTGAGAAGTTTCCAAGTGCACTATCCCGGGCAGCTGATCCGAACCGGGTGCAAGAGGCCCAGAGCTTGCCAAATCGAGTGCCTCGACAACCTCGCTGTTGCCTTCTGCCGGTATCTCAGCCTTTTCATTGTCTTCGCTCACGTCTTTTCCATCCGGGGTATGTAGAAGGCTTCCATCCATGTCAGTATATTCTGTCGGCTGCGTGCTCTTCTCGTCAACCTCAGAAAACCCCTGCGACGGCCGACTGTCGCTATCAGTCGCCGAAACCATAGTCTCTTCTGGATTGGGCAAAGACTCCTTCGACTCGTCGGTAAACATCTTCTTCAATTGCATCATTGTCAGCTGCCGCATATCTTTGTCGCCCAAGAAGTCTGCCTCGAACTTGGCAAAAGCCTGGTCCCACTCGCCCGCAACTTCCAGCATTTCGCGCACGAGGCCGTTGAATGGAACAATTTCGTAATACTTCGAGTTGACGTAGACATCCTCCAACTTCCGCAGCATGATTGGAAGTTCTCCATGCATCTTCTTCATGAGGATCTCAACTTCTGCTTTGCAAAGCTCAGCCTTTTCTGGCAAGACACTGTCAATACGAATGCTCTGGAGTCTGGCCTTGACAGACGACATGAACTTGCGCCAGCGCTCTTCCATTCTAACGAAGATCTCGTTCTTCAATTTGAGATCGTTTTGAACCTTCCAGGTGATTCTAGCTCTCGGAACCACAATCTCCAAGAGGTCAATAGGGTCCCAATGAATGAGAACTCGAGCGTCGTCGAAGCCGAAGTAACGAACGTGGTCTCGTGAGTGATCGTGAGGACAATCAATGCCGTGCTTAATGCGAAGGCCGCGGCCCCAGTAGAGCAATTCAAGATACTTTCCGAACGAGTACTTGTAGGTAGCATCGGACATCGGAACCTCCGCCGAGTCTTTCTTGCAAATCTTACAATACGTCCACATAGTGATACCGTCCCCGAGGCTTGGATGTCTAGTCACTCCTGGTGGCGCAGCTTCCACAAAGACTGTGATTCGATATTGGTCGTGAACATATGTGCGATGATGTTCAATCAACTTCCGGTCGCAGCCGTTTGAGCCACAGATTTCATCCTTGGTCTCTGCCAGGTCTTGGATGTATTGGCCGAGTGTGCAGTCACGGTCCATCCCCGTATCCACGTGCTGTTCGTCGTAAAAGTTAATTGCCACGAGACTGGGCTCCGTGCATGGAATCTTGGTTTCGGTGCAGATTTCGGAATACAAAACCACAATATTTTGGTGAGAATAAGGATCGAACAGATCCAGGTTGCCTTGGATATATGCTTCCCATTGCCGGGTTCCCGTTTGGTAGTTGAATAGCGCCTTATCATATTCAGCATCATGCATGGCATGAAGAATTTCCAGGATCTGCTTCGGCGCCTTTTGGCCTATCTTCTCGATCATCTCAGGTTTGATGAGCTGAAACTTTGCACGACCAGTGCTTGTTTCGTCTTGTTCGTCGATGACCGTTTGATCTCGTAAGCGCCGGAGGTATAGAAGTCGACGTTCTTGTTCTCGCGCCCTCATCAAGACATGGGGTTGGGTAAACTTTACATACGGGGAGGCCGACAGAATCTTGGTCTCGTATTTAGCCACCATGTCGCTGTAGAACGTGGGCATAGGTACATCATCTGGCACCGGCGAGTCCCCCATTCCACTGTCATGCGAATCATGTAACGAAGGAAGCTTTGGTCGCTCCTCAGTTGGCGCTCCAGCGTCGACTGCCCCATCCATGTCACCCTTCTCTGTTGCTTGAGCCTGTTGTTCCTGATCGGTTGAGGAGGATATGCGAAGGTTTTGTTTCCCGTCTTCTCCAGAGCTGGAGGTCTTGAAGCTCTCGTTCATGACGTAAGAATTGGAAAGTGAGGTGTCCCCTTCGTCGGGCTCAATGGACTCGTCTCGTAGAAGACTAGATTCCAGCCGAAGGTTGTACACAACATATGACATGAATTCTACGATAAACTTGATTTTTGACAGCGTGGCGCTGTCAGCTCCTCTCAGAGATATCGTACAACCCAGGTCTGGACGGCAGCCACCGACAAATATGTACGACTTCTTGCCGCGCACAAAGTTGTTGTTGACAAAAGTCTTGACCTCAAAGCTTGAACAACGCCCTGTGGAGACTGGTAAAGCGAGCCGATCGAGGGAGCTCAAGATATCTGCTTCTGCGCAGCGGGCTACCGCTTCGATGACAGTATGCTTGACGTTATACGCGACGGAAATGTTGAGCTCTGCAAAATACTGCAATGCGATCCCAGACACGCCCTTCTCGACGAGTACAAGATTTGGGGAAAGCTTTGCTAGTCTTTGAACCACGATGCGTAGGTATTCCCTCTCACCCTCAATGACCGGCTGCAAGCTCATAAAGTGCTGCTGGTGACGTTGATATTCGATAGGGAAAGTGACCAACAAAATGCGCGGGTTTCCGATTCTGCGTGGCATGCTTTTCAAGGCCAAATTTTTCGTAAAAACAACACCCGAGACATACGAGGTGTCTCGTGGTCTGCCACCAGGAATTTTCTTTAGCTTAACATAGTGGCGGATATCCATATCCTCTCCTTTGATAACATTCGGTGAGACGTCGTCGGTGCATTGCAGCAATGTTGGCACGAGAGACCGTATCCAAGCTTCAGGTTCGGGAACTTCTGCATCTTCTAGCAGTTGGTGCAAGAGCTTGTCGATATGCTTCAAGCTTGAGTTGTTCAGGTCTGTATTTGACGGGATGTTGAATGGTACAGAATCTCGACGGGAAGCTCTCATTGCAAGATGATCGTTGTTGTCAGTTGGGATAAGAGCCTCTGTTGAGCCGGTCGGAGCTTTGTATATAGCCGACTTTGGCCTGGGGGATGGCAAGTGATGTGCACCACCACTAACGTTACTCATATTGCGTCTCCTGTTACTCCGTCGGTGACTCAATACACTTGTTGGAGCGCTTGTGTCATCTGCGGCGCCGCGGCTGTAGTGGCTCATGCCACTGATGCTCTTCTCTCCGGGTCGGTGTCGATGTTTTCTGCCTGCATTCATAAACGGGGATAAGTTCGACTTTTCCTGCTCAAAGCCTGCAGAGTGCATATCGGCTGTACTCATGGTCGCGAAAATGCTGACTTGTTCGTCTCCACTAGAGTCGTCCGACATGAAGTCTGCTAGCTCAGGGTCTATGATGTTGTCGTCGTGGAAAGCCGGGAATTTGGACCTTTTAGGCGTGTCATCATCGACGCCCTTCCTGAACGGAGCCCGCTCTTCAGGGGCTCCTTTGAGGCGCCCAAGAAACCCATGTTTTGAATGATGCCGCTTATGGCCTGCTGAGGATTGTGGTCGCACATTTGCGAGAGATTTCAACGACCGGGATGATCCAGGTCGGCTGAGTTGCGGCAATCCTATCTCTAGCACAGCAGAGTTTCGGTTTGATTCGTGCATCCAACGGGTGGCGGGAATGGCCATCATGGGAGTGACGCTGGGCCGATGTCCGCTCGAGGGCTCAGGCGCAGCTGCTGCTGGATCTCCATCCCGCCTTGATTGTGATGGTGAACGTTGGCCAGGCTTTAATTGGCTAGGGCCAAAGATTTTCGGCATAAATGACTGCTCATCACCAGATTCTTCTGATGCACTGCCTTCGTGGCGGCGATGCATTGCTTCCAAACAACGCTTGCAAACACGTAGGGTGCCTTGCACGCCAAATTTGTCTCCTGGCACGAGCTTCGTGCATTTTGAATCGAATATGCAGCCACAAGTCCTGCAGTGATGCTTTCTCCTGAATGCAGAAAAGGGTGCTTGGCAGAGATAACACTCTTTGCAAGTGTCGTCTTTCATCCAAAACTCTTTGCTCAGCACATGCCGCCCCATCCTGTCGAGTTGTGCGCTCATGTGGTCAGACGCGCCTTCGTGGGTAGTTGTTGAGCCAGGATCGCGGGCATCCCCGGAAATAAAACGCGCGTGTCCTCTATGATGGGAAACGGCCTCATGATAGTTGCCCTCGGCGGCTGTCAGTTCGACAGGGCTGTGCTGGGCTCCAGAGCGGTCAAGAGAAGACTCCCGGGAGACAGAATACATCGTTGACCTAGAGCGACTGATTCGGTCAATCACGGCAGGCTTACGTCTCAAATGATCTGGGCTTAACATGGAGGAGCTTGTAGAGGGTGTTCGAATGTGGTTTCCGGGGGCAGACGTCATTTGTAGGCGAGGGGACAAGGTTGGCGCTCCTTCCATGCTTCCATCGTAACTAGACGCGTCGTCTGTATTCGCAATAGGTGGTAGCCTGCCCTCAGTAGCGTCGTAGTTGGGTATATCTAATGTCGGAAGGCTATGGTGGGTGTCGCTTCGCCCAATACTTCGGCGGGATTCTGGGCCACCACTGTCTTCAGTGCGAACCGTGCTCCGGCTGGCATCTCTCTGGGTAGTTTTATGGCTTATAACAGGACCGGTGGCGAGTTCGAGGATAGAAGAACTCTTGGGTTTACTTCCGAGACTTGGACGCCCAGATGACGAAGCTGGCTTCAGCCCAGTGGTGAGCCCCACACTGCCTCTGGATGACAGTGGTTGTTGAAGGGTGCGACTTTCTCCAGAGACACTGGCGTTACTCGAGGGCAAGTCTGTCGCTGGGACAGTTTGTGAAGAGTCTGGCACGGTGGTGACGGCACTGTCGCTTCTGCCCAAGGATGAGACGGAGTTCTTGGAGATGTGACTGCCTGAGAGCGATGTTCGTTTCGAGGTCGTCTCTATCGTCGTATCGTCATCTCGGTTCGACGCCTTCGTTGGGCTCACAGCACCTACAGCCTCTCGAAACCTAGTATACAGTCCACTGAGGCCGTGGTGGACAAGGTCTCCGGTTGAGGCCTTGCCTTCGGCGACAGGCGAGGCTCGGGGCGGAGGCGCGAAGTCGTTGAAGGTCGTCAGAGCCCCGGACTGGCTTGCTGAGTTGTGTATTTTGTCGAGGGTATTTGACATTTGCTCCTTGTCGATCAAGGAGCTAGCGGAAAGGGAGTTGACAGAGTCGCGTCGAGTTCTTCGACTGAATGGTGAGCCACGGGTCGACGCTGGAGAGCCTGGCGGCTTCACCGTTGTGCTGCTCGCCATAGCGAGCACGACTCGGGCGCTAGGGGGTCGATAGCAGACACTCTAGCAGCTGACAAGTACGTCTTTTCCGGCGTCATATACCTCTGTCATGGTCTTTGGCGCGCGGTCAAGCAGAGCGGTTTTATATCGGATGCAGCTTCAATCGCAGTTGCGCCGGGGTTGCAGAAGCCTAGCAGGAGTCCAGGGCTGTGCTGCGCAGACACAGTCAAGGCGTGCCTGGGCGAGTGATCAAGTCGAAAACAAGGCGCGGTACTTGACAGTCGAGGATTCTTGGCGATGATGCTGGTCGCTGCGGAGATGTTTCAAAGAATGAGTTGGGGTGTCTGCCTTGCCTTGCAATGCAGCAGCTTGCATCTGTTTGGTTGGCCACCCACCACGAGGAGCTACTGGTGCTGCTGCTAATGATGCAGAGAGCTGTGGGAAGGGGAGGGGGACTGTGGATATGGCGTTTTGTGCCACTGACTATGACTGACCCGGCAGCCTGATAGGGCATATGTACTGACTGAGTTTGCTGTTTATTCCATGTAAATGTAATATAGTAAAGCGAAGTCATATTCAGAATCATATCTATCAAGTGTATGAGGGGTTGGCTTGATAGATAATAAAAAAACATTTATTTCATCCAAACCGCAGCCAGCCAGTGCAGCCCCAAAGCCACAGGAAACCTTCCCACTGGTCAGTCCCGTCCTGTAGCTCCAAGCTGGCGGCTCCACCTGGTGACGCCACTCCTCAACGCGTTAAAGATTCACAGCTCGCGTTGCGCTAAGCAACCATCCTTTCGGCCGCCACCACCTTGACCAAACGACGAAGTGCTGTTCTTATCGCAGGAACTCATTGCGTCTGGTCCGGCAGTCCCACGATTATGCATTGAAACATTCGGAGTCTGTACGCCAGTATATCTACGGCGTACGCTGCAACGGTGCACAAATGTCCTACAGCGCATCACAGTTCGAGGGCATCACTGACGCGATATATCGCAGCAACGGCAAGAAAATCCCAAAGGATCAGGAGGAGCTATTGGCCAAGGACGGATCATGGATTCACCAACTAAGAAAAAGGACTCATGGCGCGGTCAATGTACCTAACCACGTGCTCCAAACCGTAACGGCAGCGCACGAAGTGCTTGTCAGGCAGACGGCCAGCAACACAGTACCACCTGCCAAGAATTCAAGTCTGGAGGTGGTAAAATCCTTGCAGACCTGCAGTACACATGCCTCTTCTCCAGTTGCTTCTTCTCCAGCAGCTTCTTCTCCAGCAGCTTCTTCTCCAGCAGCTTCTTCTCCAGCCGCTTCTTCTCCAGAACGCCTTGTTTCTCAATGGTCGGCGTCGCCACCTGACCATCACCCGAGACACGATGACATGCCTGAGTCATCACTCATCGAAGAAACACCCCATCCACAGCACCTTCGAGCAGCATTTCGCAGGACTCCATTAGAGCCGAAGAGGCCCCCCGATCCGGTGCCAAAGTCAAGCCTGGAAGAGGAGGAGGAAATGGACGTGCAGGTGCCGTACGCTGAGAATGACCAAGACGAGGACATGACTCAAGATCGCTACCAGTACCCTTACCAACGTCCCAGTCAACGGATTCAAAACAAAATTGCGCAAATGACAAACACGCCACCGTGTGCACAGCCAGATCCTGGCATCGTTCCAGCAACTGTCAATGCGGAGGTAGCGAAAAGGCCGGGAGAAGTTAAAAGACAGCGGCCAGTCAAAAGATTCAAGCCCATACAACTCGACGATGGTCCAATCAATCCCAGGGGAGACGGTATGACTATAAGAGGTAGTCGTATGCAATCGTTGAAACACCTCCAGGTCACAGAGACACAAGATACGGTTGCGTCTAGCTCTGTTGTGGCCGCGACCCTAACGCAGACGCAAACTCAAAATGCGGCAAATACAACTAAAGAGACGAACTCGGATGTGTTTGAAGAGGAAGAGGCGCAACCGTTCTCTCGGCAACTTCTGGGCGTGGTCGCAAGATCACAAATTTCGGATGACAAGGCGAGCAGGAGGAATTCTCAGAATTATACATCGACACCTCTCGCTGAGTTCACCGCCGCCTACCCAGACTATTGGGAGTTGTATAAAGGAACACAGCTGAACTTTGTTAGAGCCTGTATGTGTCTTGAATGGCTACGAGGCGAGCGTGCTCTACGAGACTACCTATACGACGACTTCATTCGTCTATTCTCATACAAATTTCTGGACTACGTTAATAACGCAGGACCAGGCCAGGAGCCACTGCCAGCCATTGAATGGTACAATATTCAAAGTGGCGAGCCACTGTATGATCGACATGTCATCAAAAATGATAGCCTCGATCGTGTGTTGGCATTTTATAAGGAGGAGGTTGTCTTGATTCGGAATCTCACGACGCAACAGGAAGAAGAGGAGCAGGAGCAGCAGGGGCAAAATGAAACGACAGAGTCTGTGGTTTCGTCAAGATCGACAAAGCCGGAGCTAGCATCGCCCACGCCACCGCCAGAAGAAGTACGGGATTTGAAGAGAGTGGATTCGCGGAAAACAGAAATTGCAGACAGCGTCGTGGTGAAGAAGAGGGAACTACCTTTGGGCAAGTCCAAGCATGAACGGTCCATTGCACAGTCTGCTTCTCCCAGTATCAGCCTCGGTGAGAGAAGAATCACTCCAGCACCGACATCAGCGTTGTCTGTGGCAGACTCGGCCCCCAGTCCACGCGAAGCATCACCGCAACTAGGCAGCAGGATATTTCCAGTCGCTCCGCCGTCCTCAATGAGATCCAACGCGCCTGTGGGCACACAATATATGCAGCGGCTTGCGACGAGGCAGGCGTCTACAGGCGAGGACGCGGCGCAGAAGAGGAAGGACAGGATGCAGGCAGCCATGCGGAAGAGGGCCTCGAACGGCGCTCGTAGCTTGAGCAGCAGAGCAGGGTCTGCAGTGTAGTTTTGGGATGTGCATATGCGGCGGGCGTTTTGTGGTGCTTTTTTTGGATATTGAAGGTCTTCAATACTCTGTAGTGAATGACGTACAATCACTTGTGGAGTCCAATTATGGTTGAAACGAGGTCATGGTAAGACACGAGCTGAAATGATACCTGGCAGATTCAAGTCGTAATTTTATTATTTGTATCGTGATGGGCGTGTGCAGAATATCTAGAACTAGCCGTGTCAAACGGCAGTCCAGAGCGTATAATGGTAATAAGAACACAAAAAAAAAGCTACCGGGGAGCCTGGTATCCCTGTCTTTTTTTTTCTCTCCTTGAGGAGTATAAAGGTTGTCTAAATCAATCTTGGCCAGCTGCCGTTTTTCTTTCTTGAAATTTGCGAGGGACAAACAAAAAAAACAATCAAGACTCTTGAGGGATTGAGGTGAGATGCAAGGCGGGCAGGGCAGTATGGAAGGGAAGCTGAAACGCTCACGCACTCTCGTTGGCGACGGCTTCGGCTTCCTTGGCGGCGGGCTCGTCCTCGAGCTTCTTCTGCTGCCGGGCCTCCTCCTCGGGGGTGAGGGTGCGGAGCTGAAGGGCGTGGATGCCGCCCTCCTGAGCCATTTCGTCGCGCAGAAGAGCATAAATCATCCGGTGGCGGGCGGGCTGCATCTTGGAGTTGAAGGCGTCCGATGTGATGACGAGGCTGGTGGGCGGGAGCGGTCAGTCAAAAACGGTCAAGGTCGTCTTTTGTTTCTGGTGTGTTTCTTCGTTTATACTGCAAAGATGAGGACTAAAACGTACCGAAAGTGCGTCTCCTTGGAGATGCTGCCCTGCATGGCCTTGTGGTGAGAATGAAGGTGGGAGTCGTTGTAGATTTCCAGCGTCAGCGGGTTGAGCGCCGCCATAATCTGCAGCAAGTGTCAGCAGCCATTGAAACGGCGGCGGCGGCGGCGGCGGCGGCGGATGCTTCTGAGGATTCGTCCGTCAACGTACCTTGGCGCGAATGACATCCTCCAACGGGGTCGCTGATCCCATGGTGGAGAATTGCCTTCCGACAGAGGAGAAACCGAGGGCGTATCTACGCAACATTCGGGGCGACTTCTGGCTTGCAACAAGAAGAAGATCTGGGCGGGTTGCGGTGGACGAAATGTCGGTGGTGCTGCACCCAAAAAAAAAACCTTGGCTAGCCGCAAGCAGCGCGGACAGAAGAATGAAACAAGCGGATGTCTAGGCGTCGCCAATTGATGATGCAGCAGCAGTCGCCAAAGGAATGGAGGGTTGGAAATGCGATTGGGGATTTTTTTAAAGATGAAAAACTCGAGAAACCGGTGAGCTTTGGGACGAAGAGCAGCGACAGCAGACAAGGTTCAAGAAGCCAAGGTCTGTCGGGCGAGTGCGTGGGGAAAGCAGAGTCAGTCCAGTCCAGTCAGTCAAGTCGTCCGTCAGAAAAAAGACTAGTGACGTAGAGGAGCAAAAGAGAGGTAGGTAGTTGATGAGAGGCAAGTTTTTGGTTTTTGGTCGTTGGCGAGTGAAGATGAAGGAGCAGAAGAAGAAGAAGAAATACGAAAGAGTCGACGGGGCATATAGCCGTATATACTTTCCCTTTTTTTGCCTCTTTCTCTCTTTCCACACTAGGATTTTATTTTCTTTTCTTCTTTTCACGTCAAGTCCCCCGTCCCATCCGATTGTGGTGGTATCGAGGTCAGGTAGTGCTACGCCACCCAGGCGGCCGACGCGACTTCCAGCAAGTCGGTGAGAAGCGAAATACCCCAACGGCCAGCGTGACGACGGTACACCCTGTAATGTGGTTGACAGGGTGTATTTCTCGGTACTGCAGCATGTTTTGCTGTTTACTTTATTTTTCATCATTTTTCATTTTATTTATTTCCTTTTTTTTTCTTGCGAACCACGTCGCTGGGCCGATCCAACGGACAGGTAGCCAGCCGCCCGGGTGGGCGTCGTCGCTGCTCATGATGCCTGCCTTTTGCCCGCCAGCTTACAAGGGGGGGGGTCCGGGGTTTCTTCTGGCGGTGACGGCTTTTTGCTGGCAACGTCTTTGGAAAAGACCCCCCCTTCAGCTTGCCGGTACGACATGCCTGGCTAGGCTCTTGCGCTGCCTCCTGCTGCATGAAAAAGCAATTCGACTCTACGGGGTAGCGTCTATGCCTTTGGGCTTTTGCTCTTTGTCGTCTTGTAGACGAGGCAGGTCGCTTCCATTGGTCGAGAGCACCCTGCACTGCTGTGTGTCGTATGCATGTAAATATGGACTGTTGAACAGATACCTGCAAGCCGTTATGTATTTGGCATCCTCCCTAGTTACATACCTACAAGGTAGGTAGGTCTACGTACCAGGAAAACTGCCAACTATGTGATACTTACCTCATATAGAGACAAGGCCGTGGTGGTATCAACCAGGATAGCTGCAGTTGTTGCGTGTTTGCATTGCTTCTGCATAGGTACCTAGCAACAATTTGTACAATTTGTACAAATTAGAGACAGTCATCATTTGGAATTTCCCTCTTGACTCTCCTTGACACAATACTGCGCCGCACTTGCAGCCCGCCCCTTCCCGTACCGTCGGCGCTGGCTGCATCGCTTTCCAAAGCGCACTGCATGCCTGGCACAGCATACCGCACGATTATGCAGCAAGCCGTACTGTATGTATCCCGAGGGCGCGGAACCGTATGTAACTATCATGTATGACAATGGCCAGGCTTTCGTTACAACTACAGTCATCCTTGCGAACATGGTCACCAGCGACAACGGATAGATAGATGCCCAAAAAAAAAGATGCCAAAAAAGAAACCAAAAAAAAAAAGCTGCCCGCCTTTATGCTCTTGGTAATTTGTAATGCATGTCGACTGGGAAAATAGTGGCGGTGTGCTGATTTATTAGAAAAACTGCCGATACGCACCGCCCAGCAGATTTCCATCAGAGACATGGCCTTCTTCCTAAGGTTAATAGTTGCCGCCAAGTGGCGCATACTTCAGAGTCTAATAAAATATAAGAAAAAATCAGCCTAGGAGTAAAACTACAAGGATGGCCGTCTTCTAAGTCAACCCGAATATCGCTACTTGTTAATGGGCGGCCTGCTTATCTGCATTGGGTAGCTAGTACTGTTGCTTAGTATTTTTCCTTCTCTTTTTTTCCTTTTTTTCTAGAATTTATTCCATTCTCTGCATCCATTGGCGTCGTTTTCCATGAAGATCACTTCCCGCTTAACAAGACGCCAAGCACCACAAGAGATGCATGTCTTTGCTTGCCGTCCCCGGGGAGAAGAAGGCTCGCCCGGTGCCACGCGATGTGGTGGAGCTGGAAGAACGAGATGCGACATTCACAATGCCGCACTCTGTATACAGCTGCACTGGTGAATTTCTCATGTAAGCAGTTCAGATTGTTCATGTGAGGCGTGTAACATAATCTGAGACCGGAGCGAGGGCTGAGCGTCTTAGTGGTTGGTGAGAATGAAAAAAGGAATGGGTAAGAGAAAAGGAGACCGAGGGTGGTACAGTATCATCTTCATCAAGCGAAAAGAAGCCAAAATCTCCCAATTTGATGCCACAACTTCTAGTTAGTTAGAACCTCGCCTGCCATATTGCTCGTGGCCTTCCCCCCGCTTGTTGCCTGACGACTCCACGTTGTCCGATCTCTGACTGGGTGGATTGAACAACTCTCAACAGTGTAAATACTCGTCTAATTTCGGTGCATCAGTAACAAGCATCATCCTGTCCATCACACGATTATAACGTAGGGAGTCAACTCTACCTACCCAACTACCTACCTGGGCGGGCACCTACCTAGTAACGAACTACCCACCGTTTGGGCGTATCGGCGCAACACCAAAACCTCCACATCGCCGGCCCTCGGACACTTTGCCCACTCCAACCTATCCTACTGCTTCCTTTTGCTTTGCCGCTGCTGACACCATTGCGCCCTCAAGACTCCACCTCCATCGAATCTGCAGCTTATCCCCCCTCCTGCTAGTCAGCTTCGCCTTTTCTCGATAGGGCGTTGCCGTACGCCCACTCCTCCTCCCCCCCCCCCTCTCCCCTCTCCGCCGCCGTCGTCTTCGTGCCGTCGCGGCCGCGCCGCCGTCTTATGCCTCACCCATGATTGCGCCATCAGCCCTGTCGCTGGCCAACCGGCGATTGACCACGTTCCCCGGGGCCATTGCTGCTGCTGCCGTCACCGCCGCCAGGAACAACATACGCGTCGCCCTCCCGTGCATGCGACCGCTGGCGCATCATCGCTTAAGGATGCTCTCCACCACCACCACCACCGCATCCACGCTCCCGCGCCTCCCCATCTTCGAGGCTGTCGCCGCACACGACCCCACGTCCACCGCCGTCGTCCACGCCCTGTCCGGCCGCCGCTTCACCTACGGTGAACTCCTCGGAGATGTCGCCCGCGCACGGGAACGCCTGCGCGAGGCGGTCGACGGCAAGCCGCTGACTGGCGAGCGCGTGGCTTTTTTGATCGAGAACAGCTACGACTATGTCGGTATGTCTCACTATTGTCCCTCCCCCTCGCCCCGGCCAGTGGTCCACAGCAACAACATCAGACACCCTTGTCGAGCAAATAGTACCGGAAGCTCACTCCCGCGATGTAGTCATGTTCCTGGCCGTCATGGCCGCCCGCGCCATTGCCGTGCCCCTCTCCCCGCCGTTTCCGGCCCCGGAGCTGCAGTACATTCTCGACCAGAGCGCCGCCTCTGTCCTCGTCGCCTCGCCCAAGTTTGCAGCCAAGGCCAGGGAGGTGCTTGCGACCGACCTGCAGCAGAAGCCCGTCTACTTCGAGCTTCCCAAGCACACGGGCAGCAGCCACGGCGCAAAGGAAGCCGTGTCTTTGGCCGACGAGGACTTTTCCGGTGCCGGCCTGATGTTGTATACCTCGGGCACAACGAACCGACCCGTACGACGTGCCAGGAACCAGCTTATTCTACTTCAACTGACATTTGCTATAGAAAGGAGTGTTGCTACCCGAGCCAGTCATCACGGCGCAATGCCGCTCGCTTCTCCAGGCATGGGAGTACTCACCCGCCGACCGCCTCCTCCACGTCCTGCCTCTCCATCACATCCACGGCACCATCAATGCCGTGCTCACGCCTCTCTTTGCCGGCTCCTCCGTTGAGTTCATGTTTCCCTTCAACGCCGACGCCGTCTGGAAGCGGTTCGCCGCGCCCTTTCTCCCCACCAACGGCACCGCTACCACCGCGCCGCCCATCAGCTTCTTCACCGTCGTGCCTACCGTATACAGCCGCCTTCTTGCCAGCCACAAGACGCTATCCCCCCAAATGCAAGCTGCCACGAGCGAGGCCACGTCCCCCGCCAACCTGCGCGTCAACATCTCCGGATCGGCCGCCCTGCCGACGCCCGTCAAGGCCGCCTGGGCCGCCCTCAGCGGCGGCAACGTGCTCCTCGAGCGCTACGGCATGACCGAGGTCGGCATGGCCCTCAGCTGCGGCCTCGCCTTCGCCGACCGCGTCGACGCCAGCGTCGGCTGGCCCCTACCGTCCGTCGAGGCCCGCCTCGTCGACATGGACACGGGCGACGTCATCGAGCCCGGCCACGAGCTCGACGACCACGGTCGTGAGCGCGTCGGCGAGATACAGCTCCGCGGGCCCACCGTCTTCCGTGAGTACTGGCGCAACCCCGACGCCACGGCCAAGGAGTTTGTCGATGACGGCGGCGACGGCCGCGGCCGCTGGTTCAAGACGGGCGACGTGGCCATCCGCCGCGAACCCGTCGGCGCCGCCGGCCGCAACAGCCACCGGCAGCCCTGGGCCCAAGGCCCCATGTACTTTATCCAGGGCCGCAAGACGGCCGACATCATCAAGACCGGCGGCGAAAAGGTCTCAGCGCTCGAGGTCGAGCGCGAGCTGCTCTCGCTGCCCCAGGTCGCCGAGGCCGCCGTCGTCGCCGTGCCCAGCGGCAACTGGGGCCAAAAGGTCGGCGCCGTCATCATCCTCGACCCGGACCACGCCGTCAAGTGGACTCCACTCGAGATGCGCCGCGCCCTCAAGAGCAGGCTCGCGGGCTACAAGATTCCTCAGGTCATGAAGATTGTCAACCACATTCCTCGCAACGCCATGGGCAAAATAAACAAGAAGCAGCTTGTCAAAGCCATATTTGTAGAGGAGACGAGCGGCGACGAATTGTAATTGGTCGGCATTATATATATCAGAACATAGAACACAGGACTTGTCAAAATTTCCATCTGCCAAAGAGCGATGGTGTATATCGCCATCACTTCAGATGCATTCATGTACAACATCACTCAAACAAGAAGCAACGGCCGTAATATTAGAAATCTATTTTGGTAGCCACGCATGTCGACCGACAACTTCATATGGCCCCTGATGCGATCATAAATAAGCTTCCTAGCAACGCCGCCATGATACTAATTACATAGGAAAGGCAGATTTCGGTTTCCCTCTCAACGTTGATGTGGACCGGGCCAATCATCACAATTTCATCAATGTGGCAGCTACCGCTCCTGCGCAGCCTGCCCCCTTGGCGCCCTCCAGATCCCATAGCTGAAAACAGCACGACTTTGTGCTGCAGCTCATGAACCCCCAGAAGACACGAGCTCGTTTTATTTAAATGGTATGCTTGGCCTTGGCTCTCGTGCTACCAGCGTTAGCGCTGTCCGTGTGTCCAGAGAATTCAACCTGCTCGCTGTTGGGAAGTTCAAGAACCTCCTTGAAACGGCGACCAATGCTGAGGACGATATCGCGGCCCTTTTCATTCGAACGGCCCTTTCCACCGGCGACATCACCGTCTCCGCGTCCGGGGATGCTCTTGCCAAGAGTACGAGTCCAAACGCCAATGCGATAGAAGGCTTTGCGAACATTGACAACGACGCCCATGACCTCACCATCTTCCTCCTCCTCGAGGGTCTCGCCAATAGCGGACATGACAACTTGCAGCCAAAGACGGTCGACATCTATGTTTCGCTTATCCTTGTACTGGTAAGACCACTTGCCACCGTGCTTGTTCTGGGGGTCTTCCCACTCGGGTCGCACGCCGGCCTTGAAAAGGTGGTAGTCGGACTTGAGAGCGAGCTCCGAAACGGCAGCCACGTTGTTCTATCAATTGGTCAGCTGAAGACTTGACACATCTGCACAGCGAATGCACATACGTAGACACCCCAAAATTCTTCCACAGAGTCAAACGTGATCACCTCCTTGAGCAGATCATTCCAATTATCACCCTATCGCATCAAGTCAGCAGTCTAATACAAGGAGCAACACCGCAGCTGCATCAGTATGTACCTTGCCGCTAGGGGGCTTGGTGAACCACAGTGTCCATTTGTTCTGAAGCGGGTGCTTGACGTTGAAGTTATCCTTGTCGTGGAACACGGTGACGGGCTTGCCCGAGTCTACAGCATCAGACTCTTCCTTTCCGTTCGGAGAGATGGGAATCGTAGACAAATCGACCTGCTTGTCCATGTTGGCGGATTCGGCGGCGGCGACAGCCATGATTGCTGTGCGATTGTGTGTGGGAAGAGGAAAAGGGACTAGCAAGGCGGGAGTCGGGTCGCAAGATGCAGCAGCAGTGAGCAAAAGGTGGAATGGAAGTAGCTCTGCTTCTTGCCTTCCTTCGACTGTGAGGATTTTGCGGCTCTGCACCAGGCAAAGCAGTCACTGGTAGGGTGTTTGGTTGGGGGCGAAGCGATGCGAAGTTAGAGAAGGTGTGCATGAGGCTAGGTCCTGCTTCCGTTGATCTAGGACCGAGTTGTGAGAGAAAAAAATGGTGGTGGTTGCGCCACACCGTTGTGGCTGGTAGCGCCACACTAGCCGCTTGCTGGATGGCAACGGCGCGGTTCTAGTTACGCAGGGCAAACTCAATGTGAGGATGTTGATCCTAAAAAACTTGTGAAGGTAGTTTTAGCAGTTTCTTGCTTGACCGAGTCCTGTTGAGGAACGAAAACCCGACTGGGGTATCACTGTTGATCGAGCCGTACTGTCCCGTTGCCCACTACCTACCCTAGTACAATAACGTTGTATATGCTTGGTTTATCTGGGGCCTCTGTATCATTTTGTGGTTGATACTGGAATGCTTGGGTTCTTGGTCGTGTTTTCCTCTTCATTTGTCGTCTTGTCTTGATTCTTTGTGACTCCAACAACTGAAGAAGGCAAGTACCACACAGTTTCAAGGTCGTAGCTAGGTGGGCTGTTGCCGACAACTAACTACAGGCAACTCCCAGCATTTGGCAGACAGGGAGGGTACCTTTCAATAACACAAGCCACCTAAACAAGCAAGGGAAATCACTATCACAAAATCAGGAGTTGAAAAAAGGTGTCACTCTGCTAACGGCCATCCATATAAAAACTCCAAGGGAGAAACTCCAAAAAGAAAACGCTGGTCCACACAGGGATTGAACCTGTGACCTTCGCATTACCATATATTGGTGTTTGAATGCCGATATTAGTACGACGCTCTAACCGACTGAGCTAGTAGACCCACGTGATTGGATGTCTGCATCGGGCGATATTGGGGTATATACGCATTTTGAATTTGACTGCTCAGTACTATACGTGGTGCCATTGTATCGAGGGAAGAAATAAAGTGTAAAAGGAAAAATTAGATGCATGCATCCAAGTTAGTCCTATAAGAAAGCACTAGCCAACACAAAAGGTAGACACAAGTCATGTACAAATTAGACTTTTACAGAAGCGTGAACCACAGAACGACTACGAATTATTTTCATCTGATACAACAGACACATTCTCCCGTAACACAGCAGGTCTCGGTTGTCTACACCCGGTCCCTCTGTGTCGGAAGGCTGATTTCTATGATGCATTCTATAAACAATATGTACGAATTATTTCAAACTGACCTACAATTAGTTGCCTGAGAATTTTGCAAGCACGCTTCATCTGCAATAAATACAACTGCTTGGCATCACCGGCGCACTTGTCACTGCTTACTGGTACCTACCTCTATGTACCTAGGTACATAGGTAGGTACTATTACTGGCTAATTTGTACCTACTAAGTCGTACCTACCTATGCCCAATTATGATCGCCTAACACGCTACGGGCCGTCGCTGAAATCCACCAGCAACGGTCCAGCCACTACTGCTGAGCCACTTGAGAGCCGTAAGGCTTAACGCTGGCATCTCAGGGGCGCACCTACGAATGCCATTCTCACGATTTGCATTGCAAAACAGTCTTTGATTTCAACAGCAACTAGGTGCTCCGTCACCGCTGTACTCAGTGCTGCACGCCCGTACCCAGGTTGTCCTGCAGCTTACACGCCTACCTACCTAATTAATCCCTGCTCTCCAGCCACCTCTTTTTTGCTCTGTCGACCCTGGCCTAAATTGAACACCCCATCAGCTCAAGCTCACACCCAGCCCAGACTCCAGTGCTGGTGCCCGACCGCTTCTTCCATCTGTGTGCACCTTCTGCTGCGAGTCATTGACCAAATACCGTGTTGACTGGTGGTGTGTAAGTCACGGGTCAGCTGGTCCCGTCATCAGTCTGGCCGTCTGGATGTCGCAGTGATCGCTCGCAGCTAACTAAGCTTCGTCAGTGCTTTCAAGTTCCAGCTACCTGATCTCTCTGGCTAGAGCTTCCTTGCTTCGACTTCTCGATTATCATCCCGCCCTCGTTGCCTTTGCTATCGTATCGTGCCAGTCCAAGCTCTCCAGACCTGCCGAAGCTCCACCTCGTCCTTCCAGCCTCTCAGCGACCTGAGCGACATTGTGCTCAGGCTCGGACCGGGGGTGCATCAACTAACAGCTAACAGCCTGCCTGGCTGGAGCTTGTGCGGATACTCGTCCGCCCACATTGCTTGTACATAATTTTCCTGCATTGCATTATTTTCACGGGATCCTCTGAGTTTCGACCGACGCGACCGACATGTCGGCCCAAAACTGGGGCGATCTGCCCAAGCACAAGAGAGGCGGTCACCAGCGCCGCTCTAGCGAGCACGAACTCCCTCCAACCGATCACAGACAATCCTTAGACAGCCAGCCTCCGCGACGGACGAACCGTACATCCATACAAACCGCCTATACCGAAGCCCCTTCCGAATCAATCTTTGCGCCCGGTTCGCCTACGGCCTCTAGTGTTACTCCCCACGGCTTGGCTCCACGACCTCCGTCGTACCAGAACGCCGGCTTCGCAGAGTTTGCTCCGGATAGTGCTGATCGCAAGCCGCGTCGGATGCCGTACGACGACGACGAGTACTTCTTGCCAGACTGTCCGTCTCTACCAGACGTGCCTGGTATTCCTCGCGGCCCCCCATTGAGCTATCGAGAACCGTACATACCCCAGGCTCCGACCGCAATGCACGAGCCAACAACGCGCTATCAACCTCAGACAGGTACTTCGGATCAGTCATACTCGGCATACCGTGATATGCCTCCTGTAAATGTTCCCTCGCCAATGGCTGCTCCAACATCCGTTGGCGATGCTCGTCCTCGCGCAGATGACGTGTCTGGACAATCCCGAAGGACTTCCACAAGCGCAACGTCTGATCGACGCAAAAAGTTGGCCACCAATCGATCGCCGCTGCAAAATCTGGAGCTGACACTGGACAGCATGACCAAAGAAGAAAAACGAGCCCGCGTGGAAGCTGCAGAACAACGAGCTAGGCAGCGGGCAGTCAACGCCACCCAGGCTCTGACCGACCCGCCTCCCATGAGCGGCCCAGTCGCAGCTAATGATGCCGGTACCAGACGACCAGCACAGGAATCCATGTCCAGGCAGCATGTTGCTACATCTGCCGCTGGTCCTACGCCACGCCCTGCAACGCATCATGACTGGACACAGCTACTGCAGCCAAATACTCTGCCTCCAGCGTCAACTGGGCAGCAATTGATGGAAGATCGTGGGCAACCTCGGGACCAGCCTGCCCTAAATATTCCGCAACGCAACCTAAGTTTCAAGGATCGCACTGCCAGGTCCCCTATCGCTCCCCGTGATACTGAGATCACAGAGCCCATGAACCAAAGGGCATCACCTCTCGCAGCGCCGAATCCCGTGATTCGTACAGGAAGTACCCGAACCGGGCAAGAGCCTGCAGAAAGATTCCCTCAGCATCGTCGCATAGAATCCGAAGAAGTTCCCCGCAATTACTCTCCGTTGGTTCCTGTACCTGGCAATGCCCTTCCTCGTTCCGCTAGGAATAAGGAACTGCCTCCTATTCCATCTTCTGATAACCCTGGTAACAACCATATGAGGAATTTGCAACAGCAAGAACAACACCTGGCAACGAACGGCGCCATACAACAAGGCATTCAACGTCGGGTTACTGAGCCCACATATCACCGTCAACCTGGCACAGATGAGATATATCAGACAGCCCCGCCCCATCCGGAATTTGCTGCGACAATTCCACACAAGGGATCACAGCCAGAAGATGGCATTGCTCTTGCTAAGAGGCAACTTGAGAGAGGTGACAGCGATGATGGCAACACAAATGAGAACAGGCATCGCCTAGGAAATATACTCTACACCAACCCGGATACTCTGTGTCCCGGACAGGGCTTGTATGCACCACCAGAATGGTTGGACGAGTGGGAAAAGGCAGCGGTCGGAACATTATCTGGACCGCTGCTGGATGTTCATGCCGAAAACTCGTCACAAGACACCTACAAAGCGTGGTGGGAAGAACCAACGGGCCGTGGCGGTAACGTGCCAGCTCGCCTCAGAAAGGCAGAAGCTTTTGACGGGGAGTATGATGATACAAAGGAGCCGACACGATTCAAACCCCAGCTCTATCTGAAGTGTGGTCCTCTCTTGAGATACTGCGGCATCCGCAAGGAAGCAATTCCTTCTAGGTCCCAACGTGGCCACCCTGTATCGGAACGGGAAATGTGGCGTGGAAGCATCATGATTGTTACACAAGATTCTGGCTCTTCCTATGAAATAGCTCCAATGCTCCGCCTCTTTGTTCAGGACATCAGCGTGTTGCCACCAGCTCCACACCATGTTCAAGGAGAACTATCGCCGGAATACGTTGATCCTATAGCTGGTCATCCAAAACTCGGGCGTCGCGGAGAAACGCTCTACGTTCGCCCCGTCGAGCACTTGGAAGAAGCCAAAGACCTTTCGAACGACGAAACGGAAAATGGCCTCTTTGAGATGACTCGAAGCCCTCCAGATGTGCCAACCCCAGACGGTGCGCCTGATTTCCCGGGCTCCTTTACTAGCCGTAAAAGCCGAGCGGGTATTGATGGTGAAAAAGCGCAAAAGTACAAAGATGTGCGTGGTTTCCAACTCCATGCAGAGAGAGGCTACACTTTCTGGCGCTTCAATGTTGAGATTGAGCTTCGCGAAAAGCAGCAGCGCATTGCCTATCGCATCAATAGAGGGCCATGCATGGCTTTCTGGGTACCTGCAAGGAACCAGACGATGAATATGATGTTTCACAGCTGCAATGGCTTCAGCTTGAGTGTGAAGCCAGACGACTTGAGTGGACCAGATCCCATGTGGCGTGACGTCCTCAATACACACCAAGCGAAACCATTCCACGTAATGATTGGCGGTGGCGACCAAATTTACAACGACTGCGTCGCCGATGAATGCGAGCTATTCGGAGAGTGGCTTGATATAAGAAACCCCTTCGAGAAACACCATACACAGTTCACTCCGGACATGCAGAGCCAGCTAGAAGAGTTTTACCTTGAGCGTTATTGCATGTGGTTCTCACAGGGTCTCTTTGGGCTGGCTACCTCACAAATTCCCATGGTGAACATGTACGACGATCATGATGTCTTTGACGGATATGGCTCTTACCCAGACCACGATCTTAGATCGCCAGTATTTTCGGGCCTGGGTGCGGTCGCTTTCAAATACTACATGCTATTTCAGCATCAAAGTATCATCCCGGAAACGGAGACGTCCGAGCCCAGCTGGATCCTTGGGTTGAGCCCTGGTCCGTACATCCATGAGCTCAGCCATAGTGTCTATATCTCCATGGGAGGTAAGACGGCTTTGCTTGCTGTGGACACTCGTACTGAGCGAACGGAGCACAAAGTTCTTGACGAGAAAACATGGGAAAAGATCACCAGCAGGCTGTATCTCGAAGTTCGCAAAGGCCAGATTGAGCATCTTCTAGTAGTGCTTGGTGTGCCAATTGCATACCCAAGAATGGTTTGGCTTGAAAATATTTTAACGTCAAGACTTATGGATCCTGTCAAGGCCTTGGGGAGAGCGGGCCTCTTTGGGAAGATGCTCAACAACATTGATGGTGGTGTGGAGGTGTTGGACGACTTGAATGACCACTGGACCGCCAAGAATCACAAACAAGAGCGAACCGTTGTGGTGGAAGACTTACAAGACCTTGCCATGGACAAGTCAGTACGGGTTACGATTCTCAGTGGCGATGTGCATCTTGCGGCCGTGGGTCAATTCTACTCCAATCCAGAGCTTGGACTGGCAAAGCACAAGGATCCGCGATACATGCCGAATATCATTTCATCAGCAATCGTGAACACGCCACCCCCGGACATTCTTGCTGACGTTCTCAACAAGCGCAACAAAGTTCATCATTTTGATAAGAATACCGACGAAAGCATGATTCCGATGTTCCACCATGGGCCGGATGGCAAGCCTCGAAATAACAAGCATCTTTTGCCACACAGAAACTGGTGCTCCATCCGCCAGTGGTCTCCTGGCATGACGCCACCACCAACGCCGCCCGCATCTGACGACGAGCGCAGTCCAAGCCCCCCACGAGCGACAGGAAGTGGTGGGCTGCTTCGGCGGTTTTCACTCAGCAAGCGTTCGGGACCAAAGCAATTTGATGGGTCTCGCGAGTCTGTTCGTGGACCGCGTCCTCCAATCTCCGGTGGCTTATTCAGAGGCCTAACCAGAGGAAACTCTAACAAAGGTCCATCGTCACCTGCTAAACTTGCAAGGAGTATGTCTCTTGGTAGCACTGATCCACCCAAAACGGGACTTTTTGGCTTCATGCGCCGAGGCAGCCAGAGCAAAGTAGTAGAATATGAGGACGAGGAACACGCGACATCTCACTGGGGCGCACCAGAGCAAGGTCGATACCCAAGTCCCTACGGCCGGTCGCAAGATGAACCTCTTGGGCTCCGCGGTGGCGCTGTTACAAACGACGAATACTCGGATGGAGATGAGGCTTACTTCACTCCGCGTCCTCCTCAGCAAGCGAAAGCAGGGCTTATCCAATCACCAAGCGAGCCTCATGATGACCCAAGAATCAGACCATTCCATAGGACTCCTACTGGTCTTACAACTAAGCAGATGAAGAAAGCGCAAAACTTCACAGTCGATCTTGAGGGAGGGTTGGATATCTGCTTGAATGTCGAGGTAAACCCCAAAGACCCAACAGGAATCACAGTACCATACAGAATCCTGGTGCCGCGACTGAATTACGAATATGTAGCGGAAGAGGACTCGCTGGTAGAGGCCCAGACTCAACCACAGCCCACTGGATTCAAGAGACTTTTGAGCTTCCGCAAGAAACAAGACCCTCCGGTTCCCAGATACGAGGAACATGACCCCGTGGGCGAACCGGGTCAAGATGATGAAGACAATTCAACTGAAGCAGGAACGGTCAGGCGCCGATACTGAGTCGGCTGACTGAGTGTTACTTGGAGCATGGCGTTCTGGTCTATACGTGGGTGTTATTCAAAGTATCCACATTGGAAAAACAAACAGATTTTGGTCAATTACTACCTACGGAGCATTCATAGTGCAAGACATTGTACAATTATATTTACTTGTATTATTGAAAATATTTCAATTCGTGCGTAGTTTGCGCCACCCCTGATCTACCTGATCTAGGCCGATGGCTGATAACTTAACTGTACGCGTGGCGCTTTGGCTACGAAGCAGACACGTCGGCTACGATATAAACTTGTGATTTCTTGTTTGAAAGACGGTGTAAATTCTGGAATTTTGGATTCAATAATTTGTGACTTGATGAATCAAGCATCAAAGATAAAGTGACACCCAATTTTTGTAGATGACCAGTGGTCACTCATTAGGAGTGGCGTATTTTAGAATTTTAGAGGGCGGGCATCTAACTAATAAGGTGGGGACAGTGATCGAAGTTCCACGTCGCGCCAAAGACATGCCCGCCAGCTCTCCTTTCTCTCTGAATAACTTGTAGTTGCGACTAAGCCGAGACCATTTTTTTCTGTTGGGTTCGCGAGCAGGGAGAACATTCATATCGACCAGGGTCACTCTTTTATTCCTATACGCCGCTCATGGCCTAACGTGCCACCTCTCCGGAAGCCGCGCCAACCCCCCTTTGCGGACGAGCCGACAGGCCGCAGTTTCGAATCCCAGACAGCAGCGACTCGATACCAAGGCCTGCCTGGCAGGCAGCTGATACGTCCTGCGCTATGGCGAGAGGATTTGATCTTGACAGCGCCTCCGATGCGGCAAAATTACAAGCGCGGAGGGCGTTGTCCTGGCTGCAAGGGCCTGGATTGAGGGCTGCGACAGCCGTGACTCTGACGGTTGCGCACCATGCACGGAGAAACCTGGTCGCCAGGAGAATCTTCAGCTTGCCACATGCGCTCGTTGCCATTTGGATAGTCATTCTATTATGGGGCGAGCGGTGGGTATTTGACAGCAAGGTCGAGAGCTGTAGTTGGGATCATTGGGAATCATGGGTACGTTGCTGCTCGCTTGACAAAAGGCACGGTTTGGATTGGGAAACTGACACTAGAAATGAATGCTAGCCCAAGGGGACACATCCGCATCGCCTGGTTCTCATTGCAGACCCCCAAATCACCGATCCGCACTCATACCCCGGCCGTCCATGGCCACTCTCGTCTTTGACCGTAACCATTACCGACAACTATCTTCGACGAGGCTACAAGGCGCTCCAGAGCCACCTACACCCCGACAGCGTATTCTTCCTGGGAGACTTGTTCGACGGCGGCCGTGAATGGAAAACGCGACAGGAAGGGTTCGTCGATCCAAAATGGGGCGAGGAGCGATCGGGCGAAGAGAAGCAATGGGTAAACACATGGCACCGCAAGTATGGCGAGGACTTTTGGGTGCGAGAATACCAGCGCTTCGCCGAAATCTTCTTTGACAACTTTAACCTGGGAGGCACCGTACCGGGTCCGTACCAGAGAGGACGCCGGCTGGTTGCCAGCTTGCCTGGAAATCACGATATCGGGTTTGGCGCGCAGGTGCAGGTTCCGGTGCGCAACCGCTTCAGCGCCTACTTTGGCGACGTCAACCGCGTAGACATTGTGGGAAATCACAGCATTGTCTCGGTTGATACGGTGTCGCTCAGCGCCGACACATCGAAGTTTAGGTACTCGCACGATCTGGAGCCCCTTTACGGACCTGTCAATGAGTTCCTGGAACATGTACAGTCTACCAAGCGCAAACTCGCTATGGAGGAACTCAAGGTGTGGCATGACATTGACCGTGACTTGCGCTCTAAGCATCAAGTCGTGGACCTGGAAACATCGGACACAACCCCGTCTCCCAGAGACCCCGGTGCTGGCCACGCCGATTTCCCGACAATTCTGCTTACACATGTACCGCTATATCGAGGTCCCGGAACACCTTGCGGACCTATGCGCGAGCATTGGCCGCCAACGAAGCGACCCAAGGGCCAAACAGAACCAGTCAACCCGGACGAGCGCAACGCCATTTCCGTCACTGCTGGCTACCAATACCAGAACGTGCTCAGCGAAGAAGACTCTGTCAAATTAATCAAGAGCATCGGCAATGTCGTGCATGTGTTTTCTGGCGACGACCACGACTACTGCGAGCTCGTTCATTCCGAATCAAAGGGCGGCGTGAGGGAAATCACCGTCAAGAGCATGAGCATGGCCATGGGAGTGAGCAATCCAGGGTTCCTCATGCTCAGCATGTATAACCCTGTCGATGCCGACGGCAGGCCCATGCCTGGAGCTCCAAAATCCACGCTCCAGACGCACTTGTGCCTGCTCCCGAATCAGCTCCACACGTACATGCGATATGTCCTCTTTGGCTTCCTGTCGCTCATTGTGCTTGCCGTCCGCGCGTTTCTCGTGCCAGCGCTCAACTTGACACCCTTTGCGCTGGAACCCGACCCGGGCAGCCCCTCGCTTCTGCCCGTGTTTAAAGACAAGGCGGAACCGCCCGAGTCGCGGATGCACGGTGGCTCCAACGGCACATCGTCCACAAGCAGTCGCAGCGCCTCCAACGGCTCGTCGGTGCGCTGGCCGGCCAAGAAGAGCGCCGGCAGGAGTGCTGGCTCCCGCGGCGGTGCCGGCCGCTGGGGCTGGGGCGACGACTACAGCGCCCACGGGCGCGGCCCGCGCATCAAGCTTGACACAGACTTTTACGACGACGGCAAGCAGTGGAAGGCGGGCCGCGGTAAGCAGGTGTTCCAGATGATTACGAGAGAGTTTTGGACAACGGCTTGGCGCCTGACGTGGATGACGGTCCTGATATGGGTGCAATTTACAAGGCGAGGGTAAGGGCTTGTAACTAAACGCACTCATAACCAGGAAGGCCGGTTTTGCCTAGATGACAAGGTTGTATTATTGACTTGGACAGGACTTGTTTTTTTTTGTGTGGTTTCCGTGTAGAAATATCACAAAGCGTGTATTCTACTTGCATTGTACAGTCGAGGCTGACATTGATTTGGTTTTGGGAGTACTGGATTTTCAAATAAGCATTGGGGTAACTAAAACAGGGAAAAGGGTTGAAAGAAGAGTACGAGGCGAGTTGCAACAACACCAAGCATATAAAACACGAGCTCAAAATTGGTTACACTTGGAAGGGAGCCTGGTCTCTTTGTCCCCCCTTGCGCATTTACCCAACGTCCATCACATGGGCTCAACGAAGGCCTTTTCCTTTTTCTTTCCATGTATTTATATTTGTAGCCTACAATGGTATGATTATCGCTCACAGCCCCCGTCCTGCGCCGTGCATGCACAGATCCCACTCACACGTTTGCCTACTGCTGCGTTGGCGCAGAAGCCATTTTCTTTTTTGTCGCGCACCCTATTTTTGGAGTCGACGTATGTACAGTACGGGGCCCAAGTTGCGCTCGCAACAAAGGAAGATGCCGAACTTCGGACGGCGCCTCGGCCCGCAAAGCGAGTTCGGAGAAATTACGATTGCTATCATCGAGTTACCCTTTTTCTTTGTCCCGCGGCACTGCTCTTCCGCCTGGTAGCACACCCCTCTGCCGTCGGTCAACGCCTGCGTAGGTTTATCGCCGATGCGATTTGATGCGTCAACTCATTGAATGGCCCCCGATGTGGTGATGAGAGGATTCTAGCAAAAAAGTTTGAGTTCCAGTCTGTAGGTTGGCCGAAACGCAGGCTTCATTCGCTCCCTCCCCTACAGTGCGATGTGAAAGAAAGAATGGACCAGAGCTAGGGGTTATTGTTGTCATATTACATACAAGTTCCTGACAGAACCTCCGCCACACGGGACAAAAATAAAATCCGTCACCTGCAGGATTCGAACCTACGCACGCGAACGTAATGCCTTACTGGGAGGCTGTTAGTGGTGATGGACTGTCGGAAGAACGGGTGAGTACATACGCAGGGCACCGCCTTAACCACTCGGCCAAAGTGACTTGGTTATGGACCTTGGGATGAGCTTGTCTATGTTATGACTGGAGAGCTTTTCAAGATGGCACAAGTTGGGACCAGACCCTCAACATAGGGATAGCTCGTTATTTCTGTAGTACAGGAACGTATGACTAGTCTCGTTGCATTAGCACAGTCCATGAGTCTATGATGTTTTGGTCTTCCTTGCTTGGTGTCGAGGAAAGGATTAGCGACGGCTTAGACGCCATTTGCGTTTTCCGTTTGACTTATTCCAAGCTCGACAGCATCTCTAACTACGGAATGTTTTCTCGGCAACCGCATCCGCTGTGGATACTGTGTACATACATAGACAGAGCAAAACGGCCTTGCATCACCAACTGCGGGATTCTGCAACGGGAATAGCTGCGACTGGCACGGCCAAGGTACGGCTTGGCAGGCCACATGTGTACAGTAGTGAGGACGCCAACGTCATGGGAATTATACTACCTTTATGCATATGTACTCAACGTTCACCAGCCCCCAAAATAGGCCTCTCCTCCTTGGTCATTCCCCCCGCCAAACCTGAGACGGAGGGTTGAGCGCAACCATCGGGCGCTCCGTCCTGTCATCGCGGCCCACCAACACACAGAGCTTTATTTTTTTTTCTTCCCGGTTGTGAGGGAGGTGATGTGAGGTGATCCCGTCCGTGAGCAGTGAGATGACGCGCGCCGCCCATTAAACAAGCTTTTTTGCACGAGTGAAACGCTCGTCGTTTTCCTTTGTCCGGATGATCCACAGAGCGCTTGAAGTAGATGACAGATGACACTCCCGCTCTTTTCCGTCCAAATTTCTTTTTTTGGCTCGTGATTTGTGCGTCGTGCATCTCCTTCTCAACGGCGTGGCAATTCCAGAGATTCTGTAAAAGAGTATTTCCATTGTCATAGCAGATGATGGGGAGCGGGAAAAAAATAAAGTGCCCGCAGTTGGGTTGCGGCTCAGCCTCTGATGGCGAGGCTGACAGCTGCAGGACAAGGACAAAAATAGAAAAAAAAAAAAGCATGTTCTACCCTTGCAGGGCTGAGGTGTATTTCGACAATGCGCTCCGCGTGTGTTCTATTTTCTTCTTCCTCTTTTGAACACACCCTCTTCGGGGGGCGGCAACGCACCTTCACCGTCCACCCGGCGGTCGCCTCCCTAGTCCGATGCGGTCGTCGCGCGCTCTCCTTGCCGCCGACGGGCTCGTGGCCGGCACAGGCCGCGATGATGCTCCTCCTCCTCCTTCTCGGTTGCTGGCTGTGCTGCCAGCGTCAAGTGCGGCAGCGGCCTGCTGCGCACGCGCCTCCGCACGCGCCTCGGCGGCCTGAGCCTCGGCCTCGGCCCTGGCCTGCTGCGCGGCGCGTAGGGCCTCGCTGGCCCGGCGATCCTCGTACGCGGCGACATCCTCGGCTGTGATGGAGAGCGTGGTTGGCGGTCGGCGAAGCATCGTTTCTTTGAATCTGGGGAGCGGGGCGGCTTCACTGGTTGAGGGACCCCCCTTCTTCGCCTTTTGTCCTGGTAGGGAATAATCTGTGTTGATGGTTTCTGTTTGTATCTCCCCAAAAAGATGCGTGTGCAATTCAAACAAGGACTGGGTGTTTTGGAAGGGGCCAGGTCTAGATGGGTTCGTGCTTGTTGTTGATGTGATGGTGGTGGGGAGACAACGGCGGCTGGTCCGTGTTTATTATTAGATGTACATATGTGGTGGAGTTGGGCCGAAGCATCCACCATTACATGCACAGTTGGCATAGGATCGATTGATATTAGGCAAAAATGCAAGAAAAACGCTTCGATAAATTGAATTGAATAGAATAGGAAACTATACCGGCGCCTCTATATTTGTATATACCATGACGTGTGAGAAAAATAAAGAAATATGTGTTGTCGTAAAGAATGAATGCATTTCGCTCGCTGGTCGGTTTCAATAACATGCGAAAATGTCCCATAAATAAAATAGTGTGTACAAGTGGTGTAAATAGTTCCCAAGAAAAGGGCGTCGGGGTATCAATGTCGAATCAAGAAAAAGGCGTCTCCATCATTCGTCTTCTTCATCCATGTCGTTGGAGAGTGTTGGGTTCCAAGCCAGGAACTGGCCCAGATCGTCCGTCAGGTTGCAGCTCATCCGCGGGCCGCCGCTCGCACCCCGTTTCGTAAACGGTTCCTCCTCCACAGGGAGCCCGTAAATGTCCAGCCCCAGCACCATCTCGCTCAGCACCGGAATGGGATCCGAGGCATGCATGTCGTGGCCTGGCGCGGCGCAGACGTTGCGCTCCGCCTGGTGGTCAAATGACCAGCGTTGCATCTTGGTAAACGGAGACCGGTCTGGGCTGGCCGGCATGGGAAGGTCAACGTCGGAGATGGTGGACGCGCTGGACGTGCTGGATGCACTGCTGCGCGACGACGCCGTGCTGCCCGAGGAGCGGCTGGCGTCGCGGGCGGCGCGACCAGCCTTGATTAGCTCGCCATGCGACTCGAAGCCAAACTCGTCGAACCACTCGCCCAGCTCGTCGGCCATGGCGTTGGCCTCGTCGAGCGCCATACCCGAGTCCAGGTCCTCGGCATCGCACAGGATGGACGAGTGGAAGGCAGGCCAGTCCACCTGCAGGTCGGCGTAGTCGTGCTCGCCGCTGCCGCTGTGCTCTTCCGCCTCCGCATGGCGGCTCTTGTGCTGGAACTCAATGTGGCCGTGGCGGAATAGAGGGCTCGTCTTTGAGTAGGCGGTGCCGACGAGGTACAGGGAGTCGTGCGACGACGACGATGAGGATGGCCCAGCCCTGGGCTTGGCGACGGGACGTTTCGACTTGGTCGAGATTCTGACCAAGCTGTTCTTGCGCCGGCGACGCTCGCCCTCGGCGGAAGCGACGAGCATTTCGGGAATGGGGGCGAGCTGGGACGTGCGCGCGCGGGCCCCAAAGCGGGCAGGGTTCTTGGGTGGAGGGGGGGGTGGCGGAGAGCCGTCCTCGACGAGCGGGCGCGCCTCAGCTGCATTGTCCGCTGAGGGGGGGCCAAGTGGCTGTGGCTGTGTCAGATCGGGGTCCCTGGCCAAATGGCACTTGGTTTCCAATGCTTGGCTCACATCTTCGTCATCCGTCTCCTCGTCGTCGACGAGTTCTGTAGAGACGGCGTCCGTGCCCATCCAGGCCATGACCGAGTTGGGAAGCATCTCTCGGTGGTACATTTGCGAGGCCGTCAGATGGCGTCCCTCTGCAGCGCACAGCGCAAATTGGGAGTCTGTGGATTGACGCTTCGTCTGGAGAACCGACTGTCTTTTGGCGGCGGTGATGGAGCTGTTTCGCTGGTGGGCGGGTTGCTCGTCGATGTAGTCCGAGTAGGTTGATGACAGGCTGCTGGTAGCCGACACTCGTTTGGCTGAACGGCTGGCAAGCATGTCGCTCACACTCTGTGAGAGAGTAAGGCGCAACTTGCGCGGGAGTAAAACATTGCGCTTGCCCATCTTCTTGGTTGTAGATGGGCGTGAGGTGTGGCCTTTGGTGGAAGTGCTGTGTGATGACTGGAGAGAGTTTCTTCTGATGGATCTGCTGCTGGTGATGGACATGTCGCTGGTGATGGAATTTCTTGGCACATGGGCAGTGAGTCCTTGACGTTGTTGTCGCACCGACTGGTCACGACGCACACCACTTAGACCTGACCTGGCTTGTGCGACGTAGGTGTTGTAGGCAGCATCGGCCAGTGCCACACTGACATCTGCGAAAGCTCGGTCTGACTGGAGAATCAGGCCCTGGATGGTTTCGTCGGCGGCGTGATGCACGAGTACGTCATGTGTGAATAACTCGTGCTCCTCATCCGACTCGTCCTCAAAGAGTCCACGAGGGGGTCGCGGCGGCCGCTGGGGAATGGCGGGGGATTGTGACCGGGAAAGGTCCATGGAGCTGCTGGAGCCATAGACCGAGGTGCGTTTCGTAGAGAGGGAGGAGATGCTGTTGGTAGCCTTGTGGCCTCGCCTTGAGATTGTGTTGGTGCGACGCAGCTCGAGCGGGTTGGATGAGGCCAAGGCAGTCTTTTGGTAGTCTGCAAACTGGAAGAAGAGGGACTGTTTGGGAGTGTGGTTTTTTTCTTTAGAGGTGCTCCATGATTTGGAGCGGCTGTGCAGTGATGGTGAAGGTGTTGGTGAGGGCGAAGGTGCTACCTCGGAGGCGAGGGTATATCTGGTGCCTTCGGTGGTGAACTCGACGGGCGGTGCGTTGCTGCTTGGGTCGCTGGAGCGAGTGCGCCGGTGAGAGAGGCGGCCCCAAGCGAGACTGAGCGACGAGGTATCCATTTCGAATTCTTGCAATATGACTGTGGCGTGGTAGAATCAGTGGTCATGGACCATGTCTACTTGGGAGTTGTATAGAAGCGCAGTTCTGGCGCGCTCTGTTTGCCAACCGTGGTTCTGGTCGCGATAGTTGGTGGGCACACGTTTGCTGTCGGGGCGCTAATAATAACTTATAAAGGATTTTTCAAAAAAAAAAAAAAAAAAAAAAAAAAAATACGAAAACGATTGCGCACAGAGGAATTTGTCAAGCAAGAAATTGCGGGCAACAATGTCTGTGAGCGAGCACGGAGAGGAAGAAGAAGAAGCTGCTGAAGAGGTGTGGGGGAGCGAGGGGATTGATATCGGATTTGCCGGGGTGAGGGCTGAGCAGCATGGACGGTGAGCAGGTTGAGACCTGGCAGCCAACAGGGAAGGGTAATTCAGGTGGAAAAGGTGGAAAGTTTATTGGGCTGGGAAGGGAGGGAGGGTGGGCAAGGGCAATGATGAAGATGATATGACAATAATAATAATAATAGAGAGTTGATAAGAATGAGAATAATTTGTAGACGGATGACTGCTGACGTGGTGAAGTGGTGGCTGGTTTGTCTTCTGTATGCACTGTAAGTACTGGAGCAGCTGGAGCAGTATAGGGCCGGGGTGGCCTGTACTCGGTACACTACCTTGTACTAGTAGGTACCTGGTAGTGAGCGATGCCCAGTACGGCATGTCGCATCGACCCCAACCCCGGCCACCAACAGTCTTCAGCAGGGGCGGTGGGCAAACGCCACCTTCTTACCTAGTAGGTACTAGTTAATGCAATGCTGCTTGATTCTTGACTGCCACATCTTGGCTGACTTGTGCCTCATGTTTGTGCCGAGTTAGCTAGGTAGGTAGGTAGGTACCTATGTACACCCACTGTATGTAGGTACATAGGTAGCCAGGGAGCTCACTAGCCAACGTTGTTCCTACCACCACAAGGGATCGGCAATGCCAGGTCATCACGAGCTTGTTTTCCCGCCATCGACTACCTGTTTCTCACTATGTTGCTGCCTGGCAAGCTAGGTCCACTAACTACCTATCAGTTACCTTACCTACAAGTACAAGTTCTACCTGTCGCGACATTGTTCATCTCCTACTCTATTCGTCATGGCTCATCGCCCGCCCTCATTTCAGTGCACAACATTTACCTTTCTCCGTACTATTGATTCTTATTTGTCAACTCTGTAATTTGTAGTACTCCGTAGTAGTATTGACAAGTCCCTGTCTGCTTGCTCGCGACACAGAGTTTCCCCGCCAGCCGGTGAGGATTTGTGGTGGGTGTGTGTGACGCCCCATCGCCCGCCGCAGCGCCCAATCGCCACGGTGCATTGCACTCTAACAATAGCTTTTATTGTAACTAACTAATATTCGTCAACTAGTTGAAGCAAATGTTTGCCTCTGTTGGGACAAGGGTGTGGACAAGTGGTTGGCTCGAGCACATGTGAGACCCTGCCGCCCGCATCGTCTTTTTCTTCTCTCTAGCGATTGTCGAGGTGCGACACCACAAGTGAAGCCGAGGTAGCGACGAACTGTCTTGGACTTTTCATAATTAATTACTCCAGAGTGTGCTTCTCAAAGTCAACTCGACTCTATTACTCCGCAATCTCTCGACTTGCCAGTCACTAAATTTGTCACGTAGGCATCAGCGACAGACGGTGCAGCTGGCCCGTGCTGCCTGCCTGTCCAGCACAATCATCATGTCTCAAAGTGTCCAGGCTGTTGACTCGCCGCATTTACAGTAGTTACCTAACAGAACAGTTGGATCAGCCATTATTTGCATTTACTCGGCGAGCAGATATTCGTTTCAACTTTTAGTTAACTGGTCAACATGACCTTCCCGATCAGGCCGCTGGAATACCGCTCACACTCACCACAATAAACCTGACGCAACGTGACCAGTGCCAGGCAATCACTAGTTAACCAGAATCGCCGAGACGGATGCCACACCATATCATCAGCAAAACCTTCTGCCGACATTCCCTCGTCGCATGCTCGTCTGCATCGTCTGCATGAGGCTACGTAACACCAGACGACAAAGAAATCAACTAGTAGGCTCCTGCGGGATCCGTCGCTCTTCTTGGAAACCTGTACACTCTTGCGATACCACCGCGGAATCCATGGGGGTCGTGCCTCTTCCTGGTCTCATTCTCCCGGTGATTCGCTTTGCCGTCATCTTTCTCACTCTCTGCCGGGAACGCTGGCGAGATAATCACAGTCAAGGCTGACGCCACCCACACAACTGTCACACGGCGCAGCCTTTCCTTGCAGGGGGGGTGCGCCGAGAGCTGACTCAGGCTGGTTGGCGAATAGTAAAGATGGTTGGGCGAGTGGCCAGAAATGTTCCAGCAATGTGCAGCTGCTGTTTTGCCAGAGATGGACGATGGATGCCTAGGCCATGTACCAGTACCAGGGACATGGTTGCGGGAGCCTGCCTGACCATCAACAATCCAACAATCCATTCTTGGGGTCCGCGATCTAGCCATGACCCCATTTATCCTTCCAAATGAGGCTTTCAATCCGCCGTTGCTTACTTCGTGCTCCCTACACGTGCATCATCCCGGATTGCCACAGAGCATTCTTTGAGCGAACAAACTGTTGACAGATGGCCCTAACCCTCGGAATGGCATTGACCTCAACACGGCCATCTTGTAAGGCGGACATGGCATCCCGGTCCTGTCCAAAGCCGACCAGCTCTAGTATATCAACTGTCCCCGAGCCGGGATATTCTCTATCGGCGTTGCAAGTTGCCATGCTCAGCATAGTAAGCTTGCTGATATCTTCGCGAGGTCGGCGATTAGCAGCTCAGGTCGACGACGACGATAACTAATGTAGGACTCGATTCTATGTTTGCCAAGTCTCGGGTAACTCTTGCTCGTACAGTAGTAACAATAAAAAGCGTAGCTCTACTGACTGATATAAAGTGCGTGACAATTTGCCACATTTCGCCAAGACCGATGGATCTACATATCCCGTCTGATAGTCTTCATCAAATTTTCGACAATGTATCGCATCTCAGCTTCTCTACCGATTCTTCACTACACGACGAGCTACAAGCTGGGTCTGTGCAAGCCGAGCCGTGTTCAAACAGCACCCAACCACATTCGCATACGCACAGCGCTTGTGCCATGACACGGCGTTGCACATAACCATGCAAGGAACTGAATAAGTGAATTGAAACAAATAAAAATAACCGAGCCCTGTGAAGCTAGTACCTATGCGCGGGGGCTCCTCATAGCATGGACAAACGGTCTGCATTCCAGCCTCCGGGTTTCATCAATGCCATTACATCAGGGGTTTGACAAGTCATCCAAAGAAAAACGTCGGAAAATTTGAGGCTATACAAGCTACTCTGATTTCATCTGTACTAATCCTCGTACCGGCCACCTGGATGAAACTCGCAACAACACCCACATCTGTAGAAAAAGCCCATTGTTGGCTTTGTTTGACATTCATCCGCCCCAACACAGTTTGCATGTATGGCTTGGCCTTCTAAAACCGGCCTTATTCTCAAAAATTACAGTTGTATAATATAGCAAGGTTCTGTTCTTCTCAAGACTTGCACCATGTCCTGCTATTCCGCCCATAGCACAGGCACAGACACTGAACATTTTATTGGTTCTTGTAAAACATGTACTTGAATTCTGATCTCATTGGAGTCCTCAAAGATTCACCATTGACCCCATCTGTAAAGTAACTATTGAGAAAACCAATACATCTTCAACCTTACCCACAAGTGCTGCTCTGCGAATTAGTGACTGATCTCTCGTTCACGGTGCGCGGGGTTTTCTCACCCCAAGATTCCTCCGAGAATGGGCTTCGCCTTGTCTCTGATACACTTTTTGCCCCCTTTCTGCAATTCAAATTAGTGCCTGGAATTTTGGGGTTATTGGCCCTTGCTGCCGCCTTGTTGAACGACAGAGGGCCTCAGTTCGTGTCGACTCACGGAGAAGAGACAGTCGCCGGCATCAAAACAAATGGAACCACCACCGCCAAACTGAGGGGCCGGTGCGGCCATTGCCGCCGAAGCGAAAAGAGCCAAAATGACAGAAGTGATGCGCATCTTGAAAAGTGATGAAAGACTGTGTACTTTTCCGAGTTTCTCAAGGTAGTCCTGTCATGTACTCGTCAAGTCGAGTAGAGTAGAGGAAGAAGCTCTATATTTAACTAAAGAGTCTTGAATGCCCATATGATTTACCGCCTCTCCTTTTCTGAGTACCGAGGCTGGAACAATTGAGCCTTTGCGATATTTTGCACATATGCTGTGGTGTACATGCAAGGGCACCAAGGAATCAGCAGGAACAGGGGTATTTCTGCAGGTTGGCGTTGCTTTCTACGCAAGAATTTCCATCCTAGGAAATAACTACGGCAAAAATGAATAAAACCCACCAACAGGACAGCGCGTTCGAGGCGCGGGGTCACTCGCCGCGAATCGAGTGCAGAAGGCGGGGAGGAGCGCCGGACCAAAGTAAGTACATATCGCCCTGGACATGAGTGTTCACAACGCTATGGTAGCTGAAGTGAATTAATCAAGATAGATAGGCCACTAATGCCCCTTCGGTGTTTCTAATACATGGCCCGTGATCTCGTGTCCCAGAACAGGCTTGTATGTATAGGGTGAATTGTCTTGATAGATAGACTCGGGCGTTTTACAATGATGCTTCCATGAGAGGCTAGGAAAAGTCGGCATTTTTATCTGCGACTTCTTTTTTTTTGTGGAAAACTTTTAGACTCAAGGCATTTCTATCACTGCGGCTGTACTCGCCTACACTTGCCTCAAAACACAACAACGCCTATTCTGTGCTGGTGCCGACGTGGCAGACTACGATGTCTCATCCAGAGTCCAAGTCCGCGCTTATAATGGTAGCGGCGAGGAGGGATTTTCTGTGAAGTGGACGTTTTCATTCTTTTACAAGTTTTGAGGAGCGGGCTCTAGAGATCTGAAATGATGAGTTTGAGTTTAATTGAGTATAAAGTGAGGCTTCAACTAGCCATTGATATAATGATACTCAAGGACACAGCCAGGGATTGTCACGCGGGAATGGAACCCATATGTACATCTGTCCCGTCTTTCCACCCTCTAGTTCGGGATGTAGTCCGCCACTTGGTGTCCAAAATGAAAGATTGAAGGACTGCTGTGCCAGTGTTGACGGTTTCCTGTTGCAGAAGCCTAGTCAATGCAGTGTCGAAAAATCAATATAGTTCCTACCATGTTCCATGAGCAACAAAATATTTGAGAAGTCTTACTGGACTATGATGTCATGGAAGATTTGTCTTTTCGTCGCTTCAAGAGCCATCCGGTAGAACGTTCAAATGGTGGCTGTTGAAATTATTTCGAGATAGTACCATCACAAAATGACAACTCCAATGGATAATAATGTGTCTCCAACTACGTCTAAGGGTTTAGATACGTGAATAGCAAACAAGAACAAGGTTATATGTGCGGCTGGTACCATTCGTGGTAGCAATTATCCCTGTTGCGTTCCTAGGCGGGCGGGCTTAGTAAAACAAAACCAACAAACAAACAGCGACAAATAAATGAACACAAAATACCCATAAATCTCATTATCGAGCGGCACTCGTTGCCAGCCGGACGTCTTTTTATAAGCACGCCGTAGCGAAACTATGAGTTTCGATCAAGGCGCACGTCTCTTCTTTCATCTTCCCCTGTGAGATGCGTCAGTTCTCGATCAAACAAGAGCAGGTAAATGCTCAACTAAAGCAGGGGTTCCACTGCAGCACAAGGTAAGCTTTGGTGGCGACATAGATCTTGTATTCCGAGAAAGCAGTTCGCTCCATCTGGTAACTAGTCGGTTCCGACTCATTGTATAGGTAGCCTAGCGCCCGAGATCTGCTCTGCTTTGTGGGGGAACTAGAGATTCGGGATACTCTTAGTCGACAAGCTAGCCATTGGGAACTTGAACGGACTTTGTACAGTCGCCATTGGCCCAGCGGGAATGAACAGGTCAATTGGACTATAGTATATCGCCGAGGACAAACGTCAAACCACCGCACAACCGGAACTCCACGCGAGCAAGCAAATATGAGAGTCTGGGGCACTGATGAGTGATGGGTGGTTCTGATATTGAACGATATGATATGTCGCAGCTCCCCGCCCGTTCGAACCTGCCGTTGATGTACCTTGCCTTGTCTTGCGATCAAGCTAGCCGTGTAAAGTAGCATATGGTGTTATTCTTCGTTTTTTTTCCACAAATTTGTTTTCGATATACTCTGTCGTTTCGTCCAAAGATGTCTTCCTATGATACAAAAGGCTCCGACTCTGCGTCGACGCAGCACGACATATCCTCTCTGCAGCCCATTCAGAGCGTCACCATCACAACCGAAATGTTTGAAAAGCTCTATCTAAACCCTGCGAGCCGCGTCCAGGGCCATCTCCGGCAGACCTTTGCAAACCCAACCCCGCTGTAAGAAGTCGAAACGATGCTGTTCCGCTCCACCCATCGCTGCGAATGAAGGAGCGCAACGAATAAGCGCAAAACCCTGGTACTCGGCGACTAACATGAATGAAACAGCCCGCTTGTCGGGTTTCTTATTGCGTCCGCGCCTCTCGGCTGCGCGCTGATGGGCTGGCGGGGTGCCGGCGGCGGCGGCGCCGCGACCATTGGCACCTTTTACTTCTTTGGCGGCGCGCTTCAGCTGATTGGCGCGATCCTCGAATGGATTCTCGGAAACACCTTTGTTTATATTGTTTTTGGATCGTTTGGTACGTTGGTGGCATAAAGAGGCAGGAATCAAGCCCTCGGGCCTCAACAATGGAACCGCTGACAACCAAGCGGTTAGGTGCCTTTTGGCTCGCCTTTGCGATAACCCTCACTCCGTTCTACAATGCCGAGGGCGCCTTCACGGCCAATGCCACGACGGCTGCGGAAAAGGCTGCTGGGGAGGCTAGCTATCAAGCCAGCTTGGGTACGGTCTTAGTTGCAGCCCCCATCGTGCGAATGGCAAACTTGATTCTGACTTGGGGTGTGTGCTTAGCTTTCTTCCTGCTCTTCATGGGTATTCTAGTCTTCATGTACCTGATTTGCGCCCTTCGGACAAACGTCGTCTTCTTTGCCATCTTCTTTTTCCTCGACATTTCCCTCTTCTTGCTGGCTGGCGCGTACTGGAAGGGCGCCACAGGCGACATGCAGGCATTTCACAAACTTCAAGTTGTATGTATCAAAACCATTTCAGTTGATCGATTATTTGCAGGGGAAATAAAATGCTCATCTATTGGGTATCTAGGCAACCGGCGCTTTCGTCTTTGTCTTTTGTGTATTCGGATGGTATCTTTTGTTCGTCCAGCTCCTCCGCTCGGTCGATTTTCCTCTGGATCTTCCGGTTGGTGATCTTTCTCGACGTCTGTTTGTTCGCCGCCAGAAGGCACCCGAGGATAGGGAGCTTGCCGTGTAAGTCTACCAGAGACAGTGCTTTCTGGACTTGCAAGTGCTTGCCAGTGTTGTCAAGTAATATTCCTCAAGGACCGCGGGTCTTGGTGCTCCCACAAGTTTCAGGGAGTCCATCAGTCAGGATTTTGAGAAAGGTCGACAAGCTAGTGGCGCAGTAATGGTATTCCATACATCAATACCATGCTGGTGTTGGGTTGCCATGGTGCGCATTCAGGTCACCGACTGCAACCGTTGACGTGCTTTGAGATTAGATTGTGTGACGGGTTGATAAGTTGTTGTGTGAGGTGTCGGATGGTGGCATGTGAAGAGGTGTGCAGATTCCATGCTCAAGGTATCGTGGTGTAAGACGCCGTTTCTGGTTTGCGAAATGGCGGCAAGTGTATAATGTCTCAAATAATATAATTAGCTTCTCTTATTGAACGAGAAGTTCCAGTCTTCAAGAAAGAAGCAGCTGCATGCTGCGGCATTCTCGGTTTCGTTGGAATCGCCGTCTGTTTCTCCAAAGGTAGAGCGGTGTCGTCTGCGGCCGTGGACTTGGCGGGATGCCGCGACGGCTTGCGGATTCCCATGCATGTTTTGAACCACATTGACGCACCAGACATAACATGTTCTGACCAGGTACGAAGTCCCGACGGCTGATGTTGTGTCAAGTTTGTCGTGGCTCTGTGCAGCACAACGCTCAAGGAAGAGTCCATATTGCCGGGTGTCTGTTTTCGTATCCTACCGGAAACGAACGGGGAAAGAGATACGGCCAGCAGATAATAAAAGGCCGCGCTCCCTTGCTGTTCCGCTTCTTGTTCTGGACCTGCGTGATTTGTCTTCTTGGCGACTCGCAATTCAATATATTGGTCGGAGCTGACAGGGACGCTGGAGCAAGTTGTAAGCAACGAGTATATTGGCAATACAATAACACAGAGGCGCAGTCGAGAGAGTTGAATATGATGGAAATACGATGGAAATCACGACTCCAGAGCATCTGAATATAAGAGTAAATAAATAGCTTAGACAGCGCGGCGGCGCAATTTAGACTTTCGGATAGTGGTCCTGTCTCCCTTGAGGTGGATAATATAATGCCAATAGCACGGCGCCACAACACCATCCTCCCTCGCCCTTTTCAACGCCGCCATTCCAGCTAGAGCGCCATCCAGTACGACGCCCAGATTGTTGCGAGTCAGTATGTACATTGTAGCACACACAAGTCGTTCTAGATATGACCCTGACGGCCGGAATCGATCTAGCTGCCAAGCCCCATGTGATAAATCACAAGCCTACATACAGCTTGCCTCAACCAAAAACGGGCGGGAATATTGACCAAACGTTGGCTATAGTGGCTATAGATTGGCACATATTTCTGTACTAGTTAATATGTCCGTCCACATGTTGTGGTCCACATGTTGTGTAAGCATTCCATCTTGTCTTCCTTGCGTCTTCTCCCTACAGCTCTTGCTCGTCGCCCATGTCATCGTCTTCCTCGTCCTCTTCTTCGTCGTCAAGAGTCGCAAACGGAACGAACCGAAAGTCCAAAAAGCTCCGCTTACCTCCCTCAATATCAACAAGGAACTGTAGACTAAGAACTCCTTGCCCGTCGCCTCGTAAGCTGACCTTGTTCGCAATGCGCATGGCCTCCGTCGAGTTCTTGATAAAGTCAAACTTGTAGGATTGCGTCCATTTGTCTCTAATGCTGAACGTCTCCAGTAGCTCTCTACCCCGGGCAAAATCCACATCCGAGCTACCCAAGTCGCCTTTGCCACTAAACGACAGGTAGGGTGTTGTTTTTGACGTTGTGATAGATAGCTTCATTGGAGCAGTAGGCGAAATTTCTGCCAGGGAATCTAGCAGTGAGCGCGACTGCATGATAATTTTGAAACAGATATCATCTCGATCGAGAGGTATGTCGTCTGTTATCTCGGGTAAATATGTCGTGAGCCCAGCTGTGGTTTGAACCCCCGATTCCTCAATCATCACCTTGAATGGATCGCCTTCTTCCCCATAGAGCAGAGTGCACGTTCCAGATATGCCCAGCGTCTGGTTACTGAACGCATCTGGGCGATAGTTCCTCAAATTACTTCGGTATGGGTCTTGTTCAGCCTTTTGAGCACGCGCCGCGACATCCACGGCCCCAAAGATTTGAAGGATTTCGAGAAAGGATGAAAGCGGTATCTGAAAATTTGGAAGTTCTGTCGGCGAGCCGTCTTCCGCAGGGGGCAAATTGACAGAGTATGATGAGAAGAGTGATTTGTTGAGAAATGCGACCCCTGGAAATAGGTCAGAACACGGTCGCCACTCGCGCAACAATCGCAACGCTTACCCTGCATTACCTTCGCGTGGTCCGCCGCGAAACGGAGTCCTTCTTCGGTGATTTGGACGTGAACTTTTGGAGAGAAGTTGATGCATCGCAGAAGCTGGTAAAGCGGGCGCGTTGACGTCGCCACGGCGCGGAGGATTGGCTGCTTATCTGACATGATGCGAGAGTTGCTGAATATTCGTCGAGAACTTGAGTTCGGCAACCGTGGAAAGAAAAGAATGCAGAAATTAAACCATGAAAATCAAATCTAGTTGGCGCTCAGTGGCCTTTTGGTCTTGTGTTCCAGCTATTGTACAATGTGTGCCGCTCCGACTTTTGCAAGGGCGAGGGGTATCTTAGACGTACACTCCGACCGCGCAGAACATGTATACAACACCGTATCTAGAGGAGGTTAGTTCACGGGTTGGCTCAAGACAAATTGAAGGCTTTTCGACTTACGCCAACGCCAGAGATGCCGGGATGCCTACTGTGAACACGTTGACTAGTGAACGGTCTGAGGTTGTCAGCGTGGAGTAGCATCTGTCATATGAGTACCTTGACTCACTCAATGCAAAGACACCAGTAGCAGTGACTCCCAAAAGGAGCAGAACGAAGCCAACGAGGAATTGGCTGCTTTTGCCAATGGTGGGGAGAAATGGACTGCCAGCAGCAGCTAGCCAGACCTCATGTAGCGATGAATCCATGTAGTATGGCTTGATATGTTGTGCGAGCTCGGTTTTGGAACGAGGACTCGAGATATAATATCGCCGCGCGCCGTCACCGTTTGACGAGAGTGATCAGAGCTTCGATTCGTTAACTTGTCGCAAGGAGATGATTTGAAGAAGCTCCCAATGCACGATATGAATGCGTGTCCCGTTGGTGCCAAATAGGACTAGCGCAAGCTTGTTCCTGGGCCCGGCTCATAACGTAAGCACGTTGGCCCGCAAATCGCGAACGGAGCTCCGCAAATGCGACGCCGGATCGAGTCCATCTTCGATAACTACATTGTTACGTTTTTGATAATTGTTGGCTTGCGGCCTTGGATGCCTGCGAAATGTCAGACCTTAAGGAAGATAGTATGTTGTCTTGCTTTCGAGATCAATGCGCGATATTGACCCATGTATTCGCAGTGAAGCGCAAAGCCGAGGACGACCTACCCTCCCCCGCCGCGCCAAAGCGCGTAAAGCACAGCGATTCCGAAGAGCCCCAAGATGATCTCCTGGAGGACAAGGATGAAGAGCAAATCGATGCGACGATAAGTGTACGAGGCGGCGCTGACGGCGACGGCGACGAGGCCGAAGCGGACGACGGCCCGCACGACGATGAAGAAGAGGAAAAGGAAGATGGTGGGGATGCGGACAATGACGATGAAGATAAAGACGAGGACAAAGATGGAGCGCAAAATTTCAAATTAGAAGACGGTGTTGATTCAAAGACGGGAGATCAGTCAGCTCCTGCACTGAAGCGCATTCCGTTCCCGGACAAGGTAAGCCGCAGACACTGATCTGCCTTGTGCTCCTCTAGCTAACTACCATGCCCAATATAGCCGGGCGTCATCGAAGAGCGAAATGGCGAAATCGAGTTTCGGGTAGTCAACAACGACGGGGGTCGCGAATCGCTCATCGTCCTGACCGGCCTCAAGTGCCTCTTTCAAAAGCAACTGCCAAAGATGCCAAAGGACTATATCGCGCGCCTCGTCTACGATCGGACACACTTGTCGATAGCAATCGTCAAGAAGCCGCTCGAGGTCGTCGGCGGCGTCACATTTCGACCGTTCAAAGGCCGTCGTTTTGCCGAGATTGTCTTCTTTGCCATCAGTACCGACCAGCAGGTCAAAGGTTACGGCGCGCATCTCATGTGTCATTTAAAGGACTACGTCAAAGCGACCAGCGATGTCATGTACTTCCTCACATATGCCGATAATTACGCCATTGGTTACTTTAAAAAGCAGGGCTTCACAAAGGAGATTACGCTCGATCGGAGCAAGTGGATGGGCTACATCAAAGACTACGAAGGCGGAACCATCATGCAATGCTCCATGCTTCCGCGAATACGCTATTTAGAAGTCGGGCGCCTGCTCCTTAAGCAGAAGGAGTGCGTCCAGGCCAAGATTCGAGCCTACTCCAAGTCGCACAGAGTGCACCCGCCACCCAAGGAGTGGAAGAACGGCATCAAGGAAATCAACCCGCTCGACATCCCCGCCATCCGGGCCTCGGGCTGGTCGCCGGACATGGACGAGCTCGCGCGCCAGCCGCGGCACGGCCCCAACTACAACCAGCTGCTGCATCTGCTCAACGACCTGCAGAACCACAACTCTGCCTGGCCGTTCTTGGTGCCCGTCAACCGCGACGACGTGGCCGACTACTACGAAGTGATCAAGGAGCCCATGGACCTGACCACGATGGAGAACAAGCTCGAGGCCGATCAGTACCCGACACCCGAGGACTTCATCAGGGATGCGACGCTCGTCTTTGACAACTGCCGAAAGTACAACAACGAGAGCACGCCCTATGCCAAGTCGGCCACGAAACTGGAAAAATTCATGTGGCAGCAGCTAAAGGCAGTTCCGGAATGGTCACATCTGGAGCCAGAGAAGTAAAGGCCAGTACGGATACTGGTGAAAACCTGGTATTCGAGCGCTGCCATTAGCCACGCCGCTTACCCCCTCCCTTGGGTGTACATTTTTTTTTTCGACAATTTTTTTTTCCTTGTTGCGCCTCAATTTCGCGGCCTGTGTTTTGTATAATTTCTTCTAACAAGCAGGCTGTCTCACATCCCTCTAGTTCTCTATACCCTGTCAGAGCTGGGTCTGCGGCGTTTAGAGAGGCAACGCTGTTAAACGACACCAGTGGGCTGCCGAGTTTGGAAAGGTACCTTCATTCAAGGCAAAGTGAAACACCAGTTGCCTTTTTCCCGGTGTATTTTATTTTATTTTCCATTGTCTTGTGTTTTTATTGGTTCAGGGGATCTGGGATGGTGCAAAGTCTGGGTGATGGGTTCAGTTTACATGATCAGCGGGCGTTCAAAGGCTGGACGGACGGCGGGATTTTTGAGTTTTACAGCAAATACCTTAGACACGAACAATGATTATTTTCCTTGATCGCTCAAGGCTTCCGACCGGCCCGGGATCGTATTCTGGTCAGTGCTTTTGGTGTCGCCCGAGTGGTGATGCAGCACACCGATCGAGGTTTGCTGGCCGAGGCGGATACAGTGACAAATGCGTGGTTACACATAACCTGTTCCAGGTCTCGACAAAATGCACGGTTGGGCCAGGTCATGTCCTGTCAGAGGCAAACATATTGTGTATTTGTCTATAAGACGTACTCATTCCAGATGAATAGTAAGAATAAAAAGAAAGACCATAGAATCAGAGCTCAAACGAAGAGGTTGTCCGCCTTTTTGCCTCGTTGCTTCCAAACTCAATAGAAGGAACCAATCGCTATACAAAAAGTAAATAACATTAAAATCATCCCAAGGCTGTGACAATGTATGCCGATAACTCCAAAATTACTCAAGTGAAATAGAAAAGAAAATAAAGAGATCCGAGTGCAGACCCTCGCTGCCGGCAGGAACTCCAACCTCGCTCCATCAAGGCCAGCGCATGGCATAGTCTATTCGTTTTCGTCGTGCATCCTTGCTTATATTTTGGTAAATCTTTGTTTTTTGTTTTTTTCCTTGTTTTTCTCCTTCCCCGGGCATTGGCATGAACGCTCATGCACTCGGGTTGTTCACCGCGCCGGTGGTGGCGGTGCCGACCTGGCGGCCGCCAAAGAGCCAGCCGGCGGCGAAGCGCGGGGTGGCGGCCGTCAGCTGGCGGCGGAGCGCGCGGGGGGTGGCAGCGAGCTCCGGGTGTGCGGGATCGTTGCTGGCAGAAGGTCCGGCCGGGGCCTCCTCGCCGCGGACAACCTCGCGGAGCATGGGCTGGAGGAACTCGGGCACGTCGGACCACTGGCCGGCGCGGGCGAGGTCTAGCATGCCAGTGGAGACGAGGGCGGCAGGGACGGCCGACGGCGAGGACGCGCGGTTGCGGCGCGGCGTCGTCTCGGTCATTTGCTCCGTGACGACGGCGAGCTCGCCCGACTCGAGGGCCGTCTTGAGCCACTCCTCCCAGGCCTCGTCGAGGACGGCGTTTGCGTCACCGGCGTCGCGGCGAGCGGCCTGGGTGCGCAGGCGGGCGTTGAGCTCGACGCCGACGCTCTCGAGCTCGTCCTCGCTGTCCTCATCCTCGTCGTCCTCATCGTCCTCGTCGGCAGGCTGGTACGGCGGCGTGGACATGCCGCTGCTGAGGGGGCTGTCGCTGAGCAGGCTGGGGCTGGGGCTGGGCAGCGCCTCCTCCGCCTCCTCGGCGGCGGAGGCATAGGCCGGGCTGCGGGCGGCGGTCCAGCGGTTCGACGCCTGCCAGGTCGGGAAGCCATCGGCGGTTGTGTCGGCGATGACGGCGCCCTGCTCTTTTTCGTACTTTTCCTTGGCCCACTTGGTGCCCTCCCACTTGGTGAGGCCGGCAATCTCGAAGCGGGTGAGGCCGAGGCCGTCAAAGGCGCGAAAGAGGCGGCGGTGCCAGGGCCAGCGACTGAGACGCATGCGATGCGTCGGGTGGGCGTAGTCGAGGCCCGGGTACTTGGCCTCGGGGGTCTCGATGTGTCCGTAAAAGGCGTGCGTCTCCTGGCGGACCTCGGGGATGAGGGAGCGCTGGAGGAAGGACTGGAAGTTTTGGGGGTCCGACATCTTGGGGCGGGGGAAGAGCTGATCGTAGACGATCTCTTCAGTCGGACGGCCCATCATCTTGGCGGTTGTTGTGTGTTGTCGTTGTTGTTCCTTTTGGTCGAGGTGAGCGGTTTTGTTCCGTGGTCGGTCGGCAGTCGCCAACTCGTCGTCAAGGGGAAGGGGGGGATGTCGACTGGCGTGCTGCAGAGCGGGAGGTTTGTTGTTTTGGTATTAATGTTTGTTGAGTTGCGATGTGACGGTTGAGGAGAAAGACAGGATAGAGTTGAAAGGGAGCGACGAATGATGGGCCAGACGAAGCTGGAGAGCAAGGCGGATGGTAATGATATAGGCAAGAAATAAAGGAATGGGAGACCTTTCCAGGGTTGTTCAAGGCAGGGGATGGTCTGGCTGACTGCAGTAGGGTTGACTACCTGTACCTAGTTACAGTAGAAGGAGCGGAGTAGTAGTAACGATAGGCAGGGACATGCTGATGCAACCCAATGAATACCTACCTTATTAGGTACTAAGGTAGGAAGTCGACTTGTCCCCAGTGTTTTAGTATGGACGCACATGGGTTCGATCTATGTGGACAAATGGCCATGGCCCTGGTCGCGTCTCACGCTTCACGCTTTCAGTTCCCTCGCTTCTACTGGCCCTTGTAACTAGTCAAGACTAAAGACTAAAGACTAACGGAGTACCAGACACTGACATGCGATTGACCAGATGTCCATGCAGACGACCTGCACCTTGGGGCACCGAGGTAACGTCGATACAGGCAAGGCAATGAAGTGGCAAGCCGTGGCTTTTCTTTCCCCTGAGCCAACAAAACCTTGCTGAAGATTCTCTCCGGGTGGCTGCCCGAGCTGCTTTGACTTGGCCCAAGAAATGAACTGATCAGCCTCCCCGCGCGGACTGTGTGACTGTGCGGCGGCGCGAGTACCGTCTGCCTGTTACATGGGAAAAGGCCAAAGAGCCCCAGAAGAAGGAGGGCCAGAGTCCTCGGACTAAAGTATTGCTGCGACAACGCCCCGGATAGCTCAGCCCCCCCCCCCCAAAACCACTAACTATACTAGCAATTGGTTCTAGCGCGACGCGACTCGATGCGGTTTGCTCAGAGAAAGAGTAACACGAGTGAGACAGAGTGGACGGTTTGTAAGTCGTAGATGTAATTTTTTGGAGCTACTAAACTATAGGCATGAAGACTGCAAATCCCAAAGACAAGACTGCAAATCATTGGGCATATTGCTGTGAGATGGAAGCCCGTGGATTCCAATCCCCAGCCAGTCATCATCACCGCGGGTGGTAAGCTGACACGAGGTGACGAGAGTGGCTCTGAAGAGACAGACAGACGGGTGCTGCTGATGGGCCCTGCGTTGCCGCCTATTTCGGGTATGAATTGCGCACAAGATCGGGATAGAAAAGGGCAAACAAAGGACGGGCTGCATCTCAGACATGCCGTGCGTGCGCCTTGCACACATGTCTTGCTCGGAAATCGTCACAAAAGCCAGCCATTCAGAAACAAGACAGCCGGATTGTTTAGTTTCTCTCCCCCCCCCCCCCAAACTTCTCTTCTTGCCACCCATGAAACAAGCTTTTTGGCTGCTAATGAAGGAGAGAGAGGCGCCCCGGCCAGAAAAGTACTTTCGGTACCACACGTGGCCCGGACGTCCCCCGCTCTCCTCGTCTCATGGCACGTCCATTTTGCGGGCCAGGCCAGGCCCCAAACGCCCCAAAACTCTCTTCCTTCGTCCCTGCTTTTTTTTCTTCTTCGTCTTTTTGTTTCCTTTCCCTTTCCCTTCCTCGCTGCTCCCGTCTCTCAACTCCATTTTCCCGTTCCGGTGCGGATAACTACTGCCCCTCCTCCTCCTTCCCCATCCGCGACCAAATACGGACGGCCGCCGATGCTACCGTGCTCCGTAGTAAGCCTCACGCGCAGGCAGTAAAAGACTGTTGCCTCGCTAGTCGGAGGAAAAGAACACCAAGAAGCTGCAGCGCAATATCGTACAGTAGCGCATTTTGAACTCAGGCAGGGGTGTCACAGATGTGAGAGTAAGCACTGCTCGGTACCTACCTATGGTGTTGCCGTTGCAGTGTTTTATCACCCCCGCCGGCTTGTCTGACAAGGGCCGTTTTGCGATGGAATCAACTATTAGTTAGTTACGGCATTACCATTCATTTCGACATGTCGTCTATTCATCCCTGAAAAGCTGTAGCCACAACTCGTTCCATCTTGATTGCTGCCTCGGTGCCCCTCCTCCCCTTCCCATCATTGGTCCTCTATGGAGCAGATTTTATCTTCATCACATGCACCGACAGGTCCTACGATGCCGAAAGTAACCTGGGGCAACCCTTTTTTCTGAGAGTGTTGCCACGTTGCTGGGCTATTCCACGTGCAGCGTCTCACATTGGATCTCGTTGCATCTTCTGGGGCTATACTACTCTGTCTATGCCCATTTGTCTATACGGTATTATACAAGTAGTAGCTGCAGAACGAAGAAGCATGTATGAATCCGGGACGGAGAGAGTTCCGCGTCTCGCTCAACCCGCACCAACTAGGGAAGAGCCATGGCGGAGAAGGGCCACGATTTCGGCTCCGAGGGCAGATCTCTTTCCTTTCCCAATAAGGTTACCACATCGCCGCACGGGAAACCCCCTTTGCAATCGGCCGATTTTGGCCATCTAGTGGTGGCTTGTTGACCGTTTTTCAACTACGAACAACTACCAGGCTATCTTTGTCTTGTCTTTCAGGTATGCTAGCAGTGAAATAGTGTACCTGTTCGTTTCTGGCGCCACCAATCATCTATTTCCTGAATGTCTACGTCCATCCTGCATCCACTTGACCACAGTCACATCATTTCTTCATTGTCTGGTGCATGCCGCTTGAGATTCTCTTTTGCGTATCTTGACCTAAATAAGCATAGTCTGCCTTTCTCTCCTTCAACATCATTCCCGACTGCCGATGGGCGCCACTGCCGCAAGAGGCACACCGAGAACTCTCCTTGGCAGAGAGCAAGATGCGCGACGAATCACGAGTGTCAAACCATCCCCATGTTCCCTTCACCCCCGTCTCTTTATTTATTTTGCTGACTGGCGCTGCCCATCATGGTCGGCGACGCCGAAGAGCCCACAAGCCCGTACAGACGGCTTTCCTGGACCTTGGTGGGTGCGAAGCTCCCTTCTACCCCCCCGTAGCTCTCCGGAATGCAGCTCATTTCTGATGAATGGCGTTCTTCAGAACAAAGTAAACCCATTCTATCGAAAGCTAGCCCTGTCAGCTCGGTAGCGGATGTGCATGTTCCGCTCCTGAGGTCCGGGCTTGAGGCGCCTCTACGGATGGAATAGCGACGACGCTCATATTGCCTGATCTTCCTTGAAATTCCATCAACGCGTTGCAACGCACTTATCATCTGCGATTCTAGGACTCATGTCAGAAGCCACTGTGTTCGTCCCAACCCCGATGATGTAAATGAACAACGCAGACTGCATCACTGCAGGCTCTAAGAAAAGGGCTTTCATCTTCAGCTCCTTCGGCGTTCATTTTCCCATTTAGCCGTCTTGTTTCAATCTCACCCTCACGGCGGCTTGGAGCGGAAGCTTACATCTACTAACCCGGCCGGAGACCGGGATTGGAGCCAACGACCAAGGGCTGGCAAGCTGAGCCTCCCCATGAGCCTTGTCACCGGCAGAACGGGTCTAACAAGAGACTGGCGCTTCTAGCGCATGTAGTCAGAAAATAGTTACTTTCTTCGCTCTTTTTGAACTTATTCTTCACCTTTTATGCACAAGTTCCGATCGTCCGGGTTCGGCCCTGACGTGTGGCGTGCGCATACGAGAACAAACGTGGTACCCCTTGCTCCCACAGGCTAGATTTGATGTCTCCAGTCTTTTACGTGTTGCTCTCGTGACAGATACATGGCCCTTTTAGCTCATTCGGGTGACATATGGCGAGGGTATTTAGTTTGAAGATGATGCACCTGCAGGCCGGCGTCGCCTTAAACTGCCGTCTGTTGGTCAGACCGGCTGCCCACAGCTCCGCTACAGCTTGACCGACAGGGCGGTTTCCTCGATTTGCATGCCTTCGCAATCTTTCATAACGCTTTACAATGCATCTCGCGGTAAAAGTCATTCAATTGAAGTGGGGAAATGCGTTCATGAATTGAAGTCTCGCTGTTCTTACGCAAGCCAAACTAGTGTGTCCATTCCATTGTATATCATTGGCGTTGCTGTCGTTATATCATGTGCGTCTCAGCTATAAGCTGGCTCGGGATGCCGTCTCGAAAAGAACTGCCCGTTTAGAGGGGGTATATCGAGGGTCTCCTCGGGAGATGATCTCCGCTCCTTATCCCATTTTTTGAGGCGCTCTCGATCACGGAGATCCCAGTTGTCCTGCTCTCTCCGTCTGTCCACATCTGCGTGGCTGCTGGTACGCCGGTAGACATCCGCTCGACGGTTTTGCTGGCGGTCACGATACATGCCAGAGTCCCTTTCATCCTCCCTGTCCTCCTCCCGGAAACGGCCGCCGTCGCGATACCTATCGCGGTCCCGCTCCTCGGGCCGCCTGCGCCGTCTCGACATATCGTCCAAGGGTCCCATGTCTGAGTCGTTGTCCGAGTCCAGGTCCGAGTGACTGCGATTCAGGCGAGTAGGTCGAACTTGTTCGCGGCTCCTTCGTTGGCGAAGATGCTCGTTGCTACCTTGGTTCCTGGAATTTGGTCGCGACGTGCGACCATTCGGTAAGAAGCTCGACACGGTTTCGGTGAGCTTGCTTCGCAGAGATCCAAGTGGGCTAGGTCCAACACGCTTTTTCAGATCGCTCTCTGCTCGATGGGTGCGCGACGAGCTTGATCCACTGCCATGGCCTGATTCTGGTGGGCTGAAGCGGCGTATTCCAGGGGGTGAAACCCCTTGCCGTCGCCTGCTCCTAGGAATCACCGGCTCGGGCTCCATGTCCTCGTCAGAGGAGTAATGGCGGGGATGACTATGCCGTCTACCCGTTGCCGGGCGGCGCGCTTCCTTTGAATCCAGATAAGCTTCGTCGTGGGCATAGCGCGGCTCTGGTTCATCATCCCTGGGTGAGGCAGCAAGGTCGGGAAAGCTTCGCCGTCTTACTCTGTCGTTGAAGCTGCGGTTGCTTCGCGACCGCTTCTCAGGGGAGCGGCTAGAATGGCCATGTTTGGGCGGGCGGCCACTGGAGGGGGCATTAACGTAGCTGAATGACCTGCCAAAGTAGTCGGCGTCGTTTTGCCGATGGCGCGGCGTGCCGCCTTGTGAATGGTTTCTGGTGTGATTTTGCGAGAATTCGGCATTGGCAGGTTCGGGTTCCTGCTCGTGTTTGGCGTGCCTGGTTGGGCGAACTGGTCGACCAGCGGCCTCGCGCGTCAACCTCTCGCCACAAGCCTTGTGCCACAGATCGACTTCCTCATCGGCCTCGGAGGGGAATACATCGGCGGGTAAATCTGTGGGGAAGCACTCGCCAGTTTCTGGATGTCGCAAGTTCCAATTCTTGACGGCAAACTGCAAAAACGGGACGTGTTCCTCGGGGCCGAGTAGGATTTCGACAGACTCCCAACGGGAAAAGCCACGCGGGGTCAAGGCGGGTATAGACGGGGGCGCAAAGTCGTTGTCGGTGGGTAACAGGGTGTGCTGACACCCGGTAACTTGCCATATATATGATATGGAGGAGTTGGGCATCGCGATGAATATGGCTAAAGAGAGGACCTGGTGAGTGGTTGAAGATATGCAGGGTACGACGGTGGGGGGGCACGTACAATCATAGTCGCCGCCGACAGTCTGGTAAAAGGCGGCGAGCTTTTTCGGGGTGAGCTGTGGTTCATTCCGATCGCCAATCTTGCGTATCTGCGAAATAGTTGTTATTATGCTGTGTATATCGTGTCGCCTTGTCTGTTGCGAGGTACGGGCAAAGACTGGCGGTGAGTGGGGTGGGTGTCTGCTGACTTACGATGTGCATGGCAATGGCTCTGAGGAGTGCGTCGAGCTGCTTGGTCGGGCGTTTATCGCCCTCGAACATGTAGCAGTATTGGACCGCAGACCCGGGGGTCGCGCCAGGCGTGGCCATGGTGTCTGTGTGAATGGCGATATGGTGCGGTGGGTTGGACGACGACGTCGCAGAAGACGGAGGATGGGATTGCGGAGAGGGTGGAGGAGGTGGTGAGTTAGCGGTAGTGGGGGATTCGCGCCTAATAGCTCAGGTAGGGCGAAGAAGAAGCCTTGGTGGATCCGGCTCTTTGGTGAGACTTGGTGGTGTTGGGGATATATAAAATGGTAATTTGTAGTTAGAAGAGACGAGAAGAGAGCGATAGAGGGTTGCATGCGGACCCGGGTTTCTGGGGCTGGCTGGGCCTTTTTGTTGGAGAGTCTGCAGCATGCATGGCAGGCCTCAGGCTTGCCAGCGCATCATGAGCCAGAGCAGAGCACAGAGCATCCAAGCATGACATGAGCCAAGTTGACCAAGCCTGGTGCCTGCTGCCTGCTACCTGCTCACCTGACAAAGGGGAGGAGGCTGTCGGGAAGCGCTTCAGCGGTTGCTCCCGCGAATGGGTCCTAGAAGCATCCCCTGTAACCCATTTCGGAGCACCCGTCAAGGACATCCCAGCACTAATAAACGGAGAGTCTACAAAAACCCGCGCCGCTTACTTTCCGATAGTAATTCGTACCGTGAATATTATCATCCATCCTCTTCATATTTGTTTCACTCGGATGCAAAGAAACATCACACCATCTCGGATCCTGACACAGCCACCACTATAACCCACGGTCATAATTTGTCAACCCGGCTGTTTCCCTCCCCGTGGGCCTTTGGAGGGAGCCCACCCATAGATACTTCTGGCTGTTGGTATGTATGTACGCCTCGCGACTTGACAGGTTGACAGGCCATCATCTTTGACCAAGGTCACCAAGGTCTAGCTAACTAGCAAACTAGCAAGCACTAGCACTAGTAATATTCGTACAAGCGTAACGGCGCCTTGACGTAGCCAGCCACGGACGGCCCACCCATTCCAACAGGCAACTGTAAGCAGTGCCAGTGAGCGTGCTGGGCATACCGCCCAAGTCACCAGACGCCATGACTGTGTGGCTCGCCGCGCGCTGAGAATCCCAGTCAACCTGTATGGTGCCCAGAGTGGTTCGATGGAACCAGCAAGATGCGTCACAATCCTTCCATGCAGCTCGACAAGCCTCGCGACAAACAGCCACATCCTTCGGGAGAACGCGGCGCCTACTTTGCGCAACTACAGGGTAGGTAGGGTAGGTCAGTTAATACCTGGGGCCAGCCAACGCGTCACACATCACACATGCCAGAGTGAGCGATGCGCCGCCCCTCTTTCGTCGCCAAAAAGCAACAGGCGACTTGTCCAAAACTGCCCACCACCAGAAGCTTGCCGACCCCAGATGGTTTCTTAAAAAAAAAAGGGACAGCTTTCGCACTACCCTCCTTCCGTCGCGAATCACGCCACTCGTTCATCATCCCCATCTTCTCTTCCTTCATATTTTCCTTGTCAATTACACCTTGTAATCCACGCCACTCGCCAAAACCCGTCACCATGGACGCGCTTCGCTCAGCCCTCCAGCCCATCACCCACAACCTCCCCGGCCCGATCCGCGACCTCGGCATCTCCATCATCGGCGACCAGTGCTACAAGGCCATCCTCCTCGACATTGACCTTGAAAACACCGAGTGCATCAAGCTCGCCGTCTCCAAGGGCCTTGGCATCGGCATCATCGGCGCCTCTTCCATCGTCAAGGTGCCCCAGATCCTCAAGCTCGTCGCCTCCCGCTCCGCCGACGGCGTCTCCTTCCTTTCCTACCTCCTCGAGACGACGGCCTATCTCATCACCCTCGCCTACAATTTCCGCAACGGCTTTCCCTTTAGCACCTACGGCGAGACCGCCCTTATCCTTGGCCAGAACGTCGTCATCTCCGTCCTCCTTCTCAACTACAGCAATCGCGCTGCCCTCGCCGCTGTCCTTGTCGCCGTCCTCGCCGCTGCCGGCGGCGCCCTCTTTACCGATGGTCTCCTCGACTTGAAGCTCCTCAGCTACCTCCAGGCTGGCGCTGGCGTCCTCGGCGTTGCCAGCAAGCTTCCCCAGATCCTTGCCATTGCCCAGCAGGGCGGCACTGGCCAGCTCAGCGCATTCACTGTACGTGCCCGGCGCGTCACATATCGCCTGTATAAATCGCGTTGCTAACCTCTATCTTGCTAGGTCTTCAACTACCTCGCCGGCTCGCTCTCCCGAATTTTCACCACCCTCCAGGAGGTCGACGACAAGCTCATTCTTTACGGCTTTGTCTCTGGCTTTGTCCTCAACGCCATCCTCGCCGCCCAGATGGTATACTACTGGAATGCTCCCTCAGAAAAGGCCAAGGGTAAGCGTAGGGCTACCCCCGTCAATGCTGCCCCCGCCAAGGCCAAATCTTCGGCCACTCCTACCAAGAAGAGCCCTACCACTCGCCGCCGCGGTTAGAGGCCAGAGTCCCCTTGTATTCCATACTTAGCTAGATCACTTTACAAATAATCATTAATGTCTCAAACTTGTCCCTGCGTGCTGCCAGTGATGTTGCGAACAAGCCTTGACGAATGGAAACCGCTTTCAGATGGGGCCCGGGATAGCTGATGAGGCGCAGTACATGGCCGCAGATGCAATATTTCCAATTCACGTATAATTCAATCTATATATGGCATCGAGCTGATGGTATATTGGGGCTCTGGCTAAAATGGCTCGCTCTGGGAATTTGAGATGGCCCCGTTAGCTTCGGCGCTTAGCCCGCATTGGTTGAAGCTTGCATATGCGACCGCTTCACCGGCCATGGTGGCGCGAGAAAAGACAAGGGAACGTATCATCACGCGCGCCCAAAGCTGGCCCATACTCGCTGTAGGAGCCAGCATGATGATTGGAGAAAGGCGGTGCGGTTGGTAGTCTGGCCACAGGGACGTCCGGTGTATAAAGACCCTTGAATGGACGGGTGCTGTAAGAGAACAAACCAAACATCTCAACATTGTACACTTTATCACTTTCCTATTAAAAAGCCCAACAAGACACTATTCTACCGAAACAATGCCCCCTGCCCAAGAGTTCAAGCTCTGGCTTATGGTCTACTTTGGCGATCCGGACAAGCACTGGACCCGGCACATTGCCCTCTTCTTCCAAGCACCGGAGGGGAAGCCACACATTACCTATCATGTCAAAAAGGTTAACCAAGCCTGGAAGCTGGAAATGCTGGATGAGTATGATGCCATGAAGAGCATCAACATTGTCGGCAAGGTCAGCTTGGGCAACATCTCCATCACGCCGATGCAGTTGAAACAAATTATGGAGAGCGTCAAGATCATCAACAACGTGGGTGACAACCTGGAAGACGACGATTCCAGCTGTCAGAACTGGACCGGCAGGGCGTTGCAAGCTCTCGAAGCTGCAGGTTACATCACTGCAGTGGAGGTGACCAGAGGTATTGACGGCATGGTCGACATTGTTCACGAAGCTGCTGCGTAGGCGCTTTCTGTTTTTGTTATCGCCGCCGGGTTTTATAAGTATTGTGTTCGTTTTTTTTTTGTTTCTTTGCCACTCCGATATCGAGAATTAGGGTGTAACATAGACCTGCACCTGCACAACGTTGGGTTTCCAGTAAATACCAATTGTTACGTACCATCCAGTGGCATGGCGACGTCTCTTCAATCTGGCTGTGATCGTTATCTTCTCTTACGCATCTCCATTGCCTTCGTTGCCCCCATCAGGTTTCTTGCCCTCCTTTCCCCCGTCCTTTTCCCCATTTCCCTCAATCTCAGTACATAGCTTAAATGTATTTGTCTTCTCGTCCCACGCAGCTCGTCTTCTGCTGTCAAAAGAGTCCTGATAGTGCAGTAAGCCCGTATACAAAAGTATCTCTGTATCGTACGGCTCCGGGAAGACCTCATCGACAAATGTTCTCCACTCGCGGTCTCTGCCACCCACGTGCAGAAACTTGACGTACTCCCAGTACTCGGGGTACCAGCCTGCGGCCTCCCAGTCAATCAACGCCACAATGCGGTTGTCGCGCACCATAATGTTTCTCGGTGCCAGATCGCAGTGCGAAAAGACAATCTTGTGGGCAGTCCCGATGCCGCGCAAGAATGCCCGCTTGACACTCGCCGGTATTTGAGGCTCCTCGGTCAGATAGGCGTTGAATTCTTCCTCGTTGCGGCAGGCCGGGCGGACAAAGACGTCGTTGTGCCGGAAGTCCCTCAGCTCATCGAGTGCGAAGCCGCCAATGAAGTTTGGAGGAGGCGGCAGGGCACGCATGATCTTGACAAGACGGCCCAATTGGCGTGCCATGTCAATTCGTGTTTCATGGCTCAATGATTCCCATACATCTTCCAGTGTATTCCCTTCAATATACTCCATCTCGATATATGTCTCACCCGAACGTTTGCCGAAACCGTACACATCTGGAACCGGAATTCCAGCGTCCTTGGCGAACTGAAGGGTGGCAATTTCACAACGAATCATGTCACTTCCATACTTGACGGCAACATTGTTGGCTCGTCGTATAACATGACGCGTTATACCGGAGTATAGCATCACATCACCTATTCAATTTAGAGACGCTTCATCTCGGGTGGAGGCGGAGTGGCTTCACCTTCTTCCAGCTCGTCAGACCGGTCTGGAACTCGCGGGATTGGTGGTAGTCCCAGCTCCTTGCGTCTCTTATCAATACGCTGCCGGACCGTAAGGAATACAGGTTTTTCTTGCTCGGCAACTGCACCCGGCTGATTGGTTAAGTTATTTGGCATCTCGCTTTCGGCGCCATTACCAGCCTCACGCAGTTGCCCTTGGTCGGTGCCTCCTTCACCGTTGGGTCTCAGACCATCCGGTACAGTGGACACGTCATTTTTCTGAAAATCATCGCCCTGGTTAGATGGCGATTCGGAGTCACCCATATTGACGAGTAGCTGTTAAATTGACAAGCCGTTTTTGGTGTCTAGCGACCGTTGGGGAGCTTTTGCTCTTTTGCTCAACGCCCGCATGACATCTAATGTACGATGAGTAATCTGCAGTGCTAACAAGCGCTTCTTGGTACTGGCATAACCCCGATACTTCTAATATCTGCTCCCACCCTATAGAGTATAAGGTACCTTCTTAGTACCTATTTCAGATATTCCATACATTTACTATTTAAAAGATAGATAATGAAGATTTTAATAAGAACATTTTTTCTAGGAAGAAATACATATTATATATTGGGAGTAGGTAGTTTTGTTTTCTATATTCATATACACTTCAATAACTCTTGAAGAATGCCTTTAGTGTAATAATAACAGAGATATTCAGTCTTTATAGGCTACTCAACCAACCTTTAGGTACCTGAGGTCATGTCCTCAGCCAAAAGCTCCCGTGCCAACTCTGATCGATTGGCTTCAAGCTGGATGTACGTAGCGCCGCACACCCGAGCTGAAAGACACATCTCAACAAGTCGCATTGCCTGGCATGGTGAAGTGATCATATTTTCATCTTTATTAGCGGCTCATGATTGGCCTATTTATATAATGTTCTGTATTGAATTGAATCGTGTGACAACGTATTGTCGTAGCAGGCAAGCCAGACTGAAACACCCCAATAGGTGAGCTTCTGCCATCGTTCCGGCTTGTATTAATTCCCGACCATGGACGCATATCATCAGGGCTTAAGTGCACACCGGCCAGCGAAGTGTACATCCTGGATTTGGTTGTGCGCCCTGAGCAGCCACTACCAAGAAGTGGCTTCCTGCCGTTACACGGGACCTTAGCCGGCGAGATGGATGAGTTGGAGCCGCGCGATGGACCATGTCAAGATTCGTCCATGTGCATCGGCTCAATGGTGGTATCCGGGGCTGCTGTCGGTTGCGACTTTATATTCCAGAATCTATGCAGCGACTGCTGATTGTTGTCGTGACTCGACTGGAGCGGTTCTACCTCAGGAGGAGCTTCGACGTTGGGAGACGGCGACGGCGGATCCGGGTATTGTGGCTGCTGTGCGGTATATAATAGTTGTAGCGTGCGCTCTAGAGTTAAGTGTTAGTACATGTGACACACATGAAAGCAATTCTGGCTAGTGGTAGATGCTATCACACAGTAGTAGGATACTTACGATGAATATCTTCTTGGGAGGGCCTGTTGTTGCGGAAGCGCTTGAGGGTGCGGCTGTTGAGATGGCACGGGTTGATGAGCCCCATGCGAGAGGTAAAAAGGTTCATGGATGGAGATGGGCCATTGCTGGGTGGCGAGCTAAAGGCGGAAGAGATGGAGAGTGGCGAAGACGGGAGCTCCGAGGACGATCTCTTGCGCTTGAGTGTCATTTTTGTATGGTAGTCGAGGTATGTGTCGCGTGTTTGATGTGTTGCGTGGAGAGTGATGGCGCGAGCCTTGCACAGCGGCGTGTAACAATTGAATATCGAAATAGATTCTAGTGAGTATCGTGAAGAGTAATTCGTAGTAGATTGGAAAAAGGCAAATGTTGATGATGATGGAAGGGGGCGGCAAGTCGGGAGTATGCGCCGTAGAATGAAGAGGCTGGCTGGGACCGACCTTAACGCGACACTCCAGCGGCCACCCGCGTAAAGTGGCCCCACAGACCACACGCGACGTGTCGAGGGCCGAAGACAAAAACCCAAACAAAATAGGTTGATATATAGAGCGCTTCAAAATGGCCTCTTCTGTTTTAAGCTTAAACGGTGTTTAATTCAAACCTATTTTTGCCAAGCCGCCATCTACGACACTTTTCTCGTGAGCGCCTGACGCATCAACTTGGTAGCGTGTTAGTGCCCGCTCTGTCTGTTTGCCACCACATCGCCAAGCCGGTACGCTGGGTGTTTCACGTGGTTGCAATAATCGGATAGAACTATTCATTGTCGAAAGAAAGTAGGAGCGTTCAACTCTACTTCTAGCTTTAGTGTTGGAAATTTGTTCGAGAACCTACTGGGCTAGACTTGCTGCTGGACCCGAGCGTCTCATTCTGAGTTACTTGATGAAGCTCTACCCAGGAGGACCGCAAGGGACCCTCGGTCCGCGCTTGTATTCCTACATTGTGTTGCTTGCCTATGAGGACAAGTTGTGAGCAGTTCCCTAGCTCTTGGGGGTAGCGTAGGGAGGACGGTGAAGTCGGCCCCCAAGCCTCCTTCCTCATGCTTTTGCCGTTGTCTACAGATAAAGTTAATTTTACCCTCATCAGGTTTATTCGCGAAACGTATATAATACACCCCACATATGTGTTCAGATATTTAGTTATGAGCCCCCGTCTCTCATCAACTACCCAAGTGGAACCTCGTATTCTGAGGCCCGGAGCAGGGTTGAACAAGTCCCGACTTATATAGGACGCGTAATGCTCTCCATCCTTTCCTGCGAAAAGGATTACTTAATGTATTGTGACAGAGAGAAGGGCCCATTAACACAGCTTTTCATCTTCATTAACTATAGAGTTGTACCGTTCCTGGCTCTAGTCAGATGATGTCGCAGATGGGATCCGCCCTTATTCCCCGAACTGAATGCTATGAGACTTTTGACATCTATCCATAAAAGATATACCGCTTTGAATTGGAGATCTGTCGTGAGATTTTGGCGGTGGCGGTACGCAGGCATCAAGCCAGATGTATGAGATGGTTCACCAGTGAAGAGCACAGACAAACAGACCGGCGAAAAACGTCTCCCATTTAACTCATTCCCGAGAGGGCATCGCGCGGGCTCTTTCAACTATGACCCATAGCTAAACACAAAAGGTTAGGCCTTTAAAGTCTCTCATGTTTCAAGCCCCCCAACTCCCTCTAATTTCTTCCGGCAGTGCAGTCGCGCGGCCGCGCGGCCTCGTACTATCATTTTATCCACTCGCCCACTCAGCCAGATCGGCGGCAAAGCGCGGCCTTTACTTTTCAATTCTTGAGGAACACCATTAAGACCGTGTGGATAGCAACTGGCACCAGTGACGTTAGAATCGATAGATCGAGTTTAAATGCGGAATGAATCATGTCATAAGAGCGAGATAGGAAACGATTCCGAGTCCTTACATGATCACAATGCATATTCATGGAGTCGCCCCATCTAGCGCCGTTGTTTCGAGAAACGATGCTGCCTAGAAAACAATGTTTACGAATAGCTTCTTCCCAGCTATTATAAGAGGACTTAACATAATTTGTCACTTTCATACATCAAAGCTTGAAACAGGCTGGCTTCGTCAGGCGCACGGGTAGCCCTGCTCTGGTCAAAATAGCATAGATGACATAAATTCGCCAAGAAAAATATGATGAAAGGGAATTCCATTAACTACAATCAAATCAAGGCAAGCAGCGTTCGGTATTGTTGTGAGATCGACAGCTGTACCCTCGCGACGTGATACTACAAGCTGGTGGGTTCACATCGTTTTGCGGCAGAGACAATAAGACCTGGGTCGACGGGTGATTCTGTCCAAAAAAGAAGAAGAGCGATCCATCTACGTGTCCATATTTATGCAATAATCTTATCGAGACGAGTAATTTTCCACAATTACCCGTATAGGCAGCTCATCGTTAACCTTATTATAGGCCGTGGGTTTTACATGGATCAGACCCAGCGCGGGACGTACCTGTGTAGCCACTGACCAGGGATTCGCCCATAGTTATTCAGTCGCGATTGGTTGAAAAAAGGCAGAAATGCAGTGAAACAAGGTTTGAATACGAGAAGGCCAAGATATTGCTTTGAAAGCTCCTGACGCCGACCCTTCGGCCAACTTGAGGGGCTCAGCGATGGACGGCACGAGGAAAGTATATAAGGGTAGGCACAGGATAAACGCTTCTGATTTAATGCCCCGAGAGACTACACACTCATCTGTGCTTACATCCTCTGTCGAAATCCCCTACTCTCTCTCAACATGCGGGAAGCACTACGTGCGACAAGCCTGCTCCTTCTAGGTAGGACTGAGCCATGAAACAAACTGGCGTATCTACTCTTGAACTAAACAGAGATCTAGGCTTAGCAGGCGCTGCTCGAGCTTTACAGCCAATCATACTGGCTGACACCAACCGCGACGGCCAGATCGACCTCATCGGTGATTCTGATACCGTTGGTAGAGAGACGTGGAGCGAAGAGCGCGGTGCGCTCTTTCTTGCCAATATTGGAGATAGCGGCCGGCGTTGCTCTAGTCTTATCCACGCAAACGTATCGTCCGATTCACGAGAGTCCAAGAATGACTTGGACCAGTGCCACGATGCTTCTGGTACCGAGCAGCGCAACCCTAAATACCTTGCCCCCCTTGCTACCCTTCCATTGATCAGCGTGAGCGACTCTGCCTCTGGCTCTGTTACTGTCCTTGGCGATGCTGCAAGCAAAAACGTTCGCATCTTCCAAAAGGTGGGCTGTGACTGGCGTTTTGTCAGCAGCAACCACACCTTCTCCGCCGACGAGCTCCGAAGCGGCTTGAGCCTCGGAATTGATGCCCGGGACGTACGCCGACCGGGCGTCTGGGACGGCCGAGCGCAGGTGCAATTCTCTGTGCGCGACGGAGCAGACAAGGCCCAAGATGTGGTCGCCCTGCGCGTCGCTCCAATCCTCACCCATCACCACCTCCAGAGTGCGACCGAAATTGTGGTGGGAGCACCACGGCAGCCCGGTCCGCAGCAGACATTTGTCAAGGAGATGGGCGACATCTCTCGAAGCTCGGGCATTCAGAAACCTCTGCGAATCATAACAGGAACCGATGTGTGGGTGCAGGACCATTTCGAGTTTGGGTACATGAGCATCCCAGGACCGTCCGGGCCAAAGACTCTTCGGGTAGTCATCCGAGCAGCTAAACCCGACCAGGCAGGAGAAGTTGCCTTCTCCGAGTTCAGATCAGACACTGTTGGAGCAGTGCAGTTCCTGCCACAGGAGGAGGGTGAAGACGTTGGAAAAGACGCGACTGGAAACCTGGAAGCTGTGCCGCCTTACGAGCATCAAGGCAACTCCTACCCTGTTGGGCGCACCATCATGGGATCACGCTACGGGAGCCGGCCGCTCATTGCGGAGTTTTTGGACGCACAAGAGGCGCAGCCAATGGTCAATGTTGATACGTCGTGGCTGTACATTGGTCACGTCGACGAATTTATGCAGTTTCTCCCCGCGCCGTCGGAGCGAGGCTGGGTCATGGCCGTCCACGACCCCGTCCAGGCTCTCGAGATTCTGCAAAAGGCCCAGAGCGAGGGACACGGAGGTGTCAAGGCCGTCTCGCGACCGGTGATGCCTGACGACAAGCTCGGAACCCACGGCAACGGGCCCTTGCCCAACCTGACCATCAACGCCCTGCTCGACCTGCCCGATTTCGCACGCGTGCAGCAGTACGTCGGCCGACAAATCGCCAAGAACGTGGAGAGTGTGAAGCGCGAAATCGGTCTTGCCGACTCGGAGATTCTGTACATCCCGGGTCTCTTCTACAACGAGACCATGGAAGGCAAGCGCACGTACCAGCCGATCAAGGTCTTCCCCGACGTGGACAAGGAGGACGAGTCGCTGACGGCGTACGAGACCTCGTTCCAAGTCTTTGCAATCTACCCTTCGACGGTCAACGGCGTGCTCTTCAGTCCGACGCACTACGTGGCGCCCAACCCTTGGGGGCCCGTCATTGACGGCAAGGATATCCTGAAGGAGGCCACGCTGGCTGGTTATGCCGCCAGCAACCTGACGGTGACGTTTATGGATGATTGGTACTCTTTCCATCTCGGTCTGGGGGAGATTCATTGCGGATCCAACGCCTTTCGCGAGTGCACTGCAAAGTGGTGGTAGTACTAGTTCGCACAAGTGGTCTATAGGTAGTTAGTTAGTGCTGGGATTGAATCAACTATTCAAGCTCTCGACCAATAACCTTGTTCATGATGCAAAAGAGTGTTTAAACAGGATAATCAAGATGGAGAGGATGACTATCCAAGATCTTCACTACAGATCTTGTAGAGAATGATGCAAAATAATGTTTAAGCATGAGAACCAAGATGGAGGGACTGAAAGCTACGAGCAAGGTGCAATCAACACTGACAGAAAGGGCTAAGAGCCTTAGCGGACAAGGGAGCAGAGACGGATGAATCATCTATTCTGAGACACGGTACTTTTCTATTAGTATCCTCCTGTCGCCTACAGGTGACTCCAGCCTTGCATCAAAACAAGTAGTGCCGTCCGCGCCCGGAACTCTCCTTAACTCCGGCTGCGCCGATCTAGCATAGAACAAACTCGATGTCTCCCATCCGGATACATCTTTTAAAAAAACAATACTCAAAACACAAACCTCTACAAGGATGAAGCTCATCGTCGTCGGCGCCACGGGCCTCATCGGCACCGAAGTCATCCGGCAGGCCCTCTCCCACCGCTCCATCACCTCCGTCGTCGCTCTCGGCCGGCGTCCCACGCCGCCGCCCACGAGCATCCCCGCCGGCGACCCGGCGCTCGACAAATTCCAGTCGGTGACCCTGCCCGACTTTGCCCACTACCCCGACGACGTCAAGAGCCAGCTCTCCGGCGCCGACGCCTGTATTTGGTATGTTTGCGCGCCTCTCTCTCCCCGTCCTGGGGCCGGCCCTCCATTAACACGCTGACCATTTTTTTCACCAGGCTTCTGGCTATTACGCCGACGGCGTCCAAGACGATGGACTGGGAGGTCGTCCAAAACGTCTGCGTCGACTACGTGATGGAGGGCTTCCGCGTGCTGCAGCAGCTGCCCCGGCCGCAAGGCGGCGGCAACAAGCCCTTGCGCTTCGTCTACGCCAGCGGCGCGAAAGCAGAGCGGGACCAGACCAAGAAGCCCTGGATTCTCGGCGACTACACACTCATGCGGGTACGTGCTTCCTTCTTCTTCTTCCTCTTCGCCCATTAACATGGAAAACAAGGGCCGCATCGAAACCCGGCTGCTCGACGCCACTAAGGAATCTGGTGGCATCATGGAGACGTGCCTCCTTCGCCTTGGTCTGGTTATGTCGCCTGAGAGGATGGGATTTGTCACGGGCATGCTGGCCAATGCCACCGCCAGCATCATTGGGCTCCCGCTCATCGATATCCGGGAGATTGGCGCTGCTGCTGTCAGCGCGGCCGTGCACGGCTTCAACAAGGACACGCTCGACAACGACGATCTCATCGCCATGGGGCGCAAAGAGCTCAAGGAAATGGGCGAGGAGCCGAGCACCTAGCTACGTACAATGGAGGAACTTCATCTTGAATCATGAGAAAGAGACAATCAAGCCTGTTTGCGGCATGTGTGGGCTGTGCCCGGCGCCTCGGCGACAAGTGGGCCGCCGAACCGCCGAACTCGACGCCGAACATGAATCTGCGGAGCGGACACAGAAGTACGGGATTTTCCCCTTGAATGCCTGGTGAAGTATTCTAGCCGTTGTTGTCATAAGACGTTCGAGGTATACTATCAGCCTCTGGACATCTTCGACTGTGGTGAAACCTGGTGCTCGTAACCTTGAGCAGCAGGCACTTCGCCATTGACGTGTGGGTGTGGGAGTTTGAGACATAATCGCCCTGTGCGGCATCGCCTGGAAGCCTGAGAATAAACAAGGTGATATACTGTACTGTTTCGTAAATTTGGTCGATTATATAGGTTGATCAGGCATATATAAAACAGGCAGGAATGGACGTCGGCCACCCCTGTTCAATAATAATACCGTCGTCGCCTTCGGTTATAATTCTCCATCCTCGCTTCCATGCGGTCAATCCAGCGCGATGAGGGATACCAACTCGTATCTATCCAGGATAAACGTGTCAGTACTAGTTAACCCTCGCCATCAAGCCCACCGCACAAAAATCAGACGTACCTCTGTATTGGCTGATGCCCAGCTGGCTCGCGACGTTGAGATAGCCGTCCTCGCCCTCGACCGCCGCATCCGTGTCCACCACCACTGCCGCCGCGTCCGTGTTCTGCTTCGCCTCCCAGGGGCTGCGGCACAGCGGGCACGTCACGTCGCGGGCGGTGCACGTGCGCGCCCACGTGTCGAAGCACACCTTGTGCAGGTTCTGCCCGCACGCCGCGCGGCACCAGACAATGTTCTGGTCGTCTTTCTGCTCCAGGTCCATGTAGCAGATGGCGCACTCGCCCTCGATTGCCTTGCGCTTCTTGCCGTCGTCGGCGTCGGCAGAGGGCTGCGGGAGCTTGTCGTAGATGTGCCGCAGCTCGCTGCTGAGGAGCGCGAGCTGGTACGTGAGATGATAGGGGGCCTTGAGGACCCGGTGTAGAATCTAATGGGACAAGGGCAATAAGCAACGAGTATTTGGTTAAAGAGGAAGAAAAGAAAGGCAGCGCGCCGCAGCGAGGGAAAGAAGACGGGGAAAAGAAACGCACGTATACGGTGTGCTTGCACTGGTTCCCCTTGAGCGCCCACGGGCAGTTACACACCGGCTGGCGCGCGATGCGGATCGTGTACACGTTGCCCGTGGTGCCCGCCAGCTCAAAGTCCTCTTCCGGACAGCCACTTTCCGCGTCGTCAAACCGCTGTCGTTTGAGCACAAAGAAGCGCTCTGTTGTGGCGCGCTCCCAGATGGCGTCGAATTTGTGCGGCGGCGCGTGTCGGAAGACGCGCAGGCGCTTCTCCTCTGGCGGGGGCGGGGTCGCCTGCTGCTGCTGCTTCTTCTTCTTGCTGACGCTCCGCACGGCGATGATCTCTACTGAGCTGTCGGACCGCGTCCGTTTGTGGCCGCGCGGCGTGGTGCTGGTACTCATGACGGCGAGGTGAGTGTGATGGAGGAGGAGACTGAGGAGAGAGGCCAGGGGGGGGGAGGTATCTGTACTTTTCCGAGACAGACAGTATTCAAAATAGAATATTGATTCGCCGCAATTGAAAAAGGCAATGAGAAGACGGAATAAAAACAAAGTGTATGACTTTTCTGCTGGACTACCTCTGGTATCATTGCCAAGTTTTTTGATTCCGCTGGTGACACGCGCTCATGCATCATGTAAACACGACCTCGACACAAGCACACCCAGCCACGAACCTGGTCATGCCAAACTTCTTCATTTCTTATTCCATCGTCTTAATAAAAGCAACCCGAATTTCACACATAGCACGAATATATGGGCATCAATTCTTTAGGGACAAGCGCGCGCTCCGCATGTCAATTGTTGTCTTATAAATAAGTAACTATCTTCAATGGCCCATCCAGCCAGCTACTGGTGCCATGTATCCTCATACAAGAACCAGCATAATGCCGCGTCGCTTATCCATGCAGTCAAAAAGAACCTCAACGCCAGAGAGCTTGTTTTGTAGCTCAGCCCAGACCCCAAGGCGCGACAAGGAACAAAACAAATAAGACGGAAATGAAAGATGCGACATCCTCATCACAGATTGGACCCCAACTCGTCCTGCTAACCCAGACCAAGGAAATGAATTTGAATAAAGTACAAGCATCCTGCCCAAGCTTGTGGGCCAGGAAAGATGTCAGAATCTATGCAAGCAAAGACGGCTTTTGTCTGACTTGGATGCAACGTAAAGAAATAGTGTGTTCGAGTCCGTTGTCTTCAACGTGACGTGTGGGGAGACCGCGTACATCATGGTCGCTGTAAATATATTAATACCGGAAGATGTCATCATTAAGGGCATATTGTGCCGCGAATCCGGTTGGTGTGTACTGTATATGTGCAAGAAGATTATGTTTGAGCCCGCCACAACTCATTACCACAAGCGTCGCCGGTATTTGTATACACTGGCGCCTGTCTTTATGGCAGGTGACGTCGATGGCTGGGATCCCGTGGTTGGTATCGTGGGCCGACGTCTGGTTGCGTCATGACCCAGTCCGATGGGCCAGATTGGTGACTGGGCTGCTCTGCAGGCAGCTTTGTGTCTTGGCCGTGATGGGTACCCTGTGCCCTGAGCCCGGCTGAAGGGCTGGCGCCAGGGACAAGGTCGGTGACGGCTTGGGCAATCGAGGCAACGACAAAGCCGCGCAGCTCCTCGCCTTCCATCTGGTCTTCCTTTTCAAGACGAAAACGCTGATCCTTGTTCATGTTCTGGCGGCGAATCGTCTTGATTTCTTGCATGATATAGAGCATGACCTCTTCGGGACATCGGTTGCGCTCGCTGGCGTTTTCATTTTTGCGGACATAACGTCTCGTGACATCCGTGGCGCCGTCAGTGGAAAAGGCGACGCAGTAGGACATCTTCTTGCCCCAGCCGTCAGCATAGAGGCGCGGATTATCCCAGGCCTCCTCGCAGGCATCGACGTGGACCCATCTGCGTTGGTGCTCCGAGTACACCTCTGTCCAGACATGGTCTTCGGCGTTCCAGATCCAGCGAACACGACCACCGACGGCCCGGCACAGCATGCTGAAGCAGTTGGCCCATTCGCCAACACGGCCGCGTCGGGTCTGAAGCAGTCGCCAGACGTCACCGTATCGCGGGAATCGTTCGTAGGCGCCGCAGTTTTGAGCAGAGCACCGGTACAGTTCGACTCGCAGCGCACCGCAGGCACTCTCCTCAGGAGTAGGTGCCGTCATGCCCTGGGCAACTGTTGGAGACAGACAGACAGGGCAGGGTGGGTTATTGACCCATGTGAAGAAGGAACGCTTGAACCATCGAAGAAGAGCGCGGATGACACAGTCCTGGTAGCCCCATTCAGGCTTGCGACCATCGCCCATACTCTCGGCCTCGGCCTGGAGGACCTGGGTCTCCTCTTCAGCCTCACCGTAGATGCGATCGAGGGGGATGATCTGAAGCGCCTCATCGAGCAGACCAGGATTCTCGTATTTCGTGGGAGTGAGCGATAGGCTGATGAGGAGGTTGCGGAATTTCTGGGACTCGCGGTCTCCAGCAGTTGGTGCCGAAGGGATGATGGGCAGATGTCTGATGGATGAGTACGAAGGCGGCGTACCAGGAGTGTGGGAAGCCATCGAAAGGTCGCTCATGGGCGTATCGAGGCCGACGCTGGATGCTCGATCAAAGGCGCTCGGAGTCTGGTGTCGAGAGTTGGAGCGCAAATCATTCATGCGCTTGTCGCGGAGGAGAGACTCGAACCGGATGCGTAAATCGTGGGCCCATTCTTCACCATAAGAGCCATCAGCCGGGGCCGGGCTGAAGGGATCGCTTCTGCCCGCCATGCTTGTTCAAGGATGTTGATTGAAGACAGGAAAGGAGGCGAGTCGATGTGTCGGACGGTGAGGGAGAATATGAAGGGAAAAGAAGCGAGCGTTGTCGTCCACAGGTGACGATGCTGTTATGAGGAGTAGTCGTCGGAGTTGGCTAGTCGAATCCGATAGGCGTAAAGAGTAGTCGTCAGCCAGGCACTACGTACGCCTGCGCGTTCGCCACGGACCAGGCTGGAATCGCAAGGGCCACGACTTGGAGGACGAGACAAAGGCGGGTGGATCGCCAAACTTTGGTACGTGGTAGTTGGCGTCGTGTATCTGTCGAGGGAATGCAGAAACGAGGGCAGACGAGCGCTCTTTCGCAAAAGTGATATTGTCCACTCGACGATGCGTTTGTTGGATGAAGAGAGGACTGGTGGCTCATGTAGGAAGACGAGGGTTGAAAAGCAGCCGGGCTGAACCTGACTGGGCGCTGGCGGTGCCGGGGAACGACTTAGAAGGGGACTTGGGGAGAAGAACTGGGGACTGGGACTGGGCTGGATTGTCTCGGGAGAAGGCGTGTGCGTCTTCTGCTTGCCATCGCTGCGAGTTTACGCGTCAGCTGTTGGCGGCTAGCCAATGACCGCCTATCAAATCCTGCACAGTGGGTCGAACTGGGCCAGGCCTACGCAGCCTCAAAGTACAGGTACTTCGCGGCCGGCCTGCCTGTAGGACGCAGATGCAACGACGACGGATAACTGAAGAGAATGCAATGCGAATCGTGTGCCCTCATTGAAATTTCATTTCTGTGATATTTTCATCTTCTGGCTTCTTTTGCCTTGCGCGCCGGGGCCACCGGCTTCTCTACAGGCAGCCCTACGTCGGTGCCAGTAAGATAGATACTATTACCAGGCTGGGAGGCAGCCCCTCACCACCACACGATACCTCACATAAAAGTCCTTTCTTGCCTGCGTGCATGTACAAAATATACCCACCCTCCATGTTTTTTCAGATTTAGCACCGCCCCCTTGAAGCGGGTACTGGTACCTTCTCGCCGCCGGTGGCGTTGCCGACTCGGTTGGTCCAGGACGATGACGAGGCAATTGATTGACACCACCAGCCAAACCCTTCCAACCAGACCCATCCATCCATCCAGCTTTGCAGGTGTTTGTGGCCTACGTGCCATCACCAGCCAATGACTCTCAGCCTGGCCCTCACGCAAACATCCTGCGCCAACTACAGTACAAGACTCCGGGCCGCCTTTTTCAACTCAGGTTTTATCTGTGGCGGTGCATGGCCCTTAGTAGGGGTCTCTCTCTAGGTATTCTGTAATACGCACTGTAGTTATCCCACTTGCCACCTGCTGAACGCCCACATCACCACAGTGCAAATATCCCTCTGCACTGTATGTTTTAATACTGTCTCGTTGATCGCTTCAACTAGCAACTGTGGCGAGTGGCGACGACAACAACCAAATGACGACAGCCCCGCCACTGCAAACCTGATGCTGCTTCTCTGCTTACTGCAAACCGAGAAGGACTGCTTCAAGTGTACAAAGGCTGTGGAGGTTCTGGTAGGGATTCCCCCCTCCTTACCACAGATCGTCGTTCCCATCCCAATGGCTACCTGTCAACCCTGAACCCCCGCGGACTGCGGTTAAACCATCGAATTGGACAAGAGCCGTTTTTTTCTCAGACCTTGAGCCCGATGATGGTATCTTTGAAGACTCGTTTTCATAGCTACTCCCTCCCTCGTCAGTCCACTGACAAATCGCTCTCAACAAGCCAACCCACAACAAACACGCAATGCGCTCCATCCAGCATGGCTGCACAATTCAATGGCCAAATTCAATATTTGCCGGGCTGCAGTCTGGCACCGGCCCCATCGATGCATCTGCGTCCCCTTGAACACTTATCCAACACCGAACCCTCTTCGCGCTAGGCCCATTCACCTCCGTGTCGTTACTCTGCGACTGAGACGATCCGTTGGAGGTGAGCCAAGTTGGCACATCTGCCCAGGTTCCCCCTTAACTCTATCTCATCTCGCCCTCTTTCAAACTCCGTCTGCTTGGTAAGGCTTTGGACTTCTCGCGCGTGCGTCGGCCGCCTTCCGGCTTGCCGTTTCGGACCCGTGCGTTCGGGAACCACCCCAATAAGCTTGTGCAGGGCCGCGTCATCTCAAACCCGACAGCCAGATCTCTTCCCATACTCCTTGCGTTGCCTTGGAGGCGTCCGCCATGAACTCAATGTCCCACCAGGTCAGCGCATACTTGCTTATTTTGCAAATACTATAACTCTTGTAGCGCCGCTCCCTCTTAGATTCCCAACGCCTATCGAGCTAGCTTCCTCCCATCTTGCGTCTGCAGCTGTTCTAGGCCTGCCCATCTTGGTATGATGAGTGATGACTGGAACGCACAATCTCATAGGCAAGCGGCGCTCTTCTGAACCCCTCACCGCCAACCGTGGGCGTCGCGGCAACCTTCTGGCGTGGGCGTCCTATTAGAGCCTTGCTTATTGACCGATGCAGGAGGGAGGTGAAGCTGATGCGTCCTTTTGGCCACAACCGGCCCGGCACCTGCTTATCACACACGACTCTAAATTTTCGCTCGTGACCATAATTTCCTTCTCCGTTGGCATGCCGTTAACCTTTCCAGCATAGAAGCCGGTGCACATTTTTCTGGCATCCATGCCCAATCTCATGTGCACATATATACCATGACGCCTCTCGCAACTTGTCAGGCGGCCAGGCGACCAGGCGGCCAGCCGAGAGGTGCCACTTACGCCCAAGTTGCTGTGATGCATACGTAAATCTCCGCCATTAGAGTCTCCTGCATGAATCTACTCATATGATCCTTAGAAGAAAAAAGACCCAGAAAAACGTTGCACTGCGCGTGATGCACAGCGGGTCGAGCCTCGGGACGCGCGTTGGGCCTCTCGGAACCGTATTTTGTATCCAAACTGTATTTTACCCTGACGGACATATACTTACTTAATTTCATGGGTGGGCGTCAACCACATGCGAATGCACGCCGTGGAACACAACTCGACTCATTACGTGGCAGAGCTTGAAAATTAGCGCCTCGAATGCGAGATGGCTTGCTCCCTTTTGAGCTGTCCCTCGTCGCTCTGATTCCCCGTAGACTGGCGAAATTTGAGTAAACTGCATGTGCTCAACATAGATGCCGGTGCCAAGACGAAGGCCTGCGATATTAAGCCGAGACTGTAAGCCCCTAGCCTTGTTGATGTTGTTCTGGCGAGGTGCATAGCGGAACACTGCAGCTTCATACACATTTGCAACCCCTCATCTTCTTCGAATTGCCATGTATTGCATTCCAAAATGTGTAGTTCATTGTACAGTTCTTGTATTTATAATGCGATAGTCCCCTGCACTGACATTACCATTCCTTGCCACGTGGTGACCATGTAGATGTATCCTGACATAACCATCCATCTAGTCGTTATTTTCACACTTTTAACCAAAGCACAGCCATCGCACTATCTTCGCTCCCACTCTGCGCCCGCATAGTAGCTATCTTGCATTTCTATCTCCCAAGTTGGGCGCTCAACCAGGGCCACCTCCAGCGAGTCCTCTTGGCCACCGAAAGAAACAACACCCAGTACAGGACGATATTTGTATGTAATCCACCACTGCTTCCGGCCATTTTCATTTTCTGCGCCTGCTGATTTGACTTCGCCGCCGGCCGTGGCGCTGCGAAGTTGCGTAAGCTCGTTGTCTGCAGCATCGATCATGTCGTCGTCGCTTTCGTTGTCCAATTCGCCGCTAGGGCTAGGGCCGTCGACATCAACATCCTCCCACTTATTGGCTGCATGTTTGTGTATCTGGTGCGGCTTCAAACCCTCGTTCTCCATCCGACTACCAGCGCCGCTGGTAATGTTTGTTCGCTTGCGCTTTGTACCTTGTTGGATGAGCTGGTTACTCGTATCCTTGCCTGGAACCGGCAGGTCCTGGCTCATGTCAAGCATGAACAGAAAAGAGACACCGTAAACCCAAAGCCTAGACCCTTGCCAGAAAGTACCTTTGGCCAAGTCTAACAAATCTTGAACGGGGCCAGGAAGAGTCATACGGGGATTGCGGCGGGACCATTGGGTCAAAGATCCTTGTAGGACATTAAATGTGAGGACATTCCACGACGATGTCACTGCTGCCAGAGTATAGTCCTCCGTTCCTTCCTGCCCAGGGATATTATCCGAGAATGCGAGGACGGATGGGGTTGCAGGTAGCTTGGGTATTAGCTTGGCGTTAGGATTGCGAACCCATCGCCCGACTTCACTGGAACCGGTATTTTCGGCATCATCATCTGATGAATCAGAGTCAGAGGCTGACGCGTCGTCGGCTTCCTCTCCATTCGCATGACCATTGACTGTGTCATGTCCCGCAGCGTGCAGCACCCAAGTATCAATGTATCCAGCCAGGTCAGCAGCTGCAATAAGCTTAGAATCTGGGCTGAAAGCAATGTGGGTAACGTTTCTTTCATAGGAGCCTAAGCCACCGTTTAGGATATACTTGGGGACTGAGCGGTGTAGTCGGCGAAGATGACGCGAGGAAGAAATCGTGTGGCTATTAGACTCGGATGAAATGCTGGCGATGACGACGCTGGAACCGTCCTGCACGAAACAAAGCCAGGATCCATCTGGCGATATTTGCACCTTGCTGGCACCGAGCTTGGTAATCTGTTTGGGCAGTTCGATAGAGGAAAGGGTAACATCAGCGGGTTTTGTGGGGTTGGAATGTTCCAGTGCAAAGGCTTTGACATCTGTGGACGTCGAAGCAATGAGTAAGGTGCCGTCGGCGTTGATACTAGCCGAGGAGATGTTGGAGTCTCCCTTGACGACGATTGTTTTGAGTAGTTTTCGATTTTGGTCAACATCGAGATCGCTGTCACCATTGAGCTTGACGAGGTCGGAAGCAGGATGCTGCAGCAGCCACAAGTGAATCTCACGATCCCACCAACTCACCATGAAGCGAGCTTTGCTGGCACTGACAAGAGGCGGCTGTTGGGGAAGACCACTGACAATTCTGTGATGTTCACGGCCCATCTCCTTGAGTGGAACAACGACGAGATTTGAATCGGGCCCTCCAGAAACAACAACACTTGTGCGAGCGTGCTCGAATGTAGCCATAGCCTTAACGTCATGTTCGTGGAATCTGCGACCCCAAACTTTGCCCCAGCGCTGACCAGCCCCGGAGTTCTGCTTGTAGAGCACAGTTCTTCTATCCATGCCACCGCTAATAATCGTGCTGCCGTCTGAACTAATAGCAAGACTAAGGACATCTTGCTTATGAGTCTGCAGCCTTTGCGTCTGGGTGTAGGTTTTGCCGTCCCAGATGCAAACTTGGCCAGTGGAGTCGCCAGAGACAATGTTGCCGTTGGGTAAGCATTTGACAGACCATACAATGACATCTTTTGAGCCGCCCACGAGGTCGGATCCAAGTGTCATGCGGCGCAGCATGTGGCCTTTGGCGATATTGTAAGCTCGTATAGTGCTGTCGGAGCAGCCGACAATAACGACTTTGCGGGACTGGAAGGTGATGCTGACCATCTTGGCCTTTTTTGTGGGCGACTTGACGAGAACTCTTTGAAAGCGAAGATCACCATCCTCAAGTGAGTACATGACCAGCTCACCATCGATGGTGCCGGCGACGAGCTTGTTGGAGCTCTGCGAGTCGCTGACGGATGTTGTTCGGTCGTCGAGCTGCGAGGGCTGGGCTGCAATGCACCAGATATCACCATGCTGGCCACTGGCATGTTGTTTGGGCTTTCCCGTCTCGAGGTCCCATTCGGTAACGGTCGAGGTGTAGCCGATGCTGAACAATCGAGACTTGCCGATTAAGATGCGTCCCTCGCCGAGATCCTGGTCCGGATCATTGACCCAGACAAGACCATCGATGCTGCGATCCTTGCCGCCTCGGATAACAAGCTCCTGGTGCCAGATCCCGGCGGCAGCATTCCAGATTTCAATGTCGCCATTGGCTCTGCCAACTGCGAGTCGAGCGATGGCAGCACGTTTGCTGTCTCTAGTTTTCGGATGGGAAAATGCAACAGCATTGATCGCGGATGGCTGATACGGCACAAACCGACAGCGGTGGATGTCGATAGATGTCATTGTCGCCGTCACTGGTTCGCAGCAGCGCAGGCTACGATGTGCAAAGAGTGTGTATCGCAACAAGATGCTGGAGCTTGTTGAAGGGAAAAAAAATATCCTGCCTTATCTAATCTATAGCCTCGAATTTTTTCTGGGGGTCCGCTGGCTCTTGGCCCTGGTTAGCGCCCATGTACATAGGACCCCGCTGCGACCTTGTGCCCGCGGCTCATGACGTGGTTGCGAATGGTCGAGTCAAAGAATTAGATATAAATCAATTCATCTTGGAGATGGAAAGGGAAGGGTCTTACTCGGCAAGATCACAATTGCTGCCAAACATCATCATGCGCTGTGTTGACCGCTGTCGCAGCAGCTTCTGCGAGTTTTGATGACCAATGCTTGCCGATTAGCCTTCCAATAATAATTGAATTCTGATAAAAAAACAAATTCAATACTGTTACAATGACTGATTTGTACTGGCGTAAGTTCTTCCACGGGTCTCAAGGTCTCATGACTCAAGATCTTGTGGCTGACCAAAACATGTAACAGCCATTTGGCGGGGCTCATTTTCGTGACAGCCGACTCCAAATTCATCAGCGCCCCGCCGACTCGTTCAGTATTCACCATGAACATACTTTCTTTCGAAGCTCAAATTCCGCCGAGCCCATTGTCAACTATACTCGTTGCCCTCGTGCGCTTTATTCTATCTTAAGCGACACTGCGCAGCTTGAACGACCTGCGCTCCCCCTCCCGCGACCCCCGACGTCACGCCTATATCGGAGACCGAGCGAGCTATTAACGCCAACACTCGCCGACATGGATTTTAACAGCTCCTCGCCTTTCCCAGAAGGCGTCATATCCTTTTTGGATACCGATCTGTATAAACTTACTATGCAATGCGCCGTATTCAAATACTTCAAGGATGTGCCTGTGACCTACGCCTTCACCAATCGTACGCCCGAAAAGAGGCTGTCTAGAGCTGGCTACATGTGGCTACAGGAGCAAATCACCAGTAAGATCAAGCATACATCCTACACAATAGATCATCCAGACTCATAATACGTAGAACTCGGCAACATTTCTCTCTCGGACGAAGAACACAAGTTTCTCGAGCAGCATTGCAAGTACCTAAGTGCCGACTACCTGACATTCCTCAAGGAATTCAGGCTCCGGCCGAGAGAGCAGGTATCTATCACATTCCAGGCTACTGGGATAGACACGGGCGGCGAAAACGACCTCGGTGACGTACATGTGAGCATTGCCGGTACTTGGTCAGATACAATACTCTACGAAATTCCCTTGCTGGCCCTGACATCCGAGGCCTACTTCCGTTTCATGGACACAGACTGGGACTATGAGGGCCAAGAGCAAAAAGCCTTTGAAAAGGGCATGAAACTACTAGAATCGGGTTGCATTCTGTCAGAGTTCGGCACACGACGTCGCCGTGATTATCACACCCAAGCTCTAGTATTCCGCGGCCTGGTGAAGGCGTCCAAGGAAGCGGCCCTCAAAGGCTACCGCGGCGAACTCTCCGGTACTAGTAACGTGCATCTTGCCATGCGCTTCAATATCCCCCCCGTCGGAACAGTCGCACACGAATGGTTCATGGGAACCGCGGCCATTTTCAACGACTACAAGACTGCTACAGAGGAAGCCCTGAGACACTGGGTTGGGTGCTTTGGTACAAACTTATCCATAGCTCTTACCGACACTTTCGGAACACCCGAATTTTTGAACGCCTTCAGCCAGCCTGCGCGTACTACGGAAGGGGGTGTACCCGAAGCCACGCTTTGCAAAGAGGATGGTTCCCGCAAGACATATGCCGAGCTTTTCACTGGCATTAGACAGGACTCCGGCGATCCGCAAGAATATGTCAGACTCCTGCGCAAGTACTACGATTCGCAAGACATTAAGGAGAAGGTCATCGTGTTTTCGGACTCTCTAGACGTGGAAAAATGCCTAGAGTACAAGAAGGCTGCGGAAGAGCACGGATTCCTCCCCAGATTTGGTGTTGGGACTTTCCTGACAAACGATTTCACCCACAAAAAGACCGGCACAAAGTCCCTACCGCTAAATATTGTCATAAAGCTCAGTTCAGCTCAAGGACGACCGGCGATTAAAATAAGGTTGGACCTGGACCTATGGACGGATCAAATATTCTCGCCGCTAACCATGTCACAGTGATAACATCGAAAAAAATACTGGGGATAAAGAGCTTATCGAAAAGGTCAAGAAAGAGATTGCCTACGTTGAAAATACATGGGAAGAGGGTAAAGAAGATGCTAGATGGGGCAAAGAGGAATCGAGTAAATAAAGACGAACAAGACGGTGGCAATACTAATTAGAGATTGATGACCTATCTACACAGTTGGACAGCTCAAGAATACATTGAAGATATAGTGAATTTTGGCAGAAATTTCAAGGTCACGCGCAAATGTGCTCCTTCGACGTACCCTCCCTCCAGTCGTTCAAGGTATGGGCGATGATGGTGTTGTGAGGAAGTTGCCAGACCACCCGTACCGGGCAGGAGCAAGGAAGGGTGCTTGCGGCCCACGTTACTATCAACTGCCGCCACTGACCTCGAGATCCTGATTCTGACTTGACTTTCACAACACTTCAGACAAATTACGCTTTTTTTGGGATCGATTTTGGAGCAATTCTTGGATCGTATCTTATACACCAACTCAAAAGAACTTTGCCATGACACTGCCGCTCTATTACAAGGCGGGCCGGAGATGGTCACAACTCTGCCCGCGCACTCTTTGCCACCGTGGTATTGCGCTCGGTATCCTCTCCATCCTAGTGATTGGCATGCTATGCACCACACTCCTCGTTGGCATGTGGACTGAGGTTGAGGAGACTGCTCTGGCAAAACGCGGACTGGAGGACGGAGAGACCCCTAAAGACGAGTTAGAGGTATGATACAAACGAATTATGATGACACTATGATATCTAACAGTCTAAGAACCCGGGGTACGAGCGTGATCTGCGGCACCTTCAACCACTTGATCGATACCAACCGACAATTACATCAGCTTCAACAAACGGCGGTTCCCTCGCCGTCGGTGCCCTCCAATTACCGGTCGATTTACTCGGTGGCCTTACTGGCGTAATGTCAAATTTTCACGTCGGACAAACGACAATGACACCTTCACCGACTGCTGGCGCTGTCGATCCATTGGCGGCGTTGTCTGTGGCGTTTCAACAGGCCATAGCCAACGGTGAATTGTTGCACAATGAAGTTAATATCGAGAGGAGAGGGCCAGAGGCACGCGGGAACAACGGATATATCCAAGACTCTGTCATTTGGGCGGGACAGCCGTCTCTCGTCAGTATGCTTTCCGACCTTGTTGGACAAGTCTGTGTCATTGACTCCGGCGCTGGCGCAAGACTAATCGACACAATCCTCATCGCACTTCCAGTTGACAGTATGGGGATTACATCCATGATTCCTAGCATTGCGGAATATTCCTCAGTTTCGGCTGCAGATATACTGCCACTGATTCTGCCAGCTATTGCCGCAGCGCTAGGAAAGCACCTTCAACCGGCTCGCATAGCTGACACTCAGAATATTGATGGTATTATGGCAAATATAATTTGGCATGGGGGAGTATTCGTGGGTGAGATTATCAATTCCAAGATATATTTGGCCAGCACGGAGCTTTACGATGTCCTGAACCAGGTGGCTGGACTGATGTGCGCCGCTGCGGATCATCTCGCTCTTCCGCTTTGTGCGGTTTCAAAACAGATTTCAGGCATATCATACGAGATCGTCATTCCTTGTGATTGTGCGGGCTCATGGTTACCTTCGGCAGCACCGCAAGACCCCCAAAGTTACATGCCAGAGAGGACGACCAGCGTGATGGACTGGAGTATAACGACCTTGTCACCGACCGGCGGATACAGCTACTCACTTTCATCATCTAATTTGCCCCCAAAGTACGAAAAGAGCACATTGAGCTCTGTCACAGATACACCTGCGCAATCAGGTCAACCCTACAGCCAGCCACAGCAAACGACAAGCTGCACCTCAACGCTGCCTCCTGCTTATTCAACTATATCATGTAAGATTAATTCTGACAGCGTTCATTTCTGTAACTTATCAATCATCAGTGCCTTTCTCTACCAATGAGTACTCTGACCCTCCTGCTGTTACGCCAATTGCAGCGTGTCCTGTTTGCTCATGTCCGGACAATGTGGCCCCGGCATACTCTACCCCTCTAGGCAACAATGGTGAACCAGAAAGACCAGAAGGGGGGCTATCAAGCTATGGTAAACAAAAAAAAGACCCCTCCCAATCCAACATTGCTGACAATGGAACGTACCACAGGACAATCGCGTCAGTCAACGGAGCCTACAACAACTGCCGACACGATACCCAAATACTCGGAGCAAGGTGGGAAGCCCAGTCAGAATCCTGGTGAGTATCATGGAAGATATTACAAAATACCTGGAACAAATGCATACTCTTCAAGCCCTCGAAGCTGGAGATACCTGGGTTGTTTCAGTGATGGGCCGGCGAGAGTAGTTCAAGGGGGAGGGCTGAAGGGCACCTTTCAGGGAAATGTTTCCAACAAAAAATGTATGGAATACTGCAGAGTGAACGGATTTACCACTGCAGGTACAGAAGATGGCCGAGAGTGCTGGTGCGGGAACTCGATTGCAGAAAATATTCAGCTTCTCCCAGCGACAGCTTGCTCGACGGCATGCCAAGGGGATACAGCGGACTACTGCGGTGGTACCTGGGCAATATCAATTTATACCAGCGACGATCGAAATCGAGGCCAACCAAAGTATCGAACGTTATCTGAATTGTTGGCTCTAAACTAGTCGCCGTCCGATTGCAATTGTCGATCAATTTCATCGGCGACGAGCTACGGGTTGTATTCATTAGAACTTGCTAGCATCGGACTTAGTGGACCATACACCTTGGACGAAGCTTCATCATTTAGGAGATGGTAATGGAAAAATAATGGTATTGGGGAGAAATTGGTAGAATCTTATCATGGCATGTTCACTGGCGAAGCAGCCTCTCGCTCATCGCAGGCCACCAGATATCTGATGGTTCTTAACTCGTAGAGAACATTATCTGTATCATAAACATTCAAATAATGAGGTTACTTATTCAGGAGATTTATTCTGTCCCCCTATTTTCCAAGCTTGCCTGTGGCGCATCGTTAATCCTCGTTGGGAAGGCAACTAGGATGCCAAGTTACTAGAAAATTAGATAGAATGGAACCAGATATATGATCGTTCTGGCAGTGGTCGGCTAGTGGCACAAGATCTATCCAGACGCAAGCTTGCCAAGAAGAAAATCCCGAGGCCGGTGAGAGGTTTCAATCAAATCTCTGGGTGCTTCAATGACAAGTGTCTGACCTTGACACTGCGACTGCCCAAATAATAGTATCGGGAACGCTCGCACCGGAAACTAGTGATGGCGAAGAGCCAGGCTCGAGATGAAGAAATTAATCACCTAGTCCTTCATTTCGGGAACGTTGAAGCTTGAGACAGAAAACTGCACGATACGACAGCTCGAGATTTTCCATGGCAGGCTGTTCATATCAACCACGATTGACGGCATGGTTGCCCGTCAGGCATATGACTTGAATGTATCCGTACGAGCACGAGTCATAATTGTCTTTGTCGGAATGTTATTAGAGTTTTCCTCAAAGTTGATGGGCCAGTGGCGCACAGTCTCTGGGGTGAAGCCGGGGTAGCGTGGTGATGCGCAGACAAGTGTTCGTTCGGATGAATGGAAGGTTGAAATGGGTAAAAACCGGTGCTTCCACCAAACCATTTGGACCACCCTAAGTAATCATTCGAGCCAAAGACATGGCTGACGGCCGCGACATTGGTTGCTTCAAAGTTCCGGGGGCACTAGTTGGCTCTACAGGCACGCCCCGCCGTCTTCCCCAGTTACTAAAACGATTGTGATGGAATTATGCCGTGCCGCTGGGCCGTGGCTAGAGAGAGTAAACAATTGGTCATGACAAAAGTATTTGTAAATGAAGCACTAGTTGCGGAATGCAACTAGAAAGGGAGGGGGGCAGTTGGGGAAGAGGGTCACGGGTCAGTTGTGTTTCTGCCAATAGTTACTTTCCGGACTCGGGGATATGAACGGCTTGATCGGCGCCCATTCTTTTTCTGCAATGACGGTGAGTGTCTGTCATCCTTGCCGCAATTACCGACAGGATGGTTATTAATTTAGGGTCGAGTTCTGTACATGGATTGTTAGTTTAGACTACAACTCGGGGTCCGTCCGAGGCGGTGCTGTCGAGCAGCACGGTACCTCTGCATGTTATATTGGATATGTATTTGCTAATACAATTCTAATCAAGGGCTGTCTGTATAGTGGCATAGTATCAACAAGTTCCGGCAAGTCGAGTTAGGCCGAACGGGGCGGCGAAGAAAACACACGAGACAGACAGCAGCAAAGGGTTGACCAGTAACTATGGATACTAATAAATACCAGTACAGAACAGATGTGTACCTAGTTATTAGTTATTAATGAATACATGCATACTATTAGGTCCTTGCATGTAGTTACTGAGCTACGGATGGTGAGTCGGAACCAGAAGCGCCCTTCCCACTTCCCCACCTTGGAAGCTGGGGGGCTGCGGAATTAACAATCAACTCAACTCCGTCACGAGCCTTTCTGTTTCCCTGCCTGGCCTGACAGCTCCGGCAAGTCATCTGGATTTTCCCTGGGGCGCGCCAAGCTCTGATAATCTCCCCGCGACTCATCGTTTTGTCCACTGTACTGTCCACTGTACTGTCCACTCGAGTATCCGCACTGTAACCAGTATGGAGCAGTTGAACGCGCATCCCCCCCCCCTCCGGGGCTCCGTACTCGGTCGAATATATTGGATTTCAGATCTGCCGGTGCCGCAAGGTTCGACGACGCGCAGCCACGTGTTGAGAACGGAGAGATGGACAAGGCCGAACGAACGAACAATCCGCGAAACACGACTGGGGTGGTGCGGACGCAGGACGACGCGGCTGCGACGGACGGGAAACAGCCAGCTCTGGTTATGCACCGCCGATGGTCCCCTGGTTGGCCGCGAAATCTGGTGGTGGTGACAAGTTATGGCTGCGAGGGTTTGTCTGCAGCCAGACCGCCCCTCGATGAAAATCTGCATGCAGAAAGCGACTGTAACGGTGGCCGACTCAGCTGGGCCACAACGAACTAGTTGGCGGAGCAGAGGTCCGTCTCCCCTGCCTGCCCTTGTTGCTCGGCTGATAGAGCAGAGTTGGCCCAGTTGATCCTTTTGGTCGGGGGGCTCAACGGCGCGCCTCAGCATCTCAATTATTATACCCAGCTCCGCCCGCTCGTCCGACTACGAAGTGCCATGGAGCCACGAGAAGCCATGGTGTGGAGGAAAACCAGTCAATCCCCTGCTCCGGCTGGCTGAAACCTTGACTCTGCCTACCACCACCACCATACCCGGCGATCGGTGGCCCGATACCACTCACCTTTGGCCTCTTTTTCTGGTTCTTGGCAAAGGAAAGCAAAACAGGTGCCAGAAAGTGCATACTCCACTTGCCTTGCAGCGCTGCATATTCTTCTTCTTTTGGCAAAAGCTGGGCTCCAGGGGTCACCAGGCCCTGCACTTCCTGCATGACCCCCCGGCAGCCCGGCTCTTGTCGCAAGCTCGGCAACGCGAAATTCAAGCAGTCGGCCAACAGCCTGGATAAACTCAGAAACAAGAAAGGGAAAAAAAAAAAGGAAAAAATGAGCCATGAAATGGTTTCAGTTTTGGGCTCTGAGCTGCGCCCTTGGGACGGTCCCCAGGGCAGCCACGTTTTCCCCCTGCAACCATGATTTGATTTTCCTAGATCGTGAAGTGATGAAATGAGTTAGTGCGGAGAGGGAAGCTAGACACGGGCAGAAGAGCGCCCGACAGAACAAGTGCAAAGCACCATTCCGCTAGTTGGGACAACCATGTTTTAGTCGGGCGAGCTGCCCATCGTTAGCAGGTCGTTAGCCGTCGTTAGCGGAACGCCATAGTGAATGCATGACGAGTGGAAAGCCAAGTTCGATTTCCCCGCAGAAGGCGAATGAGGAGGTGGCGGTCGGAGGGTTGGCTCGGGGGAGGGACAGGATCTTGGTGGTGTTGTTGAACCGTGTTAGTCTCCGTGTATCCGTACCCAAGATCCAAAAGCATGTCATCCGAGTGACAAGACGGCGGCCTCGGGGATAGGACCCGGACATTCTTTTTGTCTCTGCCGTCGGTCAAGATTGCAGTGTTGCAAAGAGGCCTGCCGTCTTGAGTGCGTGCAGTTGCAACCCGGTGATGCAATCAGAGACACGCATTTAATCATGGAGGAGTCCTCGCTCATCGCCGACCTCTATTATTACGAAATATCAGACAAGAAAAAGCGTGGGCATGGGTGTATAATGCTCTTCCGGGTCAGCAAGGCAAAGCAATTTATCGAGATTATCATTCTTTTTTTTTTGGCCTTCCCCCTCGTTGTACCCCAGACTCGCTAAAACGACAGCAGGAAACCGAAAGTGTTTCGCTTCGCCGTTCGAACGCCAAAACGTGCAGCTCTCAACTCAGTCTTGAGCCCTTTTGGTCTGGCATTGATTGAGCTACTGCCCACAGCCGCAATCGAACAAGGGGGGGGGGACTGCAGAACGCTGATGGAATTGCGGCATGAACATTCTTTGGTCAATAATTCCGCGGGCCATTTTGACATGGAAGAAGCTTGCTCGCCGTGTCTGGGCGCCGAGAGAAAAAAGGCACGGCAGAGGGCCGAAATTGATTTGTGATACGGCCTTGGCAAGCCGCGATCGTGCAAAGGCGTTGAGCCAAGAAATTTGGTGTATTTTCTTCTTGTTCAGATGGCGGTGGCGTCCGGAAATGGCGCACAGAAGTCTCTCGACTCATTCTATCGGCCGGGTTCGAACGTCGGGGGACAAAAAGGCCACTGGAGGGCGAAATTGCTTCTCAACGACCCGTCCGTTCGGGTTGCCGTGGGATTAGCTATTATTAAGCTCGTTCCGCACGCGCCAGGGTCTGTTACTTTTATTCGTTTACCGACCAGTACGAATCCTGTGTAGCCATGATCCTTGTCGCAACTGGTAGGCGTACAAGACTAGGATAGGTAGTGTACTGAACAAGTGTAATTCGTACAACGCACCAAAAACCTCGATATCGTATTTTCGCTGAAGCGAGCGTGTACTACAAAGTATACTTCTATCCGTGAGCAAATAAGTTCCGTTTGGCAACAAACAGCGTGGGTTCGACTTACAAAAGTCGTAACGAAGCTCCAACAGGACCGGACTGTTCACTCGGCACAGCGCAAGGGCGAGGCTTTGGCCAGCATCAAGCAGACTGACAGGAGCGCCGTGGTGCTGCTCCAAAATAAAAAACGATCATCGTTGGGTCCTTTAAGTGAGTATTGCAAGGGGGGGACCCTGGCAAGCCGGGCCCGGGGGTCTTCTGCCACCCGCGGCCGATATTTTTTTGGGCTTCGGCGTTCCGCGCAAGGTTTTTGAAGCAGTTTGCTTTTTTTCTTTTTTTTTCCTACTTTCAAGTTCCAGATCAGCTACAGCCCGCGTACGGATACGTCAATTGTAGTCGTGATGGTGATCAAACTCGCCGCCATTGGCATCACGTCGGCCATGGACCTTGAGAGGGGAGAGTAAAAGTCGATTGTTCGGCAACGGCTGCTTGCATTCTACTCTCGTCATCTTCCGCGATCCACGATGCAGGATAACTGGACGCGGCCCTGAGCATAACCGCCATGTGGCTTTGGCTCACCCCTCCCAGGGCCTTGTCCCTTGGCATTAAAGCAGCAATTGTATTCCGCGATACAACCCATCATCAGTCTCTTTCCTTCATCCTCTTGTACGTACCAGTTATTCCAGCATACAGATTAGTGGACTCGATAATTAGTAGTTCACCCCCCACCCACCCCCGGCTTCCGCACGCACGCCGCCGCCGCCGCATCACCACACGCCCCCTTTTTAGCTCCAGCCGCGCCATTCGGTCCATTGCCATTCCACCTACTGGGTAGCTTTGTGTCGGCCCCATAATGCAGACAGGGCTTGTCTTGCCGTGACCGTACGGAGTACATACTGGTCCTGGTAAACTACTGGTGGCCTGGTACACAGGACTGTCTGCTGCTTCCTCGTTCCGGCGCGCTTGCCCCAGTGCCTGCTTTTTTCTTTTTTTTTCTCTTTTTTTTTCTGGAGCCCGTCTGCCGTTGGGGTCGGCCCATGGACGAATGGATATCCAGATAGATGACGGTCCGTCTGGGGTTCCCCCTCACATCATAGCACGCAACCTTATTATAAGAGGCGAGCTCTCCCCCACCCCCTTCGAACATGCTTCTTCACCTGTTCAGACTGGCATAAACTCGTTGGTGCTTCCAGGATCAGCCAATCTTCTCGTCCTCTTCTCGACACCTCTCCCCTACTCGGTTCCCGCCAAAAACACCCGTCCCTCTACCACGCCGTCGTCATCATGTCTGCTCCCAACGCCGCCGTGACCAGCGCTGCTGAAAAGGATGTCGCGCCCAACGGTGCCGCCCAGCACTTGCGTTACCAGCACCCTACCTACCGGGCCATGCTCGAAGGCCAGGACACCCAGGCCTTTGGCGGCGCTCTGCAGGTCGGAAACTGGCAGCCGTACGAGCACCGCAAGCTGGCCAACCCTGCGCCGCTGGGCCTGTCGGCTTTCGCCCTCACCACCTTTGTCCTCTCTGCCCTGAACATGCACACCCGTGACACCGCCGCGCCCAACATTGTCCTCTCCCTGGCCTTCGGATACGGCGGTCTTGTCCAGCTTCTCGCTGGCATGTGGTACGTCTGTCGACCTGTGACGCTTGTCGCTGCTCCTTCGGCCGCGAGCTTGACCCCAGCTCGCTCCAAGCGCAGTCGGCGCCTTTTTTATGCATCCTAGCTTGCTAATCACCCATCACAGGGAAATGGCCACGGGCAATACCTTTGGTGCTACCGCCCTGTCGTCCTACGGTGGTTTCTGGCTGTCCTACGCCATCATCCTCACCCCCGGTTTCCATGTTCTAGACGAATACACCAAGCCCCAGGTCGCCAACGTTTTGGGCTTCTACCTCTTCGGCTGGTTCATCTTCACCACGCTCCTTGTTCTTTGCACCCTCCGCTCGACAGTCGCGCTTTTCCTATTGTTCTTCACACTAGACCTCGCTTTCCTTTTCCTCGCCAGCGAGCAGATGGCCACCAACATGGGCAACGCCACCGCCGCTCTCGCCCTTCAAAAGACCGGTGGTCTCTTTGGCTTCCTCGCTGCCTTTCTCGCCTGGTACAACGCCCTGGCCGGAATCCAGGACAGCTCGTACGTCTTTGCTACCTTTTCACCCGCCACTAACCACAAGCTAACCGTCTTGACAGCAACTCCTTTTTCCAGGTTCCCGTCATTCACTTCCCCTGGTCCGACCACGCCCATGAGCTGCGCAAGCAGAAGAGTGCCGAGCACCAAGCTTGAGCTGGTTAGCGCATATACGACATGCGATCCCGTGCTACTATGCTCTGTCATTTAAGCCCGAGCATTCAGGGCACCCAGTATAGTCGGCCCTGTTTGTGGTCTGATTGGTGCGATTGCTTAAGGAGTGAAGGATGGATGATACCAATGATACCTAAACTGTTTGCAAATAGTGTTTTTTTTTCAATGTCCTTTTTGCGAGGGTCATCACTCTATTAATATCTTAGGCGGCATACGTCACTAATCCAAAGAAGACCGAAAATAAATAAGATAAAAAAATAAGAAATACCAACGATGTTCTTGATATCAAGCTCAAGAACATCAACAAAGCCGAAATGTAAGACCCATACACGTGTTGATGCCAGATTCAAGGTTAATTTTGCACCTTACAACCTCGTATTTGGCCGTCTCATAAATTCGTAGCGCTTCCTCTTCTTCACGAGACTTTACCCAGTACACCTTGCCCTCCACTTGATCATGTTGAAAGCTATTCACCAAGCCTAGATATTTATTCGCCCAGGTCGAAAGAGCCGCTCCCGAAACCATGGCTGATTCGTATTCAATACTGCCCTCGTCCGAAACTCCAATAACGCGGGCGAGAACGGCGCGGTCGGCCAGTGTGCCGTAGAAGAAATACGGAACAGGGTATTCATTCTGGGCCGGCCGAAAGTACTCGGTAGACGTCTCTGCACGGTATTGGGGAAGAGTCGATTCGATTCCAAGTGTTGGATATCTGGAAATATCGGAGAGCTTCTTCGTGGCGATAGAGACTCGGATAAAGGATGGCCGAAAGTGGACACTATCCGATAGAACAAGATTGCTTTGAAGAAGATTCTTCATTTGTGAAGTCATATAGCAGAATTTCACAGAATTGCCGTCATCGTCTACTCCAGAGACAACTTCGAGCCTGTCGGTATTTAAAAGTTGTTGGATTGTGTGTAGGCTGGGCAGTGTGTCGTGGATTCGGAGCAAATACATGCCATTGTCGTCCGTTTTGGTGGCGTTTCCTCGCTCAAACTTCCGGCCATGGGCTAAGCTGAACTCGTAAGATTCCTTGCTGAATCCAGACGCAAAATCCGAGTCTTTAATCAAGTCCCAAGCGCTCTGAGATAGGGAGTCACGGCCAAAGTCCAGACGCCAGTTGGAAATTTCCTCGATGGCTTCGGCACGGGTTAATTTGAACAAACACCGCCAGTGTTCAATGTCTGCATCGGATATTTGGAGATCAGAAGCACTGGTGGCATTGAATTCGAGAACATTAGACGCCAGGCTTTCGCAAGCGCTCAAGAGATCCATGTTTACTGAGTAGTCGTGGTTGCGCTGTGAGTTGTACTGATGATAAGGAGGATGCGGAGGATGCGGAGGATGTGAAGGAGTAAAAGTTAAAATGGAAGATTGAAGCTGAGGTAAAAGTAAATTCGATTATATTCCTATTTTCCTATTTTTTTTTCTTGCGTCGAATAAGCTTTGCAGCAGCGCTTAGTCGCGCTCCAGGCACCCTTTCGACCTACATTCTTACCCCCACGAGCAAGCATATTTTGCAGGAATGATGCGACAACTTCGTATGCATTGAAACATGGTGTTCTTGACGTATGAGATTGTGGATGAGGATCTGTACCACTTTGAGTGCCAAGTTAAGTGCTGGTGTATATACTTTGCTGCCTGCCCAAGCCAGGGGAGTTTCATAGGAAATACGAGCGTTTAGATATTTTGTACATATTTAATTCAAGAACTCTCAAGTCTAGGTTTCTCTCTCCGCGAGTGACTTTGAGTCCTATTATTTGTGTATTGAGAGTTGTATAAAGCTCCTGCGGACGAAGGTGCTATCTGTAAACCTTCTCAGAGGGAGCGCCCTACCCTACAGAGAACCCAATTACCTTACCACTGACATTAACTTCTCCCCATCTATCTCTCTTGTCTTCCGTGTTTTCTTTATATGTTTCTTTCGAAATATAATTGTTGCGCATCCTTTTTTGTCCTATTTGGTTCCCACTTAGTGCTTACGGCCCAATGCTTATATGGCGGCTAAGTCCTCAACACTGAACATCACCTGATTGGGGCCGGCCATCGTGGCTCACTATAGGTATTCCAAATATACGGAAACAACAGTGAACTAAACGAACGATAAGAAGGCAGCTATCTTATAACAATGTTAGAGAAACGTCCTTCCTGTCAACTACATGCCTATAATCTGTAGCTAATTCAACAACCGTGGAACCTTTGGCGTTGTTCCACAATCTGACGGTGCGAATGCTAATTGCATTCCGCAATGCACATCCGATTCAGCCAAGACTTGCCTGACAACGTTGTGTCCGGGGATAATGGTAGTCTTTATCTGGAATTGAAGGTCAAAGGCTGTTCAGAAGAGATGCCGACCTTGAAAACAAGGCAAATCAGCACTGGGCGGAGCTAAAGTGTCTGAAATTGGCCCTTTGAAATTAAGGTGCAGCAAGGAGTGCCTTGCCCCAATTATGGTGAGACTTTGGCGTTGGCTCTCCAACCAATGAGCTGTTGTTGGCGCCAGAGTTTTCTGGAGTTTTGCTGGGAAATGGCCCTGGCCTTGCTGACGGGATGTGCGGGAGAGAGTTTCTCGTAAACACACTAGGAGTCGCCAAGCAGTGCAGCTGGTTGCATCCATAGTTAGCCGCAACTACACTTCTGCTGTGAACATGTCAAGCCAACTATCAGCATATCATGTTTACCCGCATGATTGGTCCCTTGTTTAACAAAAGCAGTTGAAGTTTACGTCTTTGCGGGCCCGGTTTCGCTTGGTCATGACTAGTAAAGAGCCTCGCCGTCATCTCTGTTGAACAAAGCATGTCAAACTGGAGACGTTCATCTTGGTAGCGCCGTCCGTGACACGACAATCTCGGGCCCAGCCTTATTGGGACAGAGAAACATCATGCTCTCCGTGGAGAACATGTGACAAGCATTATGTTCCTCTACCCCAATCCCAGCTCCCACGAGGCTTCCGCATCGACTTGCAACCTCTGACAAACTCAGTACCGAAACATACTTCGTTATACCGTCCTCTTCGCCAACGAATGCCGAGATAACGATTCGAACCTTGGTAGACCCTGTAAGATCTGCGACAATGTCGTCCAAATCCACCGCGACCAAAAAACCCACGAGCACATCAACGCTCCCCCCTCTACACAGCTTCCCATCAACATGGACGGCACCAGAGTCATGCTTCGCAAGCACCAACTACTACCGAGTACTCTACGCCGACGGCGGTGGCAGGTTCGTGAGCAACATGTACGGCACGCCGACGCCCGTCTTCACCGGAAACACACCCTCGGGCGACTGCTTCCCTCCTTCCTTTACCATCAACGTGCCATACCTCACGGATGGGAGCGCCTGTCCCGCCGGCTACACCCGCGCCTGTGCGACAGCAGGATCTGCAAAGGCAGGCGAGTCAGCGGCTGTTAGCACCTTCACGTGTTGTCCCAGGTTAGTCTTGGACATTCATCAAGGTTGAGAGTCGCGATAAAAAAATCTAACAGTATCAGTGTTACTGGTAATGCATTCTCCTTCATGTGCAAGGATAACCAATACGGTTGCCACGCTACTGCGGCCTCGGGCGGCATCGTTTGGACGGGAGTCATCACAGACCTAGGCGTCACACCGGCCACGGAGTCACCAGTGACACGCACACCATCGACGAATGAGGGTATTGAAGCTTGGGGGATCAAGTTTCTCTCGGTACGTGAAGTGCGGCTGCTCATGCCTTGCTGCTTCGACATGTCCTAATCCGTCTCATCTGTGTAGGTTGCACCGGGGTCAACCGCCACGAGTATTCCCACTCCGAGTCAGAATGCGAGCGACACGGAAAACCAGGGGACACAATCTGCAGACAGTTCAGCGAGCCACGGGAGTCTATCAGGCGGCGCAATCGCCGGTATTGTTGTTGGAAGCATTGCTGGTGTTGCGCTCCTCGCCGTCGGCGCGTTCCTGCTGTACCGCAGAAAGAAGTCTCCCGGGCCGCAATATTATTCTCCCGCTCCTGGTAAATACCCCAACCAACCCGGAAATGATCCCATATACCAGCCGAGTTCTCCCTCACCCGGACCCGGCCAGATGGGCTCAAGCTACCAACCCAGCGAGATGGAAGCGACGTCGCACACGCAGACACGCCCTCAGCAAGCGCCCGTTGAACTGAGTGCATAAAGACGAGTTTGGAAGTTTTACTTATATATTTATCCGCATTTTATGGGGTGACATGATTGAATTGGGGTAAGAGATGGAGGAAGCATATATTCGGATCATAATTCGCGTTGAGTATTTTTGTTGGCTTTTGTGAGTAAAGTCTGGTTCTTGTGACAGCCGAATTTGGGTATCCTTGAACTTAGCTAATTATGCGATACGTTCCAATAGCTCGTAATTTGAATTGTGACTGTTGTGCATCTCGTACAGCAGCCGAATTCCGGGTCTATGTATTCGCCCTCCGTTATGGGAACAGGCCGGTTTCTTGTTTTATTTGTATTTATTTTATTTTTTCAATAAAACGCCGAGAGATATAGGTAGATGCCCTCTCGTGTATGTATAACGGATTATCTACCACTTCTGGTACAGCCAGCCAGAGATCCATCCTCATGCACACCTCCTCCCGGTAAGGTCCCACTACAAGGTCTCGAATTTATTCATCTCGAGTCCACGGCGAGGGTCTGTCGTCGCATCTCCATGTCTCACCTTACTAGTAGAGGAGAGGCTTTTTGCACTGCGGATCAACGAGCATCTGGCGGAAGCGGACTGCTTCCTCCAGACGAGAATGCAGGACAGTGGCGTGGAAGTAAGTCGTTCGGTCCGAGGCACAGCTTTACAAAGAGAGAATGCATATTTCCTAAACAAAATGGTAGCATATGCAAGGGCCTGCATGCATTAACTATGTAGGAGCCATCATCAATGCTTTGTGTAATCTGTACTTGTCAAGCTGCCAGGCACCAAGACACGTGAATTGGCGTTGAGTGCGAGACGCGCCATCGCGTCCCCGCAAAAGGTAACGGCTCACGCACCTCGACACAACATCATGGCGGTCCATTAAGCAAGAGGCGCTAGCAGTTATTGAGCCGTTGCCATGTGGCTGCTGGAGAATGAAGAGGCTTTCCAGGGTACGGACATACTTCAAAGGACATATTCTGTTGGGTGCTAATTGCGATGCCAGGTCGCCGGCTGTGGTTGCGCCCAGGAAAGACGTATCTGTTTGGACGCACGGTGGCCGAAGGTGATGACTGACTTTCAATCACGCTGATAGTTGGCTGATACTAATGCCAAAACAGCCGGTCAACTAGCAATCTCGCACAATACGATTTCCCGCAAACATCTCACCATCACCATCGACCGCGTCGGCGACGGCGACGCCCTGCACCCATCTCGGCGCTCCAAAATCACAATCGAGGACCTCGCGACTAAAATCGGTACCGTAGTCAATGGGAAGAAGCTGAAAGGCACAAAATACGTCGTCGAAAATGGCCAGGATGTCGAGATGACGATGGGAAAATGCCCCAACAAGTTTCGGTATCTCTTCCACATTCCCGATTGGTTGCGTCGCTAACCCAATTCTGACAGCCTGACTTGGAAACTGGTCGCATTGACCTTTTCTTTTTCCAGCAAGGAACTCCAGGCGAAGCCGATCAACGCCCTTCAATCACGACTGGAGCAGCTCGACATAAAACTGCTAGTCGACTACAACGTAGACTTTACGACGCATGTTGTGGCCAAGAAGCGCAACACAGCCAAGGGTCTCCAAGCACTGATCAATGGACGATTTATCGTCACAGAGTCGTTTCTAGATGCAGTAACACAGGCCGCGGACCCAGTTGACGATGGGAATGGCTCACAGACATGCGCCTTGGAGCAAAATTTCGACGAGTCATGGCCGGATCCCATGAAGCACCTGCCACCTCGTGGTGGTGAGCCGTTTGAACATCCCGACGAAATCTACACACCAGACCCGGGTAGATTAGATCTTTTTGACGGATACACCTTCATATTTTATGATGCGACGCAATATAACAACTTGCTCGCTCCCATAACGAATGGAGGAGGCAAAGCTTTGGTTGAAATAGTCAAACCTGGCGAGACCTCGTCTGATGACTTTGTCCGATACGTCAAGGGGGTAGCTGGCGAAAAAGGTCTTGGCAGCTTTAATGATGGAAGTGAAGGTAAAGGTGTTGTGGTTGTGCGATATCTGCCAACAAAGGGTGAGCATGTGCCGTGGTACACAGATTTCATTACAACCGTCTCTCTAAGGCTAGATCACCGCCCTATCGAGCAAAATGAGTTCCTCGAGGCTATCTTGATCAAAGATGCCAGCATGCTTCGCCGGCCACTCGAGGTAGAAGAGCAATCAGGAACATCGGCGATCCCATCGCAAGCTCCCCAGTCTTTGGGCGATTCTTCCTCTGCCGCTGCCGCTCCTGCTGCCGGTCCCTCTGCCGCAGTTGAAGCAGAACCCACTACCAGAAGGCCTAGAATGCGGAAGCCGGTGAAAAGGCGCTTTGCGGGGTTTGATGATGGCTCAGACATCGACATGGACGAGGTAAAACCGCCGGCTGTGCAAGCAATTCCGCCAAATGACGTTGTGGAAGAAAGTGGCTTGTTTGTCTCGCAAGAACCTGACCACCCCCCTGAGGATCACTCAACCATCACACAGAAGAGAAGTGCACCCGCGGAAGATGATCTTATGGAAGGGATGGCGCCAGCCGCGGCCAGATTCAAGCGACAAAGAATAGCTATGGGTAACAACTTTGCGTCGGAAGCCCAAGAAATGCCTCCACCAGAGCCACCAAAGCCCATCAAGAAGGAGAAGAGGGAAATAAATATCCTCGCCGAGGCTGCCAGGCACCGTCAGGAGCAGGAGGCTCGCGCAAGAGCGGAGCAAGAGGATCTCGCGCAGCTGCCCGACGACATTGACCTTGCAGAGATTCGACGACTGAATATTGTCGAGGAGATTGAGCTCCGCAAACCCGAGAGCACAATGCGCTCTAGAGATCAGGATGTTGCTGATGGTCGCTGGAATCCGAAATGGAACGGCATCCAGAACTTTAAAAAGTTTCGGCGCCGGGGCGAAGTAGTTGGGAGGCAGCCCGCCCGGACAATCATTGCCGTTGACGAAGTACAGAGTAAGAAATTCGGCGTGGGAGACAACTACTGGCTTGAGGAGGAAACAGCGCCACGTTCAAACTTGGGCACCAGATTGCAGTCAGCGCTTCGAGAAGACTCGCCGCCGCCCATTTCAAGAATACCTAGCGGTCTCGGTCGGAACACGCACAAGGGTAGCGAAACGCCTGCCAATGTCAATGAGGGCGGCGATTCCGAAGACGCAGAAGAGGAGGCAGACTCCCAGCCACCACGCGGCTCCTATGGGCGGAGGACTGCCGCTCAGGGGACCGCCGGCTCCGGAGGCAGCCGCAGCCAGTCGTCGGCGCAAACGTCGCAGAGCTTGGGTAAGCGAGCAGCAGCCAGCACACTCTCTGGCCAGTCGTCAAAACGGCAGCGGCTACCACCGCAGCCTATCCAGGTGGACGACAGTGAAGATGACAGTGACGATGAGCTCAAGTTCCGGTTTGGCAGGAGACGTTGAGGGCATGCTATGGTGACTAGCGCACACGAAATAATCTATAATTTCAAAGTCACGACGCACCGCACGTTGATGTACATGATGAAAGAAACACGGTTCTATAACTGGGGGTATCTCTTCTATTCTGATTGAAATTGCCCGTGCGACGCGAAAGCAGTACGCCAGGAGCTTTCCGTCTAACCAAAACGCCCAATATATATACATGCAAAGTTGTACCAGTGGCAGAGCTGCTTAATCCATCGCTTCCATGTCGCTCTGCGGCGGGCCAGCGGAAGGCTCGGGCTCGTCGACCAGGATGCCGACCAAGCACGCCGTCAGCATGTTCTCGTAGTTGACCCAGGGGTGGACCTCGCCAAACAGGCGGGTGCCGTCGCGCGCGGCGCCGCGCATGAGCTCCGGGATGCCGCCCGGGTGAAACTTGGCGTACGGGGTGACGTTGTAGACCTTGCCGCTGAGGGCCATCCAGGCGTCCTTGCCCTTGCGGCCCGTCTGGCGGCGGAGCATGGACGGGGTGACGCGCAGGTACGGGGTCGACGCGTCGACGCCGCGCAGGTCGGCGCTGGGGCCGCCTGATAGGCGCGCCCAGTCGAGCGGCGAGTGGCCGGGCTCGAGCGTGACCTGCCGGCTCGGCTTGGAGGGCATCGACGTGTGCGTGGGCGGCGGGGCGAGGCCGCCGCCGGTGATGGAGGAGGAGGAGGATGGACGGCCGCGGTTGGGGACGGGCCCGCGCGCGCGCTGGGCCGAGTTGGCGGCGGGGAACTGGCCGAGCGTGGGAGGACGCGCGGGCGCAGAGAGTCGCGGTGGCGGGGGAGGCATCATGGACGAGGCCGATGCGGAGGATGATGTGGAAGCGGTTGGTCGAGGTGGCGGCGGCATCGACTCGGTCGAGAGGGAAAAGGTCGGCGGCGGCAGCGGCATGCTTGCAACTGGCTGCATGGCCTTTGCTTTCGGCGTCGTTGGAGACTCGGGCTCCTCGTCTTGCCCGACGGCGATGAAAGGTAGTTGCCCAATGGTGAGCGTCGGTATCGGCGGCGGCGGCGGCGCGGCGCGATCGGCCTCGTGGGGCTCTACCATGGTCGGGGCGGCCGGTGCTAGCGGCGGAGGAAGAGTTGGCGGTGTCCGTTTCGACTGGTCTTGTTCGTCGCGCCGGCGCGCATCAGATATCGTGGCCGGACTGCGCCGCAGCCACGAGAGGAGCGTGGATGGGAGCCATGACGGCGGGCGGATGATGACGTAGACAACAGAGGCGACGAGGAGGGACAGACCGATGAGGCCCATGGTACAAAAAGAAAGTGCGCGCACTTGGAAAGAAGAAGACGACGAAGAGGCTGAAAAGGAGAGGCTAACGGCACAGAGGCGCGTTGAAGAGAGGGTTTGCGGCAAAAGGGTCGGTTTCTGGTGATGGATGGGGGAAGGGTGGGAGATTTTTAGCAGGAGCTGACATTTGCTGCGACCTGGCTGTTGGTGGGGTGCGCGATACGGAGGGTTTAACACCAGTGAATATATATCTATATATATATGGGTGATTTAAATTCTCTTCTTTATTCAAACCTCGTTTATTGCTCTACTACATCGTCTGGCTATCTTTTATTTGTCATTTTCGTTGATGTGCTTAATTTACCTGCTATGCGTATTTCACATTCATCGTTCATGCGTAGAGCAGGTAACGGAGAGGCCTCTCGTCGTTGAATTGGCTCCATGGAATTAATTGACCAGTCGGGTTGATTCAAAAGGAATGAGAAATTGCGCAAGTTGACTACGGCAGAAAACGAACGAAAATAAAGTAAAAATAGAAAACAAATGGAGAATAAATGGGAAAAGCCTCAAATACGAAACTGGTCTCTAATCGCTGCTTCCGGGCGCTAACAACGAGGTCAGTCTGCTCTCTCAGCTACGCGAGTTGTATTAATTCGTATTTTAATTCACAATTTGAAACAAGCTAGATATGATGACAACTTCACTGTAGCATCAGGGATTAAGCCACCTCGATCCATAAACCCACTACCTATGTGTGTTGAATAGGAGCAGTTCCGTGTCCGGCTCGGCCAGCGGCTGGGTTGGTTGTTCCGCATCTCGGTCAAGTGCAGAAGTACTTTTTACCATTCAAGCTTGTCCAACGGGGTTGCCTAGTTATAGCGGACAAGGAGCGGGAGCGGACGACGGGTTGCGTGCCCGGCCCTGTCGCACGGTCAAGATGGTGGTGATCAGAGAGGGGCTACATAGTAGTAGTAGCTAGCGCTGTCCAAAGTGATGGATCACGCTGGTCTAATACATACAGTAGGTGATATTCTTTAGCAGAATTGGTCCTGAATGGCAGCCATCTCCCGTATATAGAGCCCAACCCCTTTTGTATGGCACAGCCACTGACGCGGATACTTGGCGATCCACGAGGAACCAAGACACGTAGCGGAGGTGACAGAGACCAGCCTTTGCAACCTCGAAACAACAATGAACATGTTAGTTAATAATTCATTAATGCACTCGCCCCCCTTGATACTCCGCTCGCCGCAAGCCCACCCGGGGTAGCTGCAGTTGAATGAGGGGAACTGAGGGGTCACGAACAAGAACAAGCCCTTCGGCAAGCTTCTGCCTCGGCTTCTAAGCTAGATCAGGCCAAGCAAGCTGTCTTCCTCGTTGAGCTGCGGCTGCGGCAGCTCCACCGCCCAAGTATATAGTCGTGGTACATGGGTCTCTATATATTAATATATACTGGGTAATAACCAACGAGACACGGGCGGACAAGAGGTTAGTTTCCGAGTTTTTTCTACTTCATGGGCTGATCATCTCTTGTTCTTGGACATTTGCCGTATTTTTTTCGGTTCTCTTCTTTACTGATTATTCCTCAAACGTTGCGAGAGTTGATTGTCGACTCAACCATCCAACCCCGGCTCACCTTGAGCCTCTCACCTGCGCCTGTCTCACTCGCCTTGCCAGGGGAAACAAGTTTTGCCCGCTTCCTATTCGCCGCCATGTCTTGTACGTACTCTGGAGACAAACCCTTTTTGTCCCCTTTGTCCTTTTGTCTGACCCATCCCAGCCGTGCCCCTCGCCATCGCCGTCCCCGCGGCCGTCGGCGCCGCCGCCTACCTCAACGCCCGCTCGTCCTTTTGGTACGACGCGCTGATGCTCGGCGGTATCCTCCGGGGCGTCGCCGGCATCGTCTACGGCGGCTGGGCCGACCGCCTCAACCTGTTTTACGCCCTCGAGGCCCGCGCCACCAGCCCCAGCCACGCCGACAAGACGCTGCTGCTCCTTGACGGCGCCGGCGCCGCCTACAGCTACCGCCAGCTCTACGACGGCGTGCTGCGCTACGGCGCCTACCTGCGCGCCCACCTCGGCGTCCGGCCCGGCGACGTCGTCGCCCTCGACTTTCAGAACTCGGACACCTTTATCCTCCTCTGGTGGGGGCTCTGGAGCATCGGCGCCAAGCCCGCCTTTATCAACTACAACCTCACCAGCGCGCCCCTCGCCCACTGCGTCAAGTCGTCCACCGCCAAGGTCTGTCTGGTCGACCCGGCCGTCGCCCGTCACTTTGACGACGAGCTTGTGCGCCGCGAGACGCCCGGCGTCCAGATTGTCGTCTTTGGCGAGGAGCGCCAGGGCGCGGCGCGCTCGTCCGAGGCGGTGCGTCGGCCGGACAGCGACCGCTCCGACAAGGCGTCTGGCAGCATGGGCATCCTCATCTTCACATCAGGCACCACCGGCCTCCCCAAGGCCGCCATTGTCTCCTGGGCCAAGCTCATCGTCAGCTCCAAGTTCAGCGTCAATTTTCTAGGACGAGGCAACGACATCATGTACACGGTAAGACGCTCATCGCCCCCACGTCCGGTGCTTCTATTCCTACAAGAAACGAGCTAACAAACGCGGGCAGTGTATGCCTCTATACCATGCCTCGGCCTCGATGCTTGGCTTCTGCGCCACCGTCATTGGCGGGAGCACCCTCGCGCTCGGCCGCAAGTTCTCGACCAAGACCTTTTGGCCCGAGGTGCGCGCGTCCAACGCCACCATGATCCAGTACGTCGGCGAGACGCTGCGGTACCTCCTGGCCGCGCCGCCGCAGCGGGACCCCGTGACCGGCGCCGACCTCGACAAGGCGCATTGCGTCCGCATCGCGTTTGGCAACGGGCTGCGGCCCGACGTGTGGAAGCGCTTCCAGGAGCGCTTCGGCGTCGACACCATTGCCGAGTTTTACGGCGCCACCGAGGGCACGCTCGCCACCTGGAACCTGTCGAGCAACGACTACGGCGTCGGCGCCATCGGCCGCGCCGGCTGGCTCCTGCGCACCCTCGTCGGCCGCGACACGGCCCTCGCCGAGATGGACTGGGCCGCCGACGCACCCGCCCGGGACCCGGCCACGGGCCTGTGCCGCCTCGCCGGGCCCAACACGTCGGGCGAGATGCTGTTCCGCCTCCCCGACGGGCCCGACGACCTCGAGGCCCGCTTCCAGGGCTACTTCAACGACAAGCAGGCCACGCACGCCAAGATCCTCCGCGACGTCTTCCGCAAAGGCGACGCCTGGTTCCGCACCGGCGACGTGCTGCAGCAAAACGGCGACGGCCTGCTCTTCTTCATGGACCGCATCGGCGACACGTTTCGCTGGAAGTCGGAAAACGTGTCTACCGCCGAGGTCAGCCAGGTCATGGGCCTGCACCCTGCCGTGCGCGAGGCCAACGTCTACGGCATTGAGCTGCCGCACCACGACGGCCGCGCCGGCTGCGTCACCGTCTGCTTCGACACCCCGGTGCCGGCCGATGACACGCTGCGCAGCCTTGCCGGCCACTTGCGGTCCACGCTGCCCGCGTATGCCGTGCCCCTGTTCCTCCGTGTCGTGCCGGAGCTGGGCGCCGACACGACGGGCACCAACAAGCAGCAAAAGTACAACCTGCGCAAACTCGGTGTCAAACCATCCAAAGCCGCCGGCGAAGGCGGGGCTGCCATGTTCTGGCTCAAGGGCGACACGTATATGCCGTTCGGTAACAAGGACTGGAAAAAGATTGAGACGGGGCGGCTTAAATTGTAAATATAAGCGAAATCCTGGAGCCCTTTCGCAGGGTATATACATCCTAAAATGTTTAATACACAATAATGGCATATCACAATCTATACTTGAGATTTACTTCATACACCACGGATAGATCTAAACGGCGTATAACGTATGGATCATGCAAGGTAATCTATAGGAAACGACACAATAGTCAATCTTGTAAGAAACAAGTCAAACTGAAAGCCGTCTCACTCAGTCAGAAGCGGGTCATCCTTCAGCACCCCCAACAAGCTTTCAATCTCATGTCTCGTAATCTTCATCAACTCATCTGCTACCTGACCTGTGACAAGTGCATACGCGTACAACAGCGCGTAATCCTTTTCGCTAATATCGAGTGCAGCCGGAGTCTTCTCTCGAAACTCAAAAACTTTGCTTAAGAACCGGTCGCGCGCGCGGGCGATGCTCGGGATCGCGGCCGTCAGCGGGTATTCCAGCATCGTGGAGCTGGCCAGTACCTGAAAGATGTGACAGATGCGGTCACACAGCACAGCGCGCTCTGGTGCTGTGAACTCAAGTAACGCACGCTCACCAGCAGAGAGACTCGCTTTACGCTGCGTGACTAGACTCATGGAATAGAATCCATCTAGGATGCGGTTGACGCTGCCCAGAATGCGCCCATTGGCTTCAAAGGGAAAAGGGCCGCGTAGCTCAAACTCGGACGCGGCGCTGTGTCGGAGGGATTCAAGACGGTCGGCGTAGCGCTGCAGCGCGACTTGCTCGCCTGACTTGAGGTAGCTTTGAGAGCAGTCGGAGCGCAATAGGATGGCGAGCGGTCCGCGGCGCCAGATGAGGCCCATTTGCAGAAATAGCACCGAGATACCCTCTTTGAACTTGAGGCGCGCAGATATCGGCCAAACGAATCGACATACAGCAAGACCCCATAAGATGCCCGTGCAAACAGAGATGACACGATGAGTGACAATCTCCATCATTATGGGGTGGATACCGCCCTCATCTTCATCATTGTCATCGACCTTTTGGCTGAGGGAATAGGCATACAGAGTCGACACGTTGTATGCCAGAATTGTCATGCGCCCTAGCGGTGCACGTCCACAAGCCACAATGAGATAAAAGTTGAAGAAGGCGACGAAGCTTCCCAAAATGGCAAGTGCAGCGCCGTTGCCTTGGCTGACCATCCAGTTGAACAGCGAGAAGAAGGCACCTGCAAAAGTCCCCATGAATCGAGCCCATCCAGTGGTGTTGGAGGCTCCGACTGTCATGGAGCAGACAATCATGAAGGACAAGAGACCCCATTCGCCGCGATAATGGTTATACATGTCGCGCGTCGCTTCAATGAATGCAAGCATACCCCAAAGTGCGGCGCCGATGCCAACTTTTAGACCAAACAAGACTATCGAGCATTAATTGGCTGTCTCAATGGAAAATTCTTCGAGATCACTTACCATCATCACTCGCCATCCTTCGCAAGAGCTGAAGGATGGCTTGTGAAAGTATCGATAAGAGTCTGCTTGCATTAGGAGCTGCGTCCCACTTGTATGTATCTCGCCGTTCCCGCATGGAACGCGGAATTCCCGCAGGTACAGCGGACTTTCTGATCGGCTTTACCAGAACTTCGGTCTCTGACACGTCAAAGGGCAGCGCTGCCAGGTCAGGGCCATGTTTGCTCGTCTTCCACCACAGTAGCCAGCGCCAACTGCAGTGCTTCCGGTCATAGCTGTGCTTCAAATCCTCCAAGACGTCTAGGTAGGTCTTCATCTCTTCACCAAAGCTCTGCAAAGTAAATGAGAAATGCCCGCAAGCCGCAGCGACTTCTTCTAGCACAACTTGGGGGTGGCCACTGTCGTTTTCTTGACGAATGCGGTGATACAAACTTTGCAACGCATCTGCACGCGCGCTATTGAATATGTCCAGGCCTTTCGTTAGCTCCTCGCGTAACCCTTGATTTAGTTGAATGGCGTAGTCAGGAGCACCGGCAAACGGCATTTGGGTCAAGACCTGGCACAATATGCTAGAGAGATTTTGCATCGGATGTCTGACCTTGTCAGCAAAATCCGCGAAAAGTCGAGCAGCGGCACGAAGGTCCGGGACGTCCCTAGGGCCGGCCCCCGTCGTTTCGGAGCTTTCAGTAGCGACGAAAGAGAATGGATCGATATCTCTGGTAATATATGGCGTTGTTGCTGAGCTACTATGCATCTGAAAAAGAATCGCGTCGCGGCCATCGCCATTCAGCAGCGCAAATTGAGCTTTGGCGGCGCTGCGTAGTGCTCCGATCGATTGAGCTAACGTCTCTATAGATCTGACTGTTGATCTTTCGAGGCGGTAAATACGGACATGGCCAAGCAAGTAATGCTCGAATTTGGCTTCGCGGAGGTGTTTCAGCATAAGAGAGTGCGCTTGAGAGTAAGCGTAAGAGTCTGGGAATTCGGGTTGAGTGGCCGTTTCGTTGGAGCTGGCTAAAAAACTGGCAGTTGCATCGGAAAGCATGCTACCTAGTGAGACTGAGGATTGTATGACGGATGCTCGCAGAAGCTGACGTGCAGAGACACGCCAGAGAAGCAAGTTGACGACGGCGGTGCAAGTGATGCCCATGACGAGCATCTTGAAGACTTGTACGATCTTTTGATTCGAAAACACGTTATCAATGACTGCCGTTTCTTTTGTCAAGACAGATATGATGGCAAGAGAAGCCAGGGTGCTGGCGACGTTGACGAGTGGATTGTTCATGCGCTGCTTGGTCCAGCCCATCAGACCAAAGCCACCACCTATGAAGACGACGACGACGACGAGGTGAGCGAGGGTGACTAGTCCGAGGGAGGAGCCAACAAGTACAGAGGTGGTCATGGAAAGGAGAGACACAAGCTCGGCATACGCGACGGCAACAATGGCGATAAGGATGGCCTCAATCATGGATCCGGTTGAGCGAGCAGCGTGGAAGTAGACTGTAATCGTGGCCACGACATGCTTTCCATCGGGCTTACCGAGAAAGTCGGACAAGAAGGGCACAAAGGTGGCCATACTCGCCAGTGTGTATGCAATTGTGCATTTCAAGACACCGCGGCCAGGGGTGGTGTCAAGCCAGTGGAGGAAGCGCGAAGCAGTACTGAAGGTACTCTGTACCGTAGTATCCATCAGCTGGGTCATGGACCATCGTCGACGTGCCGCAGGGGCGCGGCCATCAAGAAAAGCCCCGACATGGCCAACAGCTGGTGACGCAACATCGGCGTCTAAGGTTCCGTCGTCGGTTGGCCTTATGGGAGTGGCCATGTGAAATGTGGTTGTGGCATAGGCAGAGGATGAGGAGTTGGAGAGTGGAAGAAGGAGATAGAGATGTTGATTCCGTAGGCACGTACGTAGTTATAGAGGGCGAGGTGGTGCTGATGCCATACGTGTTTGGGTAGGAATTGGTGGTAATGATGTATGATGAATGCAAGGTGAAGCATGACTAGTTAGGTCAGGTGTGGCGGTGGGCGGTGGCGGGGCTGGCGCGCTTGCGGTTCAAGGCAACGAGTGTGGCAAGTGGCGATTAGATTGCCTTGGAAGTAGTGTTGATAGAATAAATGATGGATGAAAAATTGAATACAATCCGTAGAAAAGAAAGAACCCAAATAACATGTTAGACGAGAACAGGCAAATCATCATTACTGATGACGAGTTTCTTTTGTCTGATAGAGCGCTCGTCTTTGATATGATGTTGTTGGCCGGCTATAGAACTGGGTTATAACTGTCTGATTTCTTGCTGTGTCTAGTTTTTTACGTTTCTATTCCTGGGCATATATTTCTTCACCACTCATGTATGTATTGAGACGGGCGGTAGACTTGATGATGTATTGTGTCGCACGATGGAACTGCATAAAGTTCTGGGGAAGCAAGTTGATAGAATCGCAGACCACATGTGCTACCTAGTAAGGGCAATCAAACAAGCAGAGAAAAAGCTAAATACAGTCCAAGGGTCAGGCCCGCCGTTGGGCAAGAGCAGGGCAGGTGATGGAGAAAGCATGTGGGATATAGCATAGAATAGCAAATAGTCCATCATTCCGTCAGTCAATGCAGTTGCAATTATGTGAGTTTATGCAAGTCTAAATCGAGGCTATTATATCAAGCCCAAATATGACAGGCAGCCTTTAGGTACCTAGGTACTTCAAAAACGACCACAAAGCCCACAAAGCAGCCACTGAGAGAGCCCCCCCAGCGTTCGTCGCAAGACGGTTAGTGGGGTTCTAGTTAGCGCGAGCACAACTGAAAGCTCCGGGGACGCTGTGTCACAAAGTAAACAAAGAGCCAGATAGAGAGCCAAGGTAAACAAACCAGAGTTTGTGTTTGACGGTCGAATGGGTTTCTCTTGTCAGTTGTTTGGCTCAGTTGGACGTCATTCACCTCGGACTGTACATTCTTGTTCTCACTGATCGATGGCTGCAACGTCACAATCTAGGGACTTGCGTGCATAGGCCACGATGCTATAACAAAACAAAAGCTGCAAAACACAAATATCCCGACATACGGACGTACATAGGAGCAAGACATCCAATTCCTCCATGGAAGTCCGTACCGGCCGCGGTGCATCCCCTGTAATAAATGCCCTGTGACCCCCTGTAGCCCACCCGTCGACAGTGGAGCCACCCGCCCAAAACTGGGCAGCCCCTCAATTGACCCAATTGACCCCCCTATTGAGACTGCTGTAATTTCGAGGTACTTGCTGTCGCAGCCAAACGACAACCCTGTCTCAGGTCACTCGCCTGCCTGCAGCCATTTGCCGTTGCACCCACTGTGCTCGTCTCACGCCAGTGCTGAGATGGTGTGCACATCATCCTCCCATCGCCCTCCAAAGTACGGAGCACACACACTACTATGCCGCTACATTAGTCGCGGCCCGTGATTGTTTGGCTTTGGCCTAAAGGTGAAGAAAGAAACGTTTGACTTTCATGCACCTGCCAGCTTACATCCTCGCCGCTTCACTGTCCGCACGACCTGCTCCGGCCACGCGCAACCTCAACGAACGATACCAACATCCGCGCCCCCCTCTGCCGCCGCAGCGTCGCGGCCGTCCTCGTCAAGCCCCTCCACCACCTTCAATCCCGACTCTGGAACGCTGCTCGTCCACGTCCAACACAGACAAGACCGGCCTCAGTCAGCCCCTTCGTCAGACCATCTTTCCCTCTCTTCGCACTCCGGCCGCCTGTGCCTCGTCCACGTATTCGACTCAGCGACACAGCCTCCAGCTATATCCACCCGCCGCTGCCCTGCATCCCGTCCTTGCCGCCGCCGCATTTCCTCTCTGGCCTCGCCGTCAGGATGACCACTTGGTAACGCCTGGCCTCAACCACAACACTACCTCTGCGCGCCTCACCATGCCGCCTGGAGACAGACCAAGGCAGCCCCCCTCCGTCGTCCGAGCCGCCGCAACCCGTACAGCCCCCCTCACCCCAAAGGTTGCCTCCAAGGGCACTCCTGTTCTTGGTTCGCTCGCCAGGAGACCGCCGCAAGGGACTGCCAACACGCTTGCCAATGAAGTCGCCTCTCCCGTCTCTGCCTTTCTTGCTACGAATGTGACCCCTCGCACCGGCCATAGGCAGACCCGTGTCGACAGCACCAACAGCACCCCGACTACTACACCGAACCCGGATAACCGCGCCAATGGATGGGATCGTGACAGTCCGCGTCCCAGCGGGCTAACCACTTCACCGGAGAGTGGACTCAAGCCATCCGAAATGCCGCCCGATGCCAACGATTCCAACAAGTTCTTCTATGCCAGCGACGCCAAGAATCTGCAAACCCCTGGCCAGCAGCGCCAACCGGCACCCGCCGCGCAGAAAGGACCTACCTTCTTCTACGCCAATGCTACTCTCAACAACGTTGCAGACCTCTCAGCGACCAGCACACCACAGCCTGCGCCTCTACTCTCCCCTTCTAATATGAATGCACAGGATCCTTCCGCTACCAAGTTCGTTTACGCGAATGGAACGCCCGAAATGGAATCAAATCCAACCTTGGCCAGCTCCACCTCGAATTCTGTCTTGTCCTCGGGGCCTCGTTTACCGCTCGGAAGCCGTCCTCCTCTGGGTTCCTCTGCCACTGTCATTGGCCTTGTTCAGCGTCCTACATCACCTTTGAAGCATACTTCAACGCCTCTGCCAGTTCTGAGTCCTATCCTGAGAACTACCTTATCGCCCCCATCGCCAATCAGATCGCAAACGAGCCCACCTTCCACTAATAGTGTTCAAAAACTCGAAAGCCAGCGTGGAACGAGACGAGTCAGCATTGAGATGCCACCAAAATCCCTCCGACGGCAGTCTCGAGCCAACGGCAACCCCGGTCCCGAGCTGCAGTTACCTCCCAAAATGACAACATCGCCCAATCTTTCTGATAGTGTGTCACCACCAGCCAGCCCCGGCATATTACAGACATCCATGACTATGGCTTCGCTTTTGCATGCCGCAGAGGAACAGCAGGTTTCTGATGATGAAGCAGACGTCTTGTCGGAACCGCAGAGTCCGAGCAAGTCACACTTCTCTGATGGTGTGAGCGAACTCGTCGCCAACGCTCGCAGAGAACGCAAGGTTCAGGATCTTGAGATCACAAACGCATCACTGGAAGCCATCAACAGAACGCTGGAGAGGCAACTTCGAAAACAGACTGCTGAGCTACGTCGCTATCGCCGTCTTTCTCGCTCCGGTCGACTGTCTCTCACCTCTGCGCCAAACAGCCGCGTGGTATCGGAAGCTCTCACCGACCCGGCCGTGGATCTTTCTGAACTCAGCGAGAACAACCAGACCGATGAGGAAGACGAGGAATTCGACGACTCCATTGAAGAGTCTGATGTTTCCATGGCCGACACTGCATCCATGTCTGTCATTTCCATGGGCGCTATGCGTCGCAAACGTGACGAGAAACGTTTACAGCTTGACCTTACAAAACACCAAGAACTTCTCATTGACAGCCAAAAGATGAACCAGAGCATAAAGCGCTGCCTGAGCTGGACCGAGGCACTGATCAAGGAAGGGCAAAAAGCCCTCGAGTATCATGTGCGCGTTTCCGATGTCGAATTTGGTGGCCATATACTCGCACCCGTCGATGAAGACGATTACGACTTGTCTTCCCAAAATGTTGATGACCACGACATGACGGTGAAGGAACCAGCGTCTTCATCACCGCCAAGAGCTCAACCGGACCGCGACAGTGGCATCGAGCTGCCGCCAAGTGAAGACGGTTCATAACAATTACTACCGGTCACCATATTATAATCATCTACACATAATCTCTCATGCATGACCTGGTAGTCATGTATGACACACCCCGCCACTCTACTCTCTTTTCATACAGTATTCCACAACGATACCGGCCCTCCTGCGTACCCACCCCGGTTTGCCTCGCAACCTCCTCCACCGTCCGACAATCTTGGCACACTCTTCCGACGCCTTTGTGTTACTACTCTGTATATTCTTTCTATTTTGGACGGCAGTTTCTTGCGAGCACAGCGTGGCACAGCTAACAGGATGCTGGCTCTTCGTTCCGTCTCCCAGCAGGGCAGTTGTCTACTTGGCTGGGTCTCGTTTTTTTTTTCAATTTCTTTTGTTCTTACTGTTGCTGGATGCACTTCTTTTTTTGCTCATTACACACACTACTGCACACTATTGGCTTTCTTTTTGTCCTTTTTATACACCAGATACCCTTTTCTCTCGCATGCAAAACACACGCATACATACATTTGGAAGCATCACCTTATTTTAGCTGAGAGACAGATAATTATTCGCTTAGCTAGTGTTCCTTGCTCTGTATTCGCCATCACTTTTCTTGAGTCACTAGATTTACCGTCTGGCAAATTATGGGTGCAAACGGCTGGGTGGTACATAGACGGATATTGGAAAAGAATACACAATCGAACATGGCTTGATATCTAGTGAAGACTTGCTAAATGTCTCTCGCCACAGGCTTATGCCTAGGTATTTTGGGCTTCTTGGGCAAACTCGGAATTGAGGCACGCAACAGCGGCCTCCACAACGCTCATCTAGTGGCAGCGCTGCCAAAGAGTCTCTGGTGGCAGCTGGCGGCCGCGGACAAGGCGGCGACGATGCTGTACATCATGATCACGCCGGCCGCGTACGCGGGCCTGCCGTAGGACGACACGCAGCGCCTCGCGTCTGCCAGCATCGTCGTGGACCTAGTGCACACGCCATGACGCCGGCGTTGGGCAACCACCTCGGGGGCTCCCGTGGCCGCTCATGGTCCCCGACGCGCGCTCACCAGCGGGCTGCCCGGCAGGCAAGCCGCCATGGACGAAGTGCTACTCGCCATTACCCACGGGCCGTGCCCCTCGGCCGGTGTGTACCCCCGGCTTGGAGTGCCTGCGGCGAATTTGAAAGTCGGGCCGGACAGGAGGGAGTGGGAAGAGAGCTTCAGCACTTGGCAGGCCACGGTAGCGAAAAGAGAGCAGTTTCTGCTGCTCAGAACATTCTAAAAGCTAATTATCATTCGAGAGGGGCGGAGAGAGGGTAACATCCCCTTTGCTTGCTGTCCTATGTCTGTCTAAAAATATCATTTCCATCTAAACACAACACCAACATACCTATCTCGTAAGGGGGCGGGGAAACTTGCAAGCTGTGACTGTTTCCTGGTGACCTCCGTCTTCTTTGTCCAGAACAGCCTTCCACAGATTCGCTATCGGGGAATATAAACCAATAATTCTAGTCAACCACTCATCAATCGTCTTCTTGTCACCGTCTGTGATTTAGAGGCCCTTTTCCCCTTCATTTATGCCTTGGAGACATTGGGAGTATCCTCGGCAGCCGACGCCGAGGGAGACCTTTCCTTAGCCTTCTTGTCCTTCTTGTGCTTGTGTTCGTCCTCCTTCTTCTTAGCGGCTTCAGCAACGAGCTGCTCGAACACGAGGTAGTCACCCTCTTCTTCGGGAGAGCGTTGGGACTAGAACAAAATAGTCAATGTTAGTCAATGAATGTTTGGCGGCTAGTAGCCCAGCACGTACCCTATTGAAGATGTCACCAATGAGAACCAGGGCGTGGGCTCGCTCCAGGCGCTTGGACAGAGGAACCTTCTTATCGTTCAGGAGACTATCGCAGACCTCGCGCAGGACGCTCTGAATCTCCCATTTGCTGCCGCGCCAGGCGGCGGCGAGGATTTTGCCCGTCACGCGACGCTCGTACTCGCTGCGCTTCTCATCGGTCCATTCCTCGCCGCCCTTTTCTTCCATGCGAGCCATGTCCTCCATGGTTTGCTGGGCATCGATGGCACTGCTGATAGTATTCCAGGTCTCCTTGACAAGAGTGCCCTTGTCGCGGAGGCGGCTGAAGAAGCCGCCAAAACCGAGGAGCTTTTGGCTCCGTAGCAGGCCTGAGGCCTTGGACACGTATGTCTGGCCGATTGCATGCAGAATGTCAATGCCAAACGATTCCATCTTGAGGTTTTCCACTTCGAGACGCATCTTCTCTTGAAATGCTCTGGTCACATCATCGCCCTTGTCCGTCTCTGTCCATACGCTGACACGGTCTCGTAGCTTCGCCGCTAGGTTGTCAACGCGCTCCTGGCGGATGCGCGCGCGTTCCTTTTCAAACGCTGCCAGCTGCTCACGCTGCTCCTTGGAGAGACCCGCTTTCTTCTTATCCTTCTTGGCGTCCTCTGCGGAGAGGGAGGCGGCCGGTGTGTTGTCATCATGCGCCTTGTCGGCGAGCGCAGGGCGCAACGGGATTTGTGTGCGGCTGTGAGAGTTGCTCGAGGGAGCCGGCGACGTCGCTTCAGACCGAGGAGCAGGGATTCTTTCTGCGGCGGCACCAGGGGCGGCGTACGCAGGAGTCTTTTCTTCATCGACGACAATATAAGGGGGAGGTGCGGTGGTGGCCTCAGCGGCGGCGGCGGCTGGTCTTTGGTCCTTGGTGGATTCCTTCATGGCCTCCGCGGTGCCGGGAAAGTCGGCTTCGTCCTTGCCGGCACCTTCGGCGGTGGTCTGCTCCGCCTCCGCAGCTTCTGCAGCAGCCTGCTCCTCTTGCATGGTGATGTCCATGGTGGCAGTGAGGTCCTTCATGAGGCTAATCTCGCCGATCCAATCGACAAAAGCCTCGCCACCGAAAATGGACGAGAAGAACTCGGCCGGGTCGGCAAACCCTTCTTGTGGCCTGGCATGGTCTTTACCATGCTTGTTGTAGGCGGCGCGGAGGTCTTTGTCGGAAAGAACCTGGTATGCTTCGCCGATGGCCTGGAACTTTTCGTGGGCGGTAGGGTCGTTGGGGTTCTTGTCTGTACGGGGAGGTTAGCTAGCTTTGGCCGGTGAGCCAGGTGAGATGCCAAGGCTAGCGAGGTGCACTCGGCGTCATCCTCTGAAGTGATCCAGCATACCCGGGTGGTGGAGAATGGCCATCTTGCGGTAGGCCTTTTTGATCTCGAGCTCGGTCGCGGTGGGCTGGACGCCCAGCGCGTCATAGTAGACCGTGTCGACAACCATTTTGGTGTGTTCGGGAGGCGGGGCAAACTATGCCTATGAAGAGTTGAGAATGCAGAATACGAAAGAGCCGTGAATATAGAGTATATACAGCGGCGGTCCGCGGCGAACGGCGAAGGCTGTGAACGGGGGATGAAAGCCGAAAGTGTAATGGTGCCTGGTCGGGAAATTTTATCTCAAGATGACCGACACCGACTGCTACGTAATTATGGAGGGGCGCGGCGAGGGCGGCCAGGCAAGCTCTCCGCCGTCATCTGTGGCGGCGCACGCACGTGAATCATGGCTGTGCAGCTGTGCAGTTGGCGGGCACAGGTTGGGCGTGGCAGTGCAAGATAAGGGATAAGGACAGCTACTCGCTCTGGGCGACACCGCAGAGCTCTGGCCAGGTTTGCACATCCTTGTACGAAGCCCTTGTGGCTCCAAGACGCGCCGTGGATTCCTGTGTTCCTTCGTATATGAGCTGTTCACGTTGCTAGCCCATGACCGTGGCATCTCAATCACCGGATGTGGTCAAGTATATATAAACCTGTCTGATGTCTACTGCTAATCTCGTCTATCGTCATTGAGATCTTGAGCCTAATAAATAGCCGCAGGCTGCAGGCTCCGCCGTACTCGTTCTCGTATCAGCGGCAGATCTGCCAAATCCTACGCTGTAGAGCTCACTGGAGGGCGGTGAAAAGTTCCACTGCAGGTCCTGTAGCGCCAATAATACAAGTGCTGATTTTGGTACCCCACTCCACGTGGAGACATTTTATAATACCAGGTTACCTCACCCCTTTGGTACAGGTTTTCTTGCATCTCGTTTTTCTCTCCCGACCTCGTCTTCCAGCTTCCCTTCCCCTCGCGATCCTGAGGCCTCTATCTCAGCCACGGTTCGCACATTATAGCTCTTCTCAGCTAGCATCTGGAACATTGAGTCATTCGCTTGATTCATACTACTTCCTCCTTGATTGCTGTGTCCTGCCGTACCAACAACGTCAACACACACAGAACCGACACAATGGGCGCTCTTTACTATCTGATGCATCCTAACCAGCTGCGTTCCATTATCCAATGGTACACCTCACTAGCATGACCCGTCCCATGGTTGAAACGTGGCTAACATCTTTTAGGAAGCTTTGGCACGAACCGGTTCACAAGCGAGACACCAGCAAGGAGTCCGAAACCCTCAAGGAGAGCTTCCGCTACCTCAACATGACCAGCCGCAGCTTCTCCATGGTCATTCAAGAGCTGAATCCCGAACTTCTTGTCCCCGTCGCCCTCTTCTATCTCGTCCTTCGAGGCTTGGATACTATTGAGGATGACATGACGATCCCTCTCGACACCAAGACCCCTTTGTTGCGCAACTTCCATGAGACCATGGAAGTCGATGGCTGGCAATTCCACGAGAGCAAGGAAAAGGATGCCGAGCTGCTCGAACACTTTGACGTTGTCATCGCCGAGCTCAAGAAGCTCAAGCCTCAATACTACGAAATTATCAAGGACCTCACCCGCAAGATGGGTAACGGCATGGCTGACTACGCTGCCGATACCGACAAGATTGAGAACGGTTTGCAAACTATCGAGGATTATGAACTTTACTGTCACTACGTCGCCGGTCTCGTCGGAGAGGGTCTGACGAGACTCTTTGTCACCTCCGAGCTGGCCAATCCCAAGCTCGCTGAGAGACCCACGCTGACAGAGTCAATGGGCCAGTTCTTGCAAAAAACCAACATTATCCGTGATATCCACGAGGACTGGGTCGATGGCCGCCGCTGGTACCCCAAGGAGATCTGGAGCAAGCATGTCGATAAGTGGGATGACCTCTTTGAGCTTTCCAAGCGCGAGCAGGCCCTCAACTGCATCTCCGAAATGGTACTCGATGCCCTCAAGCATGTCGAAGAGTGCCTGTTTTACATGGCCGGCATGCGTGACCAGAGCTGCTTCAACTTTGTCGCTATCCCACAGACCATGGCTATTGCCACTCTGGAGCTCATCTTTCGCAATCCTGCCATCCTCGAGCGCAACGTTAAGATCACAAAGGGCGATGCCTGCCAGATCATGCTCGAGAGCACACAAAATCTCTTCACGGTATGCGAAGTTTTTCGCAATTACATTCGCCGCATTCATAAGAAAAACGACCCGCGCGACCCCAACTTCTTGGCCATTAGTGCCCGATGCGCCAAGGTAAGCCGACTGAACCCTCGTCAACCCATCCTGCATTGCCCATGTGCTGACCATATTACAGATTGAGCAGTTCATCGAAACTTTGTACCCCAAGCAGGATCCTACCAAGCTGAACGCCACCAACAAGAAGAGGCAATTGGACCAGCCTACCGCCGATCCTGGTGAGGGCTTTGTTATGTGGATGGTTGTCATTCTATCCCTCGTTTTCATGGCTCTTCTTATGGTATGTTTCAAAAGAGTCTCCCGCTGGATTAATGGCTGACTAAGTGACAGGTTGGTATTGCCTGGTTCTTCGGAGCCGATTTCTCATCGACATTTACCGACGTGAAGAAGCTCTGGACCAGCCTCGACGCCCCCAAACCTCCCCAACCTCTCGCCGGTGCTGGTCGCGACGAGTTGTAGGCTTTCTGTATACTATATGCATGTCGAAATTTTTCTTCTTCAACCCCCATTTCCTGGCCGTCAGGGACACCATTATATACGCACTACATACCATGCGAGTCCCCTTTTCTCACGACAGTCGCCATCTGTCTGAACGGGCTTCCCGATTATTATTTTAACGAGACTAATTATACTACTAATGCCATTTTTATACCCGCCCTTGGGGGCAACGCTATTACGGTGTAAGTCATTCTTGTCTCAACACTTGGAAAATGTACGAATCTGTTAGCACGGATGTCAAATTGCAATTCAGTCCTTTCATGACTGTGGTTGTGCCGAAGAAGTGCTTATATCAATCTTGCTCTAAGCCTGCTCTTGCGAGTGGGCACGACTCGGAGCTGGCCTCTCGTCTTTGATGAAAGGCGTCTCCCTGTTGGAAAGCAGACACCCTTTCACCTCGAGCCTACTTTTCTGTAGAAATAGTTTCATATTATCCGTACTTGTCACCTTTCAGTTGTTGGTCCTTGTGTAGTTGTCTATTATTGTGCCTGAAACAGGCTGTTATAGTACCATGAATATGACGCTTTCGTAACAGTATCTATCTACATGACTCAAATGCCAAGCAGCAGACACTAAGATGTACATGGAAATGCCCGGTATCAAGATACGTAGGCTATGGTGATGTTTGCTAGGGGTCTGCAACCAAGTTTCTTCTTTCTGATTCCCACTCGTGCATCCCGTTTCTATCTGCTGCCATTGTTGGCAATGCGGTTGGTGGTTCCCTGTTCGTTGCCACGAACCCGAGCGCCCGTCTGGCCGGCGAGGTTCTTCATCAGATCCTCCACCTGCGAGGGCTGCTGCTCATCGAGACCCCGGAGTCCCATGAGGTAGGCGGCGAGACCGGCGACGTGGGGGGAGGCTTTTTGAAATGTTAGCAAGCTCGCGCATGAATCGTGATGAGTTCTTACCCATGCTGGTCCCGCTGAGAACCTTCGAATCCGTGTTGGAGGCGATGCCAACACTCAGAATGTTGACACCCGGGGCAAAGATTGCGACGGAAGAGCCGAAGTTGGAGAAACTGGCCTTGGCATCGTTCCTGACGTCAATGGCACCAACGGTGATGGCGTCGGGGGCAGAGGCAGGGGATGTGGTGGATGCATCTTGCTGTAAGCCCATATGTAAGTATATCACTTTCAATTGCAAACGTAAGGGGTACGGGGTACATACGTCCTCATTGCCAGCGGCGACGACGGGAATAACGCCAGCTTGGGCAAGCTGCGAGATGGCAGTGTTGATGGCTCTCGAACGCGGACCGCCCAGAGACATGTTCATAACGGCTTTGCTAACGTTCCTTTCAGCGACATCGTTCATGACAAACTGGAGACCCTTCAGAACACCAGAGTTGGCGCCGCCACCACTCGCGTCCAGGACCTTGACGCCCAGAAGTTCGCATCTCTTGGCGACACCGTAGGTAGCACCACCAATAGTGCCGGCAACATGAGACCCGTGGCCATTCTCATCCGTGTCCTAGATGATGGGTCAGCACAGTTGTATACGAACAAGGTATAATTCCTTTAGACATACAACTTGGTTAACGAAATTGGCAGCCGAGCGGGCACGTCCCTCAAATTCGACGTGAGAGGGGAGAATGCCAGTGTCGACAATGTAAACAGTAACACCTTGGCCGGCAGACTCGTCGAACAGATAGTTGCTAGGGCCATTGGTAGCGTGGGAGAGACGAGCAAGGCCAGGAGGGGCGTTGATCTGTGAAATGACGACCTGAGTGTGAACCCGTGTATCAGCCTCGATGTAAGAGACTTCCTCCGAGTTGTACATTTCCATGAACATGTCGTCGTCGGCATCCAGGATGCTGGCGCGCCACTTGTTCATGCTGAGCGAGTTGACTTCAGTGGACAGAGGGTTGCCGCCGAGCCCACGCTTGCCGAGATTGCGTTTTCTGAGGGCGGCAGCAAAGGATGCCTCTTTGGCGTCGATGGATGTTGAGTTGAAATCCTTGTTGTACACGACAATGTAGCGGTTAGGGATCATGTTGGTGACGGCAACATTGGCATTGCTGACTGGGAGCCTAAACGCCGTCGATTCGGGAGGGTTGGCAATTCTACCGGGGGCAGCGATGGCAAGGCCAAGAAGCAGAAGAAGAGAGGTGAAACGGTAGTGTAGTTGCGTCATGGTGAAAAATATGCTGTGTAATCGAGTATGGCGCGTATTCAATACCGAGTGGCTCGTATAAAAAGAGGCCGAAAAAGCGAGGGCGGCTGGCTATGGCAACGATGAAGAGACAAAAAAAAAAAAAAAGAAGAATAAATGGAAATAAAAGAAAGACCAAGAATAGATTTGGAATTGTTGGCCCAGCCAAACAGAATAGAAGGGAATGAAAGAAAGACCAGCCAAAACCTCTACTACACTGGACAAAGGACAAAGAAGACTCGGTGGGAAGAGCGTGGCGGCAAGAGGAGGGAGGATACGCAGTATAGAAATAGAGAAGAACAGACGGGAATAAGAAAAACATGCCAAGGCTCAAAGCCCCAAAGAAGAATCAAAAACCGACGAGATATAATGGCATCGAAGTTCTGAAGCAGGACCCCGTCCGCTGGAAACTCTCTTTGGCCGATTTCTGGGGCAAGAGGCAGAATCGTGGTGGGCTGGTCAAGGGGCCAAGACAGTGACAGGCGGGCGCGCGTATGTACACAACGGGGGAGGTGGAATATCGCCGTCATGCTGGCTAATAATAACAGAGCAGCGCAGCGTAAAACCTAGGTACGCTCAATGTGCACCAAGTGAGGCCATGCCTAGCCGCTGGCTGGGCGGGCGGTGGTGCGACGTGTAAGTGTGCGTGGCTGATTCGTCCAAGGGCGGCGTCGTTGTGTCTGGGGTTGACCCCCCTGGTCCTGGACCGATGCGCGATACAAAGGCCGGGAGATGACGCTAGCAGTAACCATAATTCATCAAGGGGGGGGGGGGTACTCGCGGACTTGTCAGAGGCTGCGGGATGCATGGTTTCGAATACAGGACGCCTCAAACGACTAGGCCTCCAGGGGCGTGATGGAGGAGGGGGTGTCGAAGTCGCCGATAAGAGCAGGCAGTAGCATTTCTGTCCCTTGGCCGGCTATATTCGTATTTCGTCCACGTTATCGGGGATTCGTTTTCAGGGATTCAAAGGTGAAGCAAGCCGGGTGCTGATCTGGGGGCGCCGCGCAAGTGATTGGCCGTGACTGGGCGTCTGGCGCTTTGCTGGACCCAGCGCGTTTTGGCGCTGGTGTGTCACCGAGCGAATGATTGGACCCTGAGCAACCATGATTGCAGATTGATGGAATAGATGATTGTTGATAATTTAAAACGTTGCAGAACACGGGCGAAGCGTAAATGTCACTGTTTGCAGCACGAGGGGCATGTATACCTACCTAGTGGCACTGTGCTATCGATACTGTACTGCCCACACTGTGTTTGTTCATCCTGTTGTAAGGTTGTCAGTCTGGGGAAAGGCACAGTCGATAGAATCAGGAGCCAAAGGCTTCCGGTTCGGCCGCATAATGATGCATTGCATGCGTTGCATTTTAAGTATACATAGCTATCCCGGCTAATAAACAGAACGACCATGCAAAGCCTCTGCTGCTTATTCATTTTTTTCTTCATTCCCGATTTTCTAACTATCTGCACCGCAAGTGGACGACTTCATCAGGGGTCCACGCTATGCTATCGATGCTATGGTGCACGCGACCTATGCTATCTGCACCTGTGTTGAGATGAAATCCAACTTTGCAGCCAAGCCGTCTCGCAGCGTTTCGGGTCTCTGGGGATAGTGACATCTCGCCGACGGTGGCTGCTGGGGCGTTGTGCCCGTTGCTTGTCGTCGCTGGAAATACACGACTACAATGAGCGCCTCGAGGACGCAAAAGGCCATTCATGGACCCCTTTCTTTTACAGGCTCATTAAGGTCCTTAGTGGCTATTCTCGTCTCTGCGATGACTTCGTCCATCACCAACTACCTCATGGAAAGCATCAGAGGCCCACCTCTCTGATGCGAAACTCTGCCCACCCCCTACAAGCCACACCGCCGAGGTGACGCATCATTATATCAATAGTCGTTTAGCTACACTTGGCTTTTTTTGAAACTTGACGACGATAACGTGTGATGCGACTGCACGGGCCAAGCCTGACTACACCAGTTGACCAGCGATGCTGCGTGGCTTCTCTGCGAAGTGGACGCAAGACAGTGACAATGACAAAGCATGTCACAGGCTGGCGGTGGAGGACATGTTGGAAGGAGAGTTGTCATCTCGATGCTTCAAATGTTTCGACGCCGCGTAATGAAGGTCCGATGTTGTGTCAAAGGCAGAGGAGCGACAGTGGCTTGCATGCCCTCATAAACCAGCACAGCTAATCAGAAACGTAAATCAGGATCGGCAGCAGTTAGAACATCTCCATGTGTTGCTGTTATCAATCGGGTGGCGAGGCACGTGGCAAGACCATGCAGGTATCTCCAGGTATATAGACTGGCGCGGCAATAAAATGACGACCGGTTGCGGTGCTTGGGTGCTAAGTGTGCGAGATTGAGGATCGCCAGCACGTTGGTATTGTATAACGTGAAGAATCAAGAATCAAGAATCAAGAGAGAAGTCAAGAGGATAAATGTATGTAGACCAGGAGCTGGCGCACTGTTCGGTGATAGATGGGAAATGAGAGAGCGCGTGATGTGGTGTCGTGGCACGGACGGGAGAATGGAGTTTGGGGCGTAAGAGAGGCGACGAGAGGACACACTGCTTTGGTAGAGGCCATGATAGTTGCAAATAATTGCGATGATGTCCGTAGTCATTGTGCTGGTGCTGGTACATGGCCATGGCCAGCAGCGCCTGTTGTGGTCACGATGCGGAGGGAGATGGACGGCGGGCGAATTAGTGCTGAGGAGACGGAAAGAGAGGAAAGAGCGCAAAGAGAGGCAGGCTAAGAAAGCCAAGGTAGAAGGCAACGTGAACTTGTGAAGAATTAAATGAAAAAAAAAGCGCGGTGAATATTGGACGAATAAATGCAGTGTTGAAATCATCTGTACATAGGTAGGTAGTTAACGTTACCGACAAACAAGATAAGGTAGCGAGTAATTCGTACCAAGTGGGCGGCATCACCAGATCGTGCCGATGGGGCGCAGCTAAAAAGGCGGGAGCCATCGCTGGCATGGCTGGGCAGCAGGACGCGACGCAGACCAAGCAAGGCCTGATGTCCTGATGTCTGTCATGGGCGGTGCCGAGGTATTCCACGACCATTAGGCAACTTGGGCTTGTAGGCGAACTTTTGACTTTGGGCACCGTGGTAAATATTTTTCATTTATTGGCTCCAGGCCTCCGATGATTCGAATGCCAAATACTCCGAACCGTCATGACACCTTGTTCACTCCCAGGGTCCTTCTCCCTCTCTTGCAGCCGCTAATAATAAATGGCACCATCTCCCGCCCAAACCCGCCTAAAAAACCCTCCCGTCCCCATTCGCCTGCGAGCCTGTCCGAGGCGGTGCAGGTACCTGCTGCCCATTTTGATAAGGAAAGATACAACATTCCATACCTACTACCTACCTAGTTAGCACCAAACTGGAAGACACGTTAGTTAGGTCCCTCTCTCCACCAGCAGATGCCCAGGTTTGCCGTCTTTCCTTCAACCACATCAATCAATTTCCTCTTCTCTCCCTTTGCTGCAATTGCGTTTGCGTTTGCGTTTGCGCTTGGCTTCCTCTCTTCCTCTTCCTCCCGCTGTTGCTGCGTCTCTTCCTCTCGCCGATCCGTCTGCGCCGAAAACGCCCCTTCGCCCGCTTCTGTTCCCTCGTTCTCAACGGCACATCAGCGCACCTTTGGGCAGTCGCAAGCAGCATCGCCAGCCCGCACCATCTGACCATCCCGAAAGACCTCATTTTAAACAATCGACGCAAACCCCACCCCGCCTGCCGCCCTGCCACTAGAACCGCGCCGCCCTTGCGGCAGTTCCGGACCCTGCGTTCCATCGACTCTACTGCGCAGAAAAATTCCAAGACACGTCTTCTGCGCCGGCTCAACTACACTCACCTACCATTAAGGCGCCACCAGACTTGCTTTCGCCGTCACGCTTGCAGCTGTTTGATTTGATACGTGTCCAGTCGCTAATTCCTATCGCCTCACCTTTTTCTTTTGCGCTACTCTTTCCTCCCCCCTTCACCTCGCCTGAATCTCATCTCTTGACAAACCTCCCACCCCGTTTCATATTTGGCCATCCGGCACCTGCAGCCCGGTGTGCCCCTCTGCCGCTCTCATTTCCGCGCGTGACTGACATGCTCTTGTCCTCTCCCCTCCAGCGCGCGCCTTTTGCTCATTCTGCGCCATCATGGATGACCTCTACTCCCTCGACCACGACCCCACCGAGATCAACAGCTCGCCTCTTGTAGAAACTCGTCAACCAGAATTCCTCTCGACAACCCCGGCCGACGAAGTCGTCACTCGCCTAACATACAGATTTGCGCCCGTCGCATCAAGTCTATTAGAGTCATCCTCAACCCCAGCCGCTCGTCCAAATCCCGACGCAAAGCTATGTCAAGAGCCCGACTCGCCTGTTGTGCCTCCCGCCCGGCCTAGCAGCACACCCTACCCGTTCGCCGATACCAGGGAGACATCATGCTCCAACACGTTGGAATTTGCCCTTGCCATCGCCTCAAGTAACCTTTCTACGTCCCCGGCGGCTCACGAGCCTCGTAGCTGGATACGACCAGCCACGCACTTCACAGATCTTCCGACCGAGGTCCACGAAGCTATCCTCGACCAGCTCTTTGGAGTCTGCGCGCCCATCTCCCCGAGGTCCGGTCTGTGGTCACCCAATGCAGCCAGAGGCCTTGGTACCCCCCTTCGATACTCTAGAAGACGAGAAATGACACAGCTGGCCCTTGTCAACTCTACTTGGCGGTCCCTGGTTCAGAAGCGACTTTACCGTCATATAAAGTTGAAAGGCACCGTCAGCTCCATCAAACAGGCCGTTGCCCACTTTGCCGGTCGTGGACAGCATCTTGCGCACCATGTTAAACATATCGAGGTCTGGTTCCCCGTGTTTCAACCTCGCCACGGGCCTCTAGCAGTCTCCAATACATCCGTGCTGCCCGTGCTCCGAAGTGATGGCCTATCGACCGCCTGCTACGTTCTGCCAGGGGATAATAGCACACTGCAGGATGTCTTTCTATTCATATCCCTTTACTTGCCCCATAGCAAGATTCTGACACTCGAGGGTGGTGAACGCCGGAAAGCCCCCAAGGTGGTACATGTATACAACGCTCACGGCAATAACCTCGACTATGGGCCACCTTTACCTATCATGCGCTCCATAACAACCTTGGTCACCAAAGGCCAGTGGAACCTCATGCGGGATCACTCCGACTTTTTCTCCATTCTAGGCGCCCTTCCCAGCATAGAGGAATGGCAGGGCGCTTACAGCAAGCCCAAATCAAAGAGCTACATCACCATTTCCCAATTCTTGCCCCACATGCCCGGAACTATCAAGCACCTCAGCCTATGTCTTGAAAATGACTACAGGCGAGAGGCTGTTGTGCCTGCTTATTATGCCAAAGCTGCCCATCAAACACACATCTGCACGGTACTTGGAAAGATAATGCCAAAACTCGAACAATTCTCCTACACTGGTCGCATCTGTCATAACTTTTTCCAAGTCGCCAGTCAGAGCGCTGTTGCTCCCTCCAGTCGACTCCGATCAATCGATGTGACGCTCAAGAACTGCTGTCGTCAGTCCAACATTTTCTCCGATTCTGGCTCCGGCATCCAGGATATGGGCTTCATCGACGCCTTCGAAAAGCTCGTCATCTCTGGTATCAGATCTATGAGTCAATTTCAGCGTGTCGAGTATCTGAGAATCCGATTCGTCGACCTTGGTTCGTATTTACAGCATCCCATTGCCGCTCTCCCTACTAACTATGTGCTGTAGACTCAATTCTGCCCGCATTGAATCCCTTCTTTTTGTTCCAGCGTGGCGAATGCAGCGGGGTTTGGAGTGAAAAAATCATCAACGAAATGGCTAGGGCTCGCCCGGGCACCAAGTTTCGCGACTTGAGCGAGACCTTTGGCAACATCTCATACACGAAAGAAGGACGAATCATCATTTCACCCGAATATCCGCGCACGCGCATCACCTCGCTCAAGCTCACCAACTATCAATTGTTTTCGAACCGTGCAGTCGTCGTTTGAGCAGCCACGACTGTCAGGCGCTGCTACAGAAGTCCACAGCGCCAACCAAGATTCTTCATTGCATTATACACCGGCGTTTGGGTTTACTTAACATTACAAAACTGGCATAGCGTTATTTACGGCGAAGAGACCGGATCTTTATGAATTTGTTTGGAGCGATACACACTGGCACGTACATGTTTCTTTTAGTACTTGAAATTTGGGCTGGGAGTTCTATAGTCCATTAGTTGCTTGGATCATGCCATATTGCGAAGCAACGAAGTACACGCGCGGGTGGGGTGGCGATACATATCAATTGCAGTCACGTCGTGGCAATAGATGCAGTTGGTACAATTCCATGAGCCATTAGGCTCTCTGGTCGATATAACTATTTGTCGATGCTCTTATGGAACTGGCTTTACTCTACATGAATTTTCCCGGACGGCCCTCGTGCTCCATCGCTGATAATGATGCCCAATATCCAGCAGTTGACCAGGAAAAAGACCAGCGAAGCCAGCCACAGCCCGGGTACAAAGGTACTCATCCCTAAGAACTCGAGCTCGTAGCCCTGGTGCAGCCACGCCGCCTGCGCAACAACCCACAGTACCAGCGCAGAGATGCCCAGCTTCGGGTTGCGCAGCATCGACGAGCCCGGGAGATAGAGCGGCAGAAAAATCATGTACCAGAGGAAGTACTAGCATCCAATCCTTAGTTTGCATCTAGGGCGAGCGGCGACAGACAAAAACACTACGCACCTGGGACGTGCAGACTTTGTTGAACGTGACAAAAGCAAACGTCTGTGCCATCATAGATGTGGCGAGATCCTTCTTGGCCAGTGCGAACGGGATTAGCACGCACGACAGCAGGAGCTGGGGCAGAAACGCCAATGACTCGGTGCGCAGCGACGAGGCCGAGGCCGTATCAGTGGGCGTCGCAGAGTTAGTGTACAGCAGCACGTTGTAGGGCGAGAAGTTGTGTCTATGGTCTATGCGCGTAACGTGGTGGAAGTATGTGTGCACCAAGAACGGCGTCCCATAGCTGATGTCCAGAAGTTAGCTCAGTCGACGAGGAAGCATGGGTGTGTACTTACATAGAGTACATGAGTAGGTTGAGTAGCATGAATGTCGCCAGGCTGATGACAGCCAGCTTGACCCGCGCCGCCGTGACAAAGTTGATTGCCACATCCACCAGCGCCGGGTTCTTCTTGGTCGTCTTGCCTACAGCGCCGCCGCTCATCCTGTCCTCGTCCATCCACCATACAATCGCCGGCGCGTAGATGAATGGGTAAATCTTGAAATGCACACCCAGACCGAGCAGCATCCCCGCGAGCGACACCCGCCGGCGCTCCACCGCCCACAGCAGCGCCATGGTCAGCACGCCGAGCAGGCCCTCGGAGCTTCCGCGGGTGCTTATGGTGGCGACCATGGGGTTCCAGAGCCAAATGGCCGCGAACGCGCCCGCGCGGCGCGCCGACATGCCGCCGCCCTGCCGCCGCCGCAGCAGCCGAAGGGCCAGCCAGCCCGCGACGAGGTCGGCGACGGCAAAGGCCACCTTGCCGAAGTCGAAGAGGCGGCGGTGGGCGGTCGGAAGCAGAAGCCATGCGAGCAGGGGCGTGTAGCGGTAGGTATCGCGCGCGTAGGGGCTCCCGCCGGCGGCGACGAAGCGCGCGGCGTCGGTGAAGACGAGGTAGTCAATGTCGGTGTACTTGACGGCCGAGTGGGCGTCTTGCCAGGCGCCGTAGAGGAGGAGCGTGGCGCGCAGGGCGGCGGCGATGGAGAAGAGCGGCACGGGGTCAAACAGCACTTGCAGGGAGCGGAAGCTGCCATTCTGGGCGGATACAGCTGTTCGTTGGGCCATTCTCATCATGTGAGTTTGCCCGTATCTCAGTCGTGCAATTGGTGATGAGCTGTTCAGTGTCGCAGCGAGGAAGACATTCTTTGTTGGCCTAGAGCGGATGCACTACTCCTCACAATGCAGTCGACTGGATAATTCTGAGTAGAAAAACAGACGCTGCCAGTAAATTCCGTAGTGCCCCCTTGGAGAAAAGATCCGGGGGATGTCGTTGCGTGTCAAGACCAAAAGCTCCCCTTTTTGGAGCACTTCACCTTGGAGTGTAGATCCACACCAGCCGCAAGCTTGCAGCTCCAGCAGCCAGCCAAAGCTTTTCCAAGCTCGTGCCCGCTCCACTCCAAGCCTAAGATACTCATCCATCCATAGAAACCTGTGCTGTCGATACTCATCCCCTCATTTATCATTATCATACTTGTCGGCGTCTCTTATTCTTCTTACACTTATAAATTATTCACTGCACAATGTCGGCCGTCGGCGTCAAGCGGGATCACAATGGCCGTGCTAAGGTCGTGCCAGATGGCCCACGAGGTCGTTTTCACGACATGTTTGAGGGCTTCCGCGACGAGCTGGACCAACACCACGACAGACGCGAGCGTCTTGTCAAGGCTTCGAGAGATGTAACAGCACAAAGTAAAAAGATGCAAGTACTTTTTTGGCCCCCATTACTACCTGAGCGTTCCTATTAACACTGCACCAAGCATCTTCGCACTACAAAGGTACACCCAGCGAATAAGCAGCTGCCCTCGCCCATGGACTACGCCGTTATTAACCCAAAGCACGCGACAGAGTCAAGGACATCAACAAGGAGCTGCCTCCCAACATCCAAAAGGACATGGACACCAGAATAGCCGAAATCGCGACGCTGCTCGGCTCCATCGCGCCGGACCTGCAGTCCATTAACCGCTACCGCTACCAGTCGTCAATGCGATGCCTCGAGGAGCTCGTCGAGGCGCTCACTTTTGCGCACTACCTGCGCCACCAAACGCTCCTCACGCCGGCGGAGGCGCAGGCCGCCGTCCCCGCCGACGTCGGCCTCACCGAGTACGACTACATGTACGGCGTGTTTGATCTCTTTGGCGAGCTGATGCGCTTCGCCACCGTCACGACGGCGCAGACGGGCCGGCTGCTGGGCGACGGCGGCCGCACGCTTCTCAGCGACATGCAGGCGCTCGGCTGCGCGTTTGAGATGATGCGAGACGTCCCAACGAGGGACTACCGTAACAAGGTCGAGGCCATGCGCCAGAGTGTCAAGAAGGTCGAGAAGCTGGGCTATGGCCTCGTCGTTCGGGGAAGCGAGCGGCCCAGAGGGTGGGTGCCGGACATGAAGGAGGATGTCGTAGATCACGGATCACCATAGGTATGTATGAAATCTGTTTGTTATGAATGTATGATAGCTATCGTTTGCGTGATTAGCTTGGATTAATTCACTTCGTTGGCTACGTGTTGGTGCCGCGCGTTGGTGCTGAGCTGGCCAGCTGGCATTCTGTGACCACAAACGGAGAGGCAGCTTTCCATCTTCTCCCTCTGGTGCACTTCCTATGAATCTGCCTGCTTCTCCCTTCTCCTTCTGTGTGTTTTACTATTTTCCGTCTCCTCTTCTGCAGCATCCTACACCTCCAACATTCATAACTTCAAAGCTCCGGTTGATTCGACGACGTTTCAAACAACCGTACACAACGCGCCGCCGTACCAAGATTATACGTTGATAAATGCGTTGAAAAGCTGAAGTTCTTCTTCCAAAATGCCGCCCAAAAAAGACCGAGCGACTGCCACTAAGAAAAAGGATGAGAGTTTCACAAAAAGAACAACATTTTACGTCAACATCGAGTGGGAGGCAGGCTGCCAGCCCAACCAGGGCACCAACGTTCGAGGGCAGATGTATGTGGAGAGTCTAGAGCCCCAAAGGAAGACACAACATTACCCCGTCGTCCTAATCCATGGCGATTATCATACGAGTCAAGTTGGTTTTCTAGAAGTTCTCTAGATGGCGGCTTTGGGCTAACGAGTATGACAGGTTTGGCTAACCAAACCCGATGGAGACCCAGGCTGGGCCTCGTACTTTTTGGGAAAGGGTTTCCACGTTTATCTTGTTGATTTGCCGGGTACCGGAAAGTCAAACAACCTCACAGAAGAAGCGATAAACAACGCACAAGTTAGAAGTATCAAGGCCTCCCAGATTGAGAGAGAAGCCACTGCTACGAAGGTGTTTAACCACATCACTGACCCCCGTTGGCTAACGGCTTTGAAGCACGACAAATGGCCAGGGGCAAGTACACCGCACACCCTTCTACTCTTTGTGCTGTGCGCTAACTCATCTCAGACCGGCATGAGAGGAGATCCCGCTTTCGACAGATACTGCGCCTCTTTGAGCCCGCTATTCTTTACTCTGGAAGACCGACAGACACTCGCCCAAAATGCACTAAGAAGCCTGCTCAAGATTACCGGCAAAGCCGTCCTCATTGGTGAAGGCACAGGAGCGACGGCGTCATGGCTTGCGTCCGATGTTATACCAGAGAACGTGGTCGGTGTTGTTGCTGTTGAGCCACCCGGTCCGCCTTTTTGCGACAAGACTGTGGAGCGAAACGGCAAGCGAAAGTTCGACTCCTTCACCTCCTTTAACCCAGATCGTCTCAAATACGGTCTGTCCAACATCCCTCTGACATTCGATCCTCCCGCTCGACCAGAGATTGATCCGCGAGGCGGGCCAACGGGACTTTTGCCGTCGGCACTGGACCAACCAGGCATGAATCCGGAAAGAGAACCAACAGGACTGCACCCGTTGGATCTGGCGGAATTTTCTCACACAACCACTGGAAAGCACATAGTGCTTCAATATAGCCCAGAAAATATTCCCGCTGGCTTCACCTTCCTGAAGAAGTTAACAAATGGGGATGGAACAATGCACGTCCGAAAGCTCATCAACTTGTCCAAGATGCGCCATGTGATGATCACCGGAGAAGCAAGCCCCCACTCAGAGTATGATTCATCAACGATACATTTCATGCAACAGGCCGGCCTTATTGTCGACTGTGGCTTCTTAGAGAAGTATCAGATCCGAGGTAACGGTCATCTGATGTTTTTGGAGACAAATAGTGATGAGGTGGCCTCCCACATCATGCGCTGGATCCAAACTCGGGCAGGCACAGTGGACGAGCCGATCCCTGTGCTTGAGTCAGAGGTGGTTAGAGTATCAGTGCCGTCGCCTCAAGTTATTAATGTGAGCGAGCAGTCTCCCAGGTCCTCAAAGAGAGCTAGACGAGCGTCTGGCGATGATTTAACGCTGTCTTTGGTTTCGGCGAACAAATCCCAGCTTATTGACTTGACCGATGAGCTGCCCGACACAACCCGGTACTATGACAGTGGCTGTATGCCCACGGCTTTTGATGGGGAACATATGATGTGTTCTGAGTCTACCACGATCTCCCCAGGCTTGTGTGGGATGCCAGCGCCGCCGCTACCGTCACCACATTCGCAGAGCAATATGCGACAAGCCCTGTTATGGGAACAAGGAACGCCTGTGTGCACCAATTTCGATATAAAGGCACGTAAGTGCTCTTCCAAGAGACCTGAGCTCTTCATCCAACCAAGGACTGCTGTCGAAGGCTCTGCTTCCGTTGTTGGATCGAGCTCAAAGCCCGCTCAGGCAAATTTGCAGCATGTGATCCCGATAGAGAACGAACCAACTGGGGCTTCCAAGCAACAGTCAGAGGATACCCAAAGCAACCATGGTCTTTTTACAGACTACAGATTTAACTTCTCCGGACCTGAAATCATGGGAAACAGAGGAGATAGTTCCATTGGGTCCTCTGCACAGCACGTGTATGACTTGACCCAGCCGACCTTGCAGCAGCCGGTTCCCAGTCCACAGCAGAGGATTTTTGTTCCCTTTACCGCGGACTATCAATTTTATCCCCAAGGGAACCCATACATGCGGTCAATGCAAGGCGGGCATTATGGGTCGTCTTTTGCGCGCGAGCCTCGGTTTATGCCATTTTCCCAACCGAGCGACGATGTTCCAAGCTCGGCGACAGATCCCAGCTTTGGCCTGCCAACGCAAAATGATGGCGAGTCGCTTGAAATGGACGGGTACGCATTTTGATGGGAAGGATGAGCTGCAAGTCAAGGTTCTAGAAGAAGATGGCATTAGATACAAGAGCAAACCTGTGGCAGAGGTGAATAGGGTAGTCTAATATGGCTCTTAGTTTGGTTGCGAAGATTTAGCTCAGGATATTTTCAAGCGTAGCTTTTTAAACAGAATAAATTGGCAAACGGGATATGGTTCATGTGTTGCTTTCTGAAGATACATTTTCCATCTTTTACGATCAAATGCGATCCTGTGTCGTCTAGATAGTTATTTGCGCCTTCGTGTACTCTGTACAACAGTCATGAAGGTGATTGGCCACTTTGAAAGCAAGACCCGCTTGTCAACGTGAACCTTGAAACCGCCCATGAAAGACAAACTCATCACCCGCCATGATGCGCTGGGCTCGCTCGCCGTGATTGCATCAACAAATATCAAACCCGGGCGCTCCGCAAAGACATGTCGCAGGCTTTGCCCTTTACCGACGAGGCGCGGCGCTGGCAGGCCGTGCAGGACCGGGATGGGTCCGCCGACGGCCTGTTTGTCTACGCCGTCAAGACGACCAAGATCTACTGCCGGCCCATCTGCAAGGCGCGGCTGGCACGCCGGGCCAACGTCTCCTTTTACGACACGGGCCGCGCGGCGCAGGCGGCCGGATTCCGCGCGTGCAAGCGGTGCAAGCCGGAGCTCGCGGGGGCCATGCCTGCGGAGCTGGCCGTCGGCAAGATTCGCGCCTTTGTCGAGGAGCAACAGCGAAGAGGCGGCGGTGGCGGCGGCCGTGCGGCGGACACGCGACTGAGCCTCAGCCAGATGGCACGGCAGACGGGCCTCTCCAAGTGGCACTTTCACAGGGTGTTTAAGCGGTGTGTGGGTGTTACGCCGGGCGAGTTCCTGCGCTGCCGGGGGGAGGTGGTCTCGTCGTCGTCGACGTCGCCGTCCTCCCTGTCACCGCCCGCCAGCGGAACCCTATCGCCGCCGCCGTGGACGCACGCGGAGTTGGGCAGTGCGCTTGGTTGGCCTGCGCAAGGGGACGAGATGGGTGGTTATCACGACGTGGACCTTGCGATGCTCCATGTGGAGTCGGCCGGCCTGCTGCCGTGGAATGACAACGGTTTCGGCTGGGATGACGCCAACCTCTCGTTTGATGACTTTCTCCTTTGGCCAGAAGAGACGTGCAAAAACGCATAAGACGAATAGGTCTGGGGAGAATGGTTGGCATCCTTCATCACAAAGGGGGACCACACAGATTACGGTCTTGCCTCCATTCCATGGCCACAATCCTCGGCACCAACGGCAGTGGCTTACAGGGAAACAATCCACTGTTTAGTACTTGTCCAATATTTCACAACAAGTCTTTTTTTTTCCGCCCTTGTCCACCTGTCAGATCGGTCGCGAGCTGACCAAAACGCGCTTTCTGATTGGTCAACAGACCCCGCGCCCCATATAAAATGCTTGTCGCTCTGACCCTAGGTCGCCAACGGACAAGGCTAGGGCGGCCGACTTACATCGAAATTCGATCCCGCCAGCCAACCGAATCGCTTGCTTTGGGCTGACCGTGCATGGGCAGTAATGGAACTGCAATGATTGGCTGTGTGGATCTGGGGCAATCTTCTGTGTGAAGAATATATGAAGAGCTCTTCGCTGGGTGGCCGTTGAAGCTGAAGCAGTCGTCGCCTTTGTCTCATTCTTTGCCTACTACCCCCAATCCGAAATCAAACTTTTACTTGGCTGAAGAATCTTGAGTAGCTCGGTCCAATTGGTCACACAATACATCTTCCCACCACGAAGCAACTTCTTGTTTCCTGCCCACCCACCTCTTCGCCCTTCTCTTACACCATTCACACACACTGCCCATCATCATGGCACCCAATGACGAGTCCTCCCCTCTGCTGCCCCGTGAGCCGGCCGTCGAGCGGTACTCGCCCCTCTACGACGAGACCAAGACCATGGCCGAGGACGAGGGCGCCCTCTTTGACACGACGGACATTCTGCGCGACGTCATCATTGGCTTCGCCGACGGGCTGACGGTGCCCTTTGCGCTGACGGCCGGCCTGTCCAGCCTGGGCAGCAGCAAGATTGTCATCATGGGCGGCCTGGCCGAGCTCTTCTCGGGCATGATCTCCATGGGCCTCGGCGCGTACCTGGCCGCCGTCACGGAGCGCGACCACTACGCCTCGCAGGAGGTGCGCGAGCGCTGCCACGTCGACACCATGCCCGAGGCCCAGCGCGCCGAGGTCTACGCCATCCTGGAAAAGTACGCCGTCTCCCGCGCCGCCGCCCAGCCGCTCGTCGACGAGCTCTGCCGCAACCGCTCCCACTGGGCCCGCTTCATGGTCGACTTCTCCCTCCGCCTCGAGCGCCCCAATATTCACCGCGCCTGGATCTCGGGCGTCACCATGGGCCTGAGCTACCTCGTCGGCGGCCTCATCCCCATGATTCCCTACTTTGTCATGCCCCGCGTCGGCGAGGCCTTTGTCGTCTCCATTGTCGTCACCGCCATCATCCTCGTCATCTTTGGCTACGTCAAAAACTACGTCGCCATTCGCAACCACCGCGCCGGTCTGTGGGGCGCCATTCAGACGCTCTTCATTGGCTTCATGGCTGCAGGCACGAGTTACATGATCATCAAGGCCCTGGACTCCTGAACAGAACTGTTATTGGCAGTCTCTTGTATTGTTTTTGTTGTCATGTTGCTATGTTGCTATAATTGCTATATTGGCTCGGCTGAAACGTCCCAAGTCGAGCAGGAAAAAGCTGGCCGCTGGTGTGCTGCATGCATAGGATGGCGTCTGGGATTCTTTTCAATCTTTTAGCGTTACTTGTACACTCCCCTCCACAAACGGGACGAATGAATATCAATGTCACTTTCACTTCACAATGAAATAATGTATAGAACCCGTCTCCTTCTCGTTGCGATTGTTGTGTTTCCTTACTTGTCTATGGTGTGTACAGTGTGCCATGTAAGATGCAGGGGGGTCAAAGTATCTCAATGTATTGTGCAAGTGTAAATAGCCTTATGCTAAGCAAACCCTTGTCCAGGATGTACTATGCATAATCCCGGAATAAGCAGACACCTCGTCCGATGAACGCATTCGCCGTCCGCCTGCACATCATTGTTGCGTGTCAAAAAACACGTCTCCCTAGTGTTATGAGAGGGCACATACTATAGCGCTTTGCGCATATAAAAATATATCATGAGCGTCCGGTTCCTGAAAAGGCGGATGGACCAGCCGGCGGCCAGTCGCCTCTTTCTGCTCAATTGCGCATCGTGCGCCGAGTCTAGAAAAATGAAAAGTCCCGCCACCATGCAGGCATCCAACCAGAGCCTCGCAGGGCAGGGAGGGCGGCTGTCCGGGTGAAGATATTTGCTCGAGTCCGGAGAAATCGGGACCCGGGACCGGGGCGGGGGACACAAGGCCGGATCTAAGCGAATTCCTTCACATGTCCAACCCCCGCGCAAGCCCGTCAATGTTACCCACGCCCAGCTGACAGCCCTCTGCCTCGTCAGCTACACATGAGACTTGGGCTGCAGGGGTTCATTGTTTTGGAGAAGAAGAAGAAGAAAAAAACTACTGGTTCCTTTCGTCAGCAGCAGGCTCAGCTCAGCCCTAAGTGTGGGGGGCAAGGTCAGCCGAAATCGCCGGGCCGGCCGACTCCGTCCTAATGCATCGTGGCATTTTGCCTTTTACTAGCGCCGCTTCACACGTAAAGCAATAATATATTATTCACTGACTTTGTTAGCAAGCCTCCATACGAGTACGTACTTTGGTGCATCGTCGATCCATGTCAATTTCACTTCCACTATCCACTTACACCAAAGTCCAATTCTACGGACTGACATGTACTTGTGATGATTCTCCGCACTGAATTACATGATTTAGCTGTTATTTGCTTCCAGACACGAAAAATCACGGCCCCAGCATACAGAAAAGTCATGCTCCTTTTTGTCGCTTTGTCGCTGCGCTACATGCCTAGGGCTCGCTCTCATCCTATCATACAAAATGCTGCCGCTGTGCTCACTAACCCCGTCCGTACTGGCTACCCTAGGCTGACAAGCTATCCTCATCAATTGCTGGATCTTATACAGCGTCCCCCCGCGCTCTGAATGTTATCGGACCCCTCTTCTAAGGGATGCAAAAGTCAATCCAGCTGCCCAGGTAGTCCAGTCTATTACCTTGCGTCTCTTGCGACTTGTAGATTTCCTCGAATTCTTCAAAATTCAGCTTGCCCCAGCCGCCTCTGGCCTCGGCCTGCACTTCAGCCAGATTCAGTCGCTTCCATTCCCGGAGAGTCTTACGCGGGGGGTTCCACGCCTGGTTCTGCTTGGTCTCAGGGGGTTCGTGAGCCTCGGACGCTGCAGCCGAGGGAGCTACATTCACCGCTTCGACCGTACTGTTGGGTCGATGCTGGGGCAACGTAGGGTCACGGTACTCTGTGACATTCGACGTTGCGACGAGATTTCCGGCGTCCTCTTCCGCACCGAGCGTCTCTGCAAATCTGGTTCCCGTCTCCAACTCGACCGCGTTGCGAGGCTCTGACGGCTCCACCATATACCCGCTGTCAACTAATAACTCCTCGAGGCACTTCTCACTGCTGGGCCTGTCACCCGATGGCTTGTCGGCATCCGTCTTCTTAGTACCGTCTTCACCTTCTGTTTCGGTGTCCGCATCAGAGAGATCCACTTCGTTAATGAGATCTGTGTAGGCTGCGCGATCGAGCCTAGTCTCGGCAGCCTGCAAAGCAAGATCTTCAGCTGGTTTAAAGATGACATCCAGCAGCTCATTGAATGCCTGTTGCGTCACTTGGTATAGGATTTCCTTTCCGGCGTCATTCTCCGCAAGCCCATGTCTATAGGACGGGTCATCCCGCCTGATATGAAATGGGAAGTCGTCGGAGCTAGTATCTGACTCAACTGAAGCTCGTGTGTCCTTTCTTCGCCTCTCTTTCCGTCTCTTCTCTTGCCGATCTGCTTGCTCCGCTTTCGCAAGGATGTCTTCGCCATCGCTCCAGTCGTCTGGAGCGGCACCGCCCTCCTCTTCATCGAGGTAAAATTGTCGACGCCTCCATCGGTCATGGATTTTACGCCTGGCCATGTCATGCCTCTTCTTTTCCAGCGCAGGGGCTTGTCTTCGGCTTCTTTCAATCGCTCTGGCACGGGCCTCGCTTTCTGTCGGCGGGCGGGCTTCGGGATCGTTCGATTCACGTCCTTGTTCGTCCACGGCATTGCCTTCGTCTTCGTCGGCAGAGTCTCGTTGCGCAGTCTCTTCGTCAGCGCCATTGCTGTTGCCGAGCAAAACATCAGAGAACTGCTCTAGATTGTTTGGCGGGTCAAGCATTGTAAGCCAGTAGTTGCCGTCAGCGTCGGCACCGCTGGCTCGACGAGCCGTTCTCCAGTTACCGTCACCGTCATGACCAATGACCAGTCGTCTTCTGGCTCTTTTATCTGTTTCACAGGCAAAAAGGCTTGTCAGGATATCTCTCCGAGGAGCAGTATCAGTTTCGTTCTCGACAAAAGCAGCCTCCTTGTCCTTTTCCACCCTGACATGGCCATCAGGATGGTATGTTTTGCCCTCGAAGCGCAAATTCGAATCAGCTTGTGGTACTCGTTCCTCACGGCCAAAGAGACTGCTGAGTGGTTGTCGGCCACTAACGAGCTGTTGTGCCTCGGTGGTCGACAGCAATTGGTTTTCGAGACCGTCCAGTATATCTCTATGCATTTGCTTGTATAGAACATAGTACGCTTTGAACATGCGCAAAAAGTCTCGACGGTTCACATAGCCATCGCCATCTATGTCGTAGCCATCAAAGACAGTCTGCAGCTTGTCTTTTCTTCGGCGATAGGAGAGACCGTGCAGAAATTCGGAGAAGCCGATAAGGTCATCGTTGTTTGAATCGTAGAATGCAAACATGCGGTCGTGTATCAGATTGGGCTCCGCATAGGCAGAAGCACCAGTAGGTACGAGACACCGTTCAAATGTCTTGCGATCCATGGCAATGCAGAATTGATCTGGGTCATCTCTCCATTCCGTGTTGGCCATAAAGGTCCATTGCTCCCAGAATGCCTCGAGTTCCGGCCGCTCAAACCCAGTTTCTTTGGATAGTCTCGCCATGATTCCTCTAGGCACAGCACGACGACAAGACTCCGGGTCCCCAGTGTACCAGACCGGCTGCATCTGTCTGTGACCAAACGGTGGTACCGGAATGCGAATTTTGTAGAAGATGTGCGTCTTGATATGACTACCTTGCGACTCGCAGGTTTCGCAAAGATCAAAGTCGGCGCAGTTTGCACAGCGGTAGCGGATTCCGCGAATGGGGACCATGCCACAGGCGTTACACTGGCATCCCCGATGAACGCAACCATTCCGACGCGCATTATCCTCTGACACACGAAACAATAGGCTGACAATGTTATGGCCTGCTCTCTGGGGAGGCAGTTGGTTAGGATCGTTCCACCACTCGTCGTCATTATTCTCCTCTGCAGCAGCCTCGCCTTCAGCTGGGGCCTGTGTCGGCTGTGACGGCGGTACTTGGGCGTTTTCTGCATTCTCATCACCGGCGACATCCGAGGAAGAGCTCGAGACGGTTTCTGATTGTCGGGAGCGGTGGCGAGTTCTGCGCACCGCGTTGCTTCGATGAAGCGTCCCATCGGGCAGCTCGAGGACGAAATTGGGCGAGCTGCTGTGGTAGGCATAGTAGCCTGCCGAGATGGCTGCCAATGCTGAAACGACAGCGACAGCGACCCGCGGCCTTGTCAGGCTCTCGGCAGAAGGCGTCGGAAACCACATGACTACTTTTGCGTCATGTTACTTGTTGTGCTGGTCGAAGCTGCCCGTACTGCCCCTGACAGCTTGTATATAATAACGGCTCGATGCTGTGGCAAATGTTCGTGATTCTCTGTTGTTTCTGTGCTGATAGGATACTGACAAGTCGTGTCTAGGGTCCTTTGGTGGGCGAGTGAAGACACCGGTATTGTTGTGTGTGGCGGACGTTGAGTAAAATCGTTGCTCAAGCAGCGTGCGGAAGCTTTGGTAAGCTGCACGTTTGCGACAGTGCGGAAAGCTTGCGGTTTAGTGGGTGGTGGGTCATGCGACGTCGCTAAAAGCCACTGGGCATGAATTAAGCTTGCCATTTCCACGGCCGAACCGATGATCCAACCACTCGATAGCTTGACTGACTTTCTTCTCCCTCGCAAATCACGGCGTTCAAATTGCAATCCACCGCCATGGCGCAGCTACCACCACCAAGCTCGGGCGGGATGCCCTCATCCTTTGACCATGACAAGTACGTGCCCCAATTGATCCCGCTTCCCTTGGCCGCTGCTCACGCGACGATGTACAGCGAACTTCGCAATGAAAAGGCACTGCACAAAGTCTTTCGCAAAATCAAGGAAGAGCCGCTCGTGCCGCTAGGTAACCCTTCTACCCTCCCATCCACCGACACACTGACTCAATACTCACAATGGTCCCATCTAGGCATCGGTCTGACCGTCTTCGCCTTCATCAACGCATACCGCGCCATCCGCCGAGGCGACTCGAAGCAGGCCAACAAGATGTTTCGCGCCCGCGTCGCCGCCCAGGGCTTCACCGTCATCGCCATGGTCGCCGGCAGCATGTACTACAACCAGGACCGCCAGAAGACCAAGGAGCTGCGCAAGGTCAAGGGCGAGACGGACGCCGAGGAGAAGCGCCAAAAGTGGATTCGCGAGCTCGAGGCCCGCGACGACGAAGACAAGGCCATGCGCGCCATGCTCGAGAAGCAGGCGCTCGCCCAGGTCGGCGCGGCTGCTCAGACGGACGGCGAGAACGCCCAGGCCGGCACCGGCGGCATTCTCGGCCGCATGGGGCTCTGGGGCCCAGCGGAGACCAAGGCCGCCGAGGAACAAGCCGCTGCGAATGCCACTGATGCTGCTGCTTCCAGTGAAGCGAATGAGAAGAGAAGGGAGAACCCCAGGAGTTCCCTGGGTGCACTGGGTGAGGTGTACGGGTCAAAGAAAAAGGACGATGGCGAGTCCAAGAAATAAACGGTCGGGCCTAGGAAGCCTCCGGTATGTATATATAGCATTGTTAGGAAGTAAACGCCTCTCTTGTACGATACGAAATAGCTTTGATGCTCATGCTACTATCTCAGCAATTGATTACACCATTTTCCAAACGGAACAAGTTCAACAAGGAGTGATTAGTAGCGACTAGTTCTCCCAATAGTACCCCGCGAAGGACTCTAGTATATCTTGTTATGGTGCATCCATCTAGACCATCGAGCCACCACTCCGATTATTCCCGATCAGCCCAGCCATTTCCAGAAGCGCACGGTCTTGCTCCTGGCTTCCAGAGCCCAGGTTGATCTTTCGGCGCGCTTCCGCCTCCCGTTCCTCCCACGCCCATCGCTCCGCCTGCGCGGCCGCCTCCTTATCGCCACCGCAGCCCCAGACCTCGAGCTTTTCAACCTGAAACCGGTCTTGAAAGTTGGACGCACGAACAGCACTTGTGTGGAACGCACCGCCGCGCGATGAATAATCATGGTTAAAGACGCCAAACTCGAATGAGTCGTCCAGGAGCAGCGACACCGCGCCCAGGGACAATGTACCGGTAGTGCGCCCTGATTTGGTCGGTCTGGGATGGGGACACCCAAAGGCCATGTAGGGCTGGTGCGACGGTGCTTTTGTAAAAGTGACGTAGTCAGTGTTGATTGTGGACGCGCGAAAGACGTCGTGCACAGGCTCTAATTGGAAGAGAACGGTCTCGGAGTCGCCAAAGCAATCCTTGTGAGTGTGCTTCCACGGCTGGCGAACATAGACGCCAAAGGTGACACGCTCGCCTTTGCTGCCGTTCGGATATCTTTTCAGAGGCAGGGACTCGGCAAAGTTGGTCTCCTGCCCGCGCTCGGGCTTATCTGGAAGTCGGCTTCCGCTCACGAGCAATATAGTAGGAGCCACCCAGTTGAACACCTTGGACTCGAAGCTACCGAGTGAGAACCCCGACTCATTTCCTGAATATAATAGCCGGACACGGTGAAACAAGTCGGATGCGGGTAAAAACGTCGATATTTGAGCCAAGAGATGGCCATCCAAAATCTCGCCGTTGTTCATAACCAGAGGCTGGGCTGGCTTGGCGGGCTTGGTCTCGTCGCCTTTGTGTTTGGTGAAGTCGAGATTTTTGGAGAAGAGAAAATGGCCAAAGAGGTTGTTGAACCCACCGAAAAGGTTCGGCGCAATGGCAGGAATCAGTCGCTTAAAGTCATTGTATCGTATTCCCGTGGATGTTTCTGCATCGACAAACGAGGATATGATGCTCTCTGCTGAGGATCGTAGGTGCTCGAGCTCGGTGCCCGTGACCCTGTCAAAGTAATGCGAAAGACTATCTTGCTCGCCCAACGGGGCAACGAGAAGCAGCAGCATCACGAGCTTGCGGAAGTTGTCCGTCGGTATAATGGCGCCATGTACCTCTGGCGCGTTCCCTTGTTTGACAGCATCGCCGATATTCAGCAACTCGAAGGCAGTAAGAACGAGGTCATCGTCGGCATAGTCGTCGTCATCCTCTTCTTGGCCAGGTTGATCAATACTGAACCCCAACGACTTGGCACCAGACTGGTCCGTCTCATCGCGCCCGACTGTTGATGAAGTAGGACTTGTTATGGACGCTTTGCGGTCATATACTGCCATACTTTTGAAGAGAAGCTTGGTACGGTCTGTCGACCCGTGAGCCAGAACCCGTTTGTATCGCTCAGTCATGATGACGACGACCATGATTAAATGTGGGAGCTCAAGAATCACGGGCGCTTCGGCCAGAAACGGGAATGCGCCTATATATGACACCATCTGGAACAAGACTGGTGACGCGCCGAGGATGTCTGGAATCTCCAGATAGCGAGCAACGGTATCTTCCTTGAGGTAGGAGACGCCCCCCTGGTGATCGGCCAGCGTCCTGAAGACATCCTTGAGCGAATAAAATTCAAGTGAGGTGAAGCATTTTTCTTTGAAGCGCACTGCCTATTGCGTTTGCGACAGTCAGTCGTGAGCGACAGCGGTTTCTGGTTCTCTGCGCCACTCACAAGGTCCTGCAGCAGCTCTTCCTTGGAGCGGCCTCTGGGCTGCTCATCCGACATGGCCTGTCCCATCTTTGCTGTGTGTGCGTCTGCACAGCGCTCGGCAAGCTGCGATGAGGAAACGAGGCGGCGCGTCTCTATGATAAAAGAGAAACGACTGAAGCACTCGCAGTCCTGCTGCTTGCAGGTTGCTTGATGTTGCCAGTCACAGGCAGCAGCGCCGCCCGCCGCCTTATTCATGAAGCTACTAAGCTAGGTGGCTGGCAGTCAGTGGACGTCACCGGTGGGGCTTCGCTTGGCGCACCATTCCGGTCTACAATGCCGAGGGCGCTGGAGCCATGAAGCTACAGTGAGTGGGTGTACCTTGCGAATGATTTATTAGATTTTGGTATCTGTATCCTTGGATACGAAAACTACATGTATAATGAGCACTTGACCGTCCTGGGCAAACAAAGTCAAAGCTTCACATGCTCATCGCTGTCATTCAGCTTCCTGAGCTAGAGCACCACACAGGCTGCACAACAACACTGTTAGAATAAGCTTTTACAGCTTTTTTTCTGAGCCATTACTATCTACAGTTTGTCGTTTATCTCATACAAAAGTGCCACTCCCCAAACGCCATTCATGACCAGTAACCCAACCAAGCAAAAGTTGCAACGGAGCCGCCCAAGTCTTAGATGCTGTCCATCTAGTCCAACAATGCGCATATTGCCTCTAGTAGTCTTATTTCCATCACACATACTCATACTCCTTTTCTTCAATAGATCTGATGAGCCGTTGGTATTTTTGCTGCGACTCTTCCTCGGCATCGATGCGAGGTATCTGGCGTGACGGTGTCATCGAAGACCTGTTGGACCCAGCACTAACCGTCCACAGCACCCCGGGCTTGATAATTTCGGCCTTGTCCTGGTCTGTATTAGAAATAGGGCTGTGGTTTCTGCCCTCGGTTGTCTCGAGCCCCGTGTCGAGATTATGACCATGGCGAGGTAGCTGCATGGCAAGAAGAACATATTCGGCGCGTGTCATATTGTCCATTACATCGTCCATATACCTTCTGACTTCGTCTTGCGGCGCCACTACCCTCGCAAGATTCTCTAGATACCGGCCAGTGCTTGTCTGGAGACGGATGGTGACAGGTTGGTAGTAGTCGAGTTGAGGATCGCCTCCATATTCCGATGTGCTTCCTTTGCGCACGATGAGGAAGGATGCGACCACTTGTTGGCCAGATGTGGTCGGCAAAAACTCCAAGATGCTAAATTTCGGAAACAGAAAGCGATCGCCTGCTCCAAAATCAAAAACAACTGCAGAGATATCTGGCCGTGATGCAGTCGTTGGCGCTTTGGCGCGCATGGGTTGTGGGGGGTTCATGCTGTTGTTCAGATGCGGTTGTTGCAATCTCGTGCCGTTATTGGCAACCCCGTTGGGAGTAAGCTGCCGTCCTTGCGGCGGCGCTTGCAACCCTTGGGGGACAGTCTTTGCGTCTCTGTTAAGACGGTCCAGGATATCTTTCAGATCTGTCGCATCTGTGTTGCCCGGGCGGCCTTCAGCGATCCTGCGAATCATGTCTCTCGTGCGCACATCTTCTAGTGCAGTTTTGACTAGGAGAACGACGAGGGCATCACTTCCGGGCGGTGGTCGAAGCTCGCTCGATTTCTGGTTCGGGTTTGAAGCCAGGACAATGTCAAGAATTGTGCGAACCTCATCCGCAAAGTACTTGACGGTTCTTCCATCCACCAGCAATCGGTCTGCTGATGGGCCCTGCTGACCACCTTTACTTTTATACTCGGCGTTTAATTGGTCGATGATCTTTTGGAAATGGGCTAGCTCGCCCGGTTTGGCTTGACCAACAGCGACACGCTTCATGAGGTCTCGTAATTCTGAGTCAGTGGAGGCTTTCTGTGCAAGCAGTGCAATGACAGGGTCTGCTGTAGCGGGTTTTGCGGCTGCGGGCGCAGGACTGGCGCCAGGGGTCGCAGAAGGCTGCGGAGGAGCGACTTGCTGGGCCGGTCCCGGAGAAGCAGTCTGTGTTGCCCGGGGCTGTGAGGTGGCAGGAGGAGCGGAATTGTGTGGCGGGACGGACGGTGCTCCTGTTGTTGGGTTGGACGCGACTCCTTGTGGTGTCGGAAAGCGTTGCGCGCCGCCGGTGCTGGGCGTTGAGCTCTTTGGGGCGGGCGATGCCGCAGCCTGTTGGCCAGTTGGCTGCGTACCAGACTGGGGGGTTGGGGGGTGTGGTGAAGGAGCATGTGTCGATACTGGCTTGTTCACCGGGCTCGGTACACTTTTTGGCTGCGCGGGCGGTGGCATGGCACCATTGGCAGGACCGTACTGGATGATGGGTCGAGCGGCTTGTTGTTGAGGTGGTTTCTGAAGCACCTGGGGTGCAGGCTTTTGCTTGGGGCCCTTGACAGCATACATGGTGGCCTCGACAATATGCGGTTCGATAGTGATTGTGACATTGCCGATCTTAGTCATGGAGTCTTTGGGGGGGTTCTTGGGATCTTCGATGAGGAGACCCTTTTTCTTGTGCGGTTTCGTCCAGTACTTTTCGAAGAGGCCTTCACTGATCCATCGCTGTCTCGATCGCGCGAGCGACTCGGCCAGAACACCGCTGTAGAAAAAGACAAGTCAGCACGGGGTTGCGAAAGGATTTGAGGCATTGTTGGCAGCCATTGGAGGTACAGACCTTTCCGAGATGGATTGGTAGTCCTCTGGGGAGAGGTTGTGGGACTGGGCGACCTCGATGGTTGGCAGCGGCTTGCCATGCTCGACAGAGGTTGGCAGCGGCGGTGGCGGCGGCGTGGGCGGCGGCTCCTCGACAATGGGTTCTGGAGGCGGCCTCGGTGGAGGAGTGGGAGTTTTTGTACGATGGCGAGCCGAAGGATTGCGGCGCTTGGCGAGCTGCTCTGCGCGGGCCGCAGCCCGGGCCGGCAGCTTTCTCTTCCTCTCCATGGGCGGCGACAAAGAGTGGTGGAGGACGAGCGGGCCTGGGACGCGGCAGAGGCTAGCAAACCATGATACTGACGAGCTGCCGTGTGTGGCGAGGAGGATGGCAAGCCGCACGTCTCTCAAGCCGTCGGGGAGGAGAGCAAAGGGGCCTGCCTAGGAAGGAGGACGTGATCTGGGGTTTGAGAAGCGAGGTGGAAGGGCGGGAAACGGAGCGGCCAGGGCTGTTCACAAGAGCCAAAAAAGGCAGCGAGCGAGCGAGCGGCGCCAGTCAGTGTCAGTGGCTATCGAGGCCCGCGTAGGTACGAACCAGCGACAGCAAGAGCACTGTGTTGAACGCGCTGCCTAATTGGCCCACGCGCCAGGCGGAGTCGCCAGACCCCCAGCCAGGTCGGCCAGGACGGCTGGGATTGGCCGCCGAGGGGGGATGGTTCCGCCGCTAGAGGCGCTCCGCCAGGACAGCTCGTAGCTCGTCCTTCTTTCAGGCCCTGGCTTCAACCTCTGCCACAGTGCTAGAATGCTAGAATGCCAGTTGCTTTGCTTTGCTCCAGCCGCTAATTTGTAGCGCCTCCTGCTTCCAAGCACCAAGCACCAAGCACCAAGCACCAAGCACCAAGCCACTAAATAAAAAATCCACCCCAACTCGGCGGCTATGCCTGCCGACCCACCCTGAAACGCGACAAGACAGCCTACGACCTGCCTCTCCCTGCGACTCACTGTAAACAGCTCGATGCCGGGTGTCAGGTGAAAGGCAACAAAGAGCGAACCTTTGTAAAAATAAGATTCGAATAAGAAGAAACAAGGGAAAGTTCACACAAAGCTTCCTGCGTACTGACCCCCTATTACGCAATGCTCTCCCCTGTCGTCGGCACGCGCCGAGACTTCTCCTTTCCTCCACAACGCCCACTCATCCACTGTAACGCCCTGTAGCCTACCTACCTAGGTAGTACCTGTTACTGTGGCCTTGTAGGCTGTTGCTGTGGCACGCGTGGCCTGGCGCGCTGCCTGCAACCGCCCAGCACTTCTAGGCAGGTAATGAGGCAATCAATCACTGGTCCTCCGTGTCACCACCACGCCCGCGTTGACCTCACTTTGCCGCGGCCACCGTCGCAATCGCGACCGTCTTGTGACAGTGACAGAACCCCGTACGGGGATCCAACAATCGCATCCCTAACGTTATGCCCGCATCGCTTCTCGCCACGGCCCTGGCCATTGCCGCGGCTCCGTTCCTCTTCTATGCAGCCTTCCTTGGCGTCGCGACAATCCCTTGGGTCCAGCGTCAGTAAGTCATCCACCGCTTCTCGTCTGAGCACTTGTTAGCTAACTCGAACAGCGCATTGTACGCCCACAGAATAAATACCTTGTTTCTGTATGACGTGAACGAGCCTACCTACTGGGGTTTTGCCCGTGCGCCTCCTCCTTGTCGCCCTGTGTCACCGCGATATTGACCACTAAAATGTACCGCAGAAAATCAAGTGACCCCCTTTACACTCTCAACACCGGATCAGGAGTCAATATACGCCTGGCATATCCTTCCCCTTCCCCTGTATTACAAAAATGAGAACACACTGGCTGTCCAGTCTTCCGGCTTGGTTGCAGACATAACCACGTCTGAGGCTTTTAGACTACTCAAAGGCGACGTAGACGCGAAGCTAGTCATATCATGCAAGTACTCCCTCGTCAGCCAAATTCCAAAGCTACTAACGCTGTCCGTTTAGTTCATGGCGTATGAGCAGTCTGCGCATACACCTATATCTTTCGATATCGCTGACATACCCTACAGAATGCTGGGCACATTGCTCAGGGCATGCGGCCCGAGACCTTCCATGCACTGACCGATACAAGCTCATATCACGTCTTATCTATCGACTATCGTGGATTCGGCTACTCGACTGGCGTGCCTAGTGAGGCTGGGCTCATACAGGATGCGTATACAGTAATCGAGTGGGCTATCAACGTTGCAGGTGTTCCTCCTAGCCGCATCGTTATCCTCGGCCAGAGCTTGGGAACAGCCGTCGCAAGCGGTGTTGCGGAAAGATACTCTGAAAAAGGCGTTGAATTTGCTGGAATTGTTCTCGTCGCTGGTTTTAGTGATCTTGCCTCCATGCTAGGTGGCTACCGCATGGGTGGCCTCGTGCCGTTGCTCGGTCCCTTCAGCTACTGGCCAGCTTTTGTCAGACTCTTGGATCGCTTCGTTGTCGACAAATGGCACTCGGCCGATCGTCTGGTCAATATCGTTCGTCGAACGAGAACACGTCTTCGCTTGAGCTTGCTGCATGCCAAGGACGACTCCGACATTCCATACACCGAAGATAACAAGCTCTTCAAGGCTGCCGCGGGCGAACTTGTCGGTGACATTGGCGAGGCTAAGTTTGGCGCCATGAAGACGCAGCGTACAGTCCACAAAGGCCAAGATTCAGCCGTGACGACATGGAGAGCAGAGCCCGATATTATCATCCGTCAGGAGCTGATTCCCTATGGTGGTACGTAAGCATTGCCCAAGAATAACTGTGTTCTAATACATTATAGGACATAATCACATCATGGGATCCTCTAATGTGGTTATGGCCGTCCTGCGTTGCTTTGACGATTGAAACAGGGGTCGCTCTCTTGGAACGGCAGGGAATGTTGCTGACCACGTATGCCATGTGGCGGTCCCTTCCCTACCCAGTGCTCAACACCTTACATATCGTTGTCAAATATTGGCAAGATTACTTACGAATGCTTGTGTTCCATTACCTAGATGATATGCTGGCCCGAAGAGTAGAGTAGGCCTTGTTTTGTTGAATTGCCACAGTGAAATCCGGGACACGATTTATAGACCTCTATCATCTAAGCCCAAACTAGGCAGCAACAAGGAAAATGCTCCTCAACTATGCGGTGCGAAATCACGCCATCGGCTGCTAGGTGGCATCCTTGGTGACTATCATGTACCGTCAGTTGCCCGTCTCCATCTCGGTGCGCGCCGTCCGTCGCGGCAACCATAACCTGGGCAACCTCACCATCCTGGCCGACGACGGGAACCCGACGTGTACGGCTTTAGAACCAAGTCTTGTAGTTTACTACCGCTGACGAGCTTGTCGTGATGGAACCAGAAGACGAGGAAGTGATACTGTAAGCCGAGCACTTTTTCATAAAATATAAAATAGGAAATTGTAGGACTGAGTTAACGAAAATGAGAACAAGTTAATTCTCGTAATAATACCCTGGCTAATAGGCTTATCAACACAACTACCTATGCTTCCACACCAAGGACATAGGATCGAGAACTACTAGTTAGACACAAGCCGCAACGCGGGGCAGGAAAACCCCCCACCCCACCACGATCGAGAAGCTACCTGTCCATTCAACTTCAATCTCCCAACAAACCCGTCCACACCTCGCCGAAATCAAGACACGGCACACGATGGCGTCTGACGGCAAAAAACCGGCAGATGCGTCGAGCGGCAGCAGCAGCAGCGCCGGCGCCGGCGAGCAGCAGAGCACCAAGGACGTGCAGCGGCTCCTCGACACGCTCTCTCCGCAGCAGCTCTCGGAACTCATAGCGCTGAACCCTGCGTTGGCCCAAGAGGTGGCGCAGGCCACGGGCACGGCCGACCCGACCCCGGACCAGGCGGCCGAGATGCTCAAGAAGATGCGACTCGAGGACATCATGTCGGGCTTCGCAGCGAGCGGCAAGAACGTCAAGGACATGGCGTCGTACAAGTTTTGGGGCACCCAGCCCGTGCCGCGCTTCGACGAGGACCAGACCGTCCCCGACGGTCCGCTGAGGATCCAGAAAGTCGAAGACATTTCCAAGGAGCCCGCCGACCTCGTGAGCGGCTTTGAATGGGTCACAATGGACCTGACCAGCGAGGAAGAGATCAAGGAAGTCTACGAGCTGCTCAACGGCCACTATGTCGAGGACGACGACTCTACTTTCCGCTTCAACTACTCGCCTTCCATTCTCCGATGGTAAGTGCAGCCATACCCGGGCTCTCGATTATCCATACTAACTTGGCCGCAGGGCCATGATGGCGCCCGGCTGGGCAAAGAAGTACCACGTCGGCGTGCGCGCCACGCAGTCGCGCAAGCTCGTCGCCTTCATCTCCGCCATCCCCGTGCACCTCCGCGTGCGCGAGCAGGTCATCACCTGCTCCGAGGTCAACTTCTTGTGCGTGCACAAGAAGCTGCGCGGCAAGCGCCTGGCGCCCGTGCTCATCAAGGAGGTGACGCGCATCAGCAACCTCGAGGGCGTGTGGCAGGGCCTCTACACGGCGGGCATCGTGCTGCCGCGGCCCGTGAGCACATGCCAGTACTACCACCGCCCGCTCAACTGGCAGAAGCTGTACGACGTCGGCTTCAGCTACCTGCCGCATGGCAGCAAGCCGCAGTACCAGGTGCGCAAGTACGCCGTGCCCGAGACGACGAGCACCAAGGGCTGGCGCGTCATGCAGGCCGGGGACGTCGACGCCGTCGTCGACCTCCAGAAGCGCTACTCGGCCAAGCGCTACGACATTGCGCCCGTGCTCTCCGCGGACGAGGTCGCCCACTGGCTCGTGCCCAAGGTCGAGACCAGCGGCGAGCAGGTCGTCTGGACCTACGTCGTCGAGGACGCTGACAAGAAGATTACCGACTTCATCTCGTTTTACTGCGTCGAGTCGTCGGTCATTAAGAACTCGCGGCACAACGTGCTGCGGGTGGCGTACCTCTTTTACTACGCGACCGAGACCGGCCTCCAGGAGTCAGAGGACCAGGGGGCGCTCAAGACGCGCCTCAACTCGCTCGTGAGCGACGCCCTCATCATGGCCAAGAAGGAAAAGTTTGACGTCTTCAACGCGCTGACGCTCATGGACAATGTTCTGTTCCTCGAGCAGCAAAAGTTTGCCCGCGGAGACGGCCAGCTGCACTACTACCTGTTCAACTACCGCACAAGGGCCATTGCCAGTGGCATGGATGCCAAGGGCC